GCAAGGATTCATACTCCCAGGTTTTTCGGTGAAGTCACGTAGGTAAAAAATTAAAATTAAAATTAATAAAAGTAAAATAAAATAAAAATCGCGACGTTTCGGAGGCAACGGTTCCACCTGAAGACGGAGGCTTGTGTTGCCTCCGAAACATCGTGATTTTTATTTTATTTTTATTTTACTTTTATTAATTTTTATTTTTATTTTTTACCTACGTGACTTTACCGAACAAACTTGGGAGTATCAGCATACCTGTCAACCCATACGGTTTACCTGTATTCTTGTACAGGGAAATTGAGTTTTCAGGTCCATACACCGTACAGCCGTTTCAATACGGGCAAATTTTTTTTTATATTTGTTTGTGTTTCTCCCTTGTGATGTGACTTTGTAGAATGAATGTTGAGCTTTATAAGGGTACGGGGTGACCAACAAGGTCTGAATTGGCCTGTAATAAGGTGGGGCACTGGTACGGGCTTGACAGGTTTGTATCAGAAACTGTCTCTAGGGATGTAGCGTCAAGCAACATTTGAAGTATCTAGCCTGTGGATATATATCTAGGTAATAAAACACTGATCAGCATCTCCCATGAAAAAAAGTTGAACTGCTGGTCTCAATGGACTTTCATCGTACTTCAGTATAATTTGCAGCAGTGCAGTAATGTATTGCTGAATGAAGGCCTACTGTGTCAATTGTAGGACTTGTTTGACCATACTTCACCACGCGGGTAGATTGATGAATGGGGGGAGGCCCGGGGCTGGTTTAGAGTATGAAAAGTAGACAGTCATTCTAGAATTGAAGTTTTCGTGACTGCAAGGATCCATACTCTTTGGTTCTTTCGGTAAAGTCACGTAGGTGAAAAAAATAAGAATAAAAATGAAAAATAGAAATAACTAAATTAAATCACGACGTTTCGGAAGCAACACAAGCTTCCATCATCAGGTGGGACAACCACTACAGTAATTTTGTTTCTTGCTGTGGTTGTCCCACCTGATGACGGAAGCTTGTGTTGCTTCCGAAACGTCGTGATTTAATTTAGTTATTTCTATTTTTCATTTTTATTCTTATTTTTTATTCATATTTTTTCACCTACGTGACTTTACCGAAAGAACCAAAGAGTATAGACGGTCATTAATGTACATTGTGTGTTGTAACTTTCTGACCCGCTGCTACTACACATCTGGGGAAAAATAGCTTCATAGCTCATCGGATTTCTCCAGGATAAATACAGATTCTGCACGGTGATGTTGTGCAATATACAACACTATTATAATGCATTCTTCTTCAGTGAATCACATTAATCCACAGGAAATGAATGGATGAATGGTTCCTGAGACTCTTGCATTCCGCCCGCTCTTCAGGTGCAGGATTATGAGGGCCACTCAGAAACGTTTTCTGAGCGAGATGCTAAAAAAGCGAACGCTGCCCTAATGGAAGGCTCACTTCAAAGCCCCATCTCAGTGAGGCCAATCCCGCGTGTCAAGGAACACGGTGACCACCGCGGAGTTGTCGGCTTCTGCATCGACAAGTCAATACAAAATATTGGGTATCGTGACGTACGCGCATTCAACACGAATAATATGTTTAGAAATTCAAACGGTGTCCTGCGTACAGGAGCATCTGAAGACGCTGTGCGAGGCAACCACTCAAACGCAAACTGCATGAAACGTAAAAAATAAACCCCAACGAAAATAAACTAAAATGCGAGTAGGGCAGATTGAGCAGCGGTGTGACGTGCCACCCATACACCGTCTCACCGGCTGTAGCCTCCGCGCTATCAGAATCAGACTAGGACTTTGTTAATTCCTCTGGCAAGGCCCCATTGAGTTAAGCAGCTCTGTTACAAGGACGACCACAACCCAAGACTGTCGGCAGTGGCGGCGGTGCAGAATCAGATTATTTATTTATACTGGAGGAATCCGATGAGCTATGAAGCTCTTTTTCACAAATGTCCAGTAGGGGTGGGTAAGAATGTTACAACACCAAACAAGCAGATCATTGCGGGGTGCAGGGAACCTGCGAACTGACAAGGAGCAAAACACAACAGCACTTCCCCCCCCCCCCTACAGCTATATAATCCCTCGTCACAGCCATATCTTAGGCATAATTCAGCGATTGTTTTTTTACCTTGTTTGTCCCCACCTGAGGACGGACGCTTGTGTTGTGCCCGAAACGTCGTGAATTAATTTAGTTGTTTTCATTTTATTTTATTTTTACACCTACTTGACTTTACCGACAAAACCAAAGAGTATGGATCCTTGCAGTCACGAAAACTTCAAATCTAGAATGATTTACACACAACCCACGCCAGAACTCACCGCAAACAGGATCAATAATAATCCTTGTCACAGACTTGCAAGGAAATAATCCATGTGCACAGCCTCATACATAATGGAGCTTGGTCGTAGCGTTCGTAGCAATAGTGGCAGAGGTGATCCTGCAGCGTGGCTTTAACACACGTGATAAATGTGCTGCGACGTTTACTAAGCGTGTGAAGTGCTGTAGTGGCAAAGAGGAATGGGATGTAAGTGGAATTGTGGTTCAATTGACGAGAGTGTCCTGATATTAATGATGCCATTGTAAGAATATTTTAGTAATTGCCCTGTCTTCCAGTGCGTTGCTCCGAATACTACACGTGTATGTCACAAACACAAGGAGAGAGGACATTCCCATTGTACTAAACTAAAAATAAACTTTTTATTTTATTTTGGCATTGAAAGACCGACTGAGCTGAATACGGTAGCTCTTTTTCACAAGTGACCTGGCCACAAATGATAGCCCAACAAAGTGGCCTATCATATGGACATTCATATCAGCCAAATACTCGAACCCAAGGGTCGCCAACCTGTAGCTCCAGAGCTGCATGCGGCTCTTTAAGGACTATTTCGTGACATTATTTATTGAGGACCGTCTCATTCACGTGCATTGCGGCTCTTGAAATATAGTGTTTAAAAACCGACTTTGAAAAAAAAATTACAGCTCTTTTTATTTCGCTTGCCGACCCCTGCTCTCAACGCACGGTTCTCCGCTGACCAGGTCCTATTGAGATCACGTGTCCTGATAAACCCTCACCCTGCAACGGGGACATTGACTGGGAATTTGCATCCACGACAAGAAGCCGAACGTGCTGAAGAGCCGCGAGTGCCTCCGGATTGCTCCGTCGTTCGGCGCTGGTTCGGCACACTTGAGTGCCTAAACACCGGAGCATTGCCTTTCTCAAGGCACCGCCCGGCAATCCACTCACACTCGCTGCGCGTAATCGACCCCCCCCACCCCACCATCAGCCCCGCTCTCCGCTGGCGCCTTCGCACGTGAAGCCCTCGTTTTCGCAAACAAGAACCCCGAGGATTTTGGGCGTCTTGTTTGAACGATTGAAATGCTCACGTTTATTTAATTGCCACTCCGGTCACTGCGCAGGCAGCGGTCTGAGTAGTGGTCACTGCTACCGATACTGACATAGAGGCCAGTGTGTGCATACTCTTTGGTTTTTTTAGGTAAAGTCACGTAGGTGAAAATAAAATAGAATTAAAATAAAACAACTAAATTAAATCACGACGTTTCTGAAGCAACACAAGCATCCATCAAAATTACTGTCTCTAAATAGCTCTCTTCATACGCAACAGTAATTTTGCTGGAGCAGTCACACCTGATGGCGGATGCTTGTGTTGCTTCCGAAACGTCGTGATTTAATTTAGTTGTTTTATTTTTTATTTTGTTTTCACCTACGTGACTTTACCGAGAAAACCAAAGAGTATGGATCCTTGCAGTCACGAAAACTTAAAATCCAGTGTGTGCATGTTGTGTGCGCGCGCGAGATGTGTGTTCAACGTGTGAATTACTGGTGTACCGGGTGTGTGGGCGATGTGTGCCAATGCCACAAAAGATACATTAGCAATCCACAGTGTCTGGAATTATTTAATTTGCAAGAGACATTATTGTTGTTGTTATTAATCATACTGCGAGTTTATTTATAGTTGCGTGAGACTGAAATAATTGAATATATATTGTGACATTTTTTGTGCCCTCGGTGACCGTGCTGAGACCATTTAACTCTGTACACTTGAGAACCCAATTAAAACTCGGGTTCTTAGCAGCGCCGGCTCGGTGGCACTCCACGACACGGTTCATTGTGATCTGCGTAAAACTCTCAGCCGCATCGCTTGGCCCATGGTTCCTTGCGCTGGTGGCAGTGAGCTCGGGAGCCTTTGCCTGATCTTGATACTGCACACTGGGCATGCATACACCCGTCCTTTTGCCAATTTTTTTGTCTGCCCATCAATCCACCTGTCTGTCCATCCATCCATTCATTCGTCCGCCCATCTGTATGTCCATATGTATGTTGTCGGACAGTTTCATGATCTGACGCGTGTTGTGACGGGAGAGAAAGCGGCCGGTGAGCTGCTGCCGAGCGTTTGTCGATAACAAAAGCCGCCCGTGCCGCCCCAGTGAAAAGACCACGCAGCTCGGGGTGATTTGTTTCACCCTGGAACGCAGCCACGACGGCTACGGCAGTGACGTGGCAATGCTTTACGGCTGCCCGGTCCGAACGCCAAGTTTTCACTGTTGAATTTGAAATGTGTGCCCAGGCCTGGCTCAATGTATGTTGTACTTCTTTCGCACTATACATAGCCAGCCATGCTAATCAGTGGTGATGGTTGTGTTCTTGTCCTGGCTGTAAATTGTTTCGTGTTTGCCTCCGTGCGGTTGTTTATGTTCGCGTGTCACCGTGCGTAGTCTTCTTCCGATGTCGATTTATGGGTGTGCATGCATCCGTGCGGGGTCTGTGTGTGAGTCTGCTTGTGGGTAAATGATGGGGCGGCGAACCCGACGACCTGAGTTCGATGCCCGCCAATGGCTAACATGAGTGAAGATACTTGAATCAGTACTGGGCCTCCCCCTCAGTCGATTCAGCCTTAAATGAACGCCTACATAACTGCCCGCCAACAGAACCCGCCCCAACAGCCCGTGTAGGCTACATGGGCTGATCCCTGCCTTTGCGTGCGCAGCAAAAGCTAAAGGAGGAGCGCGATGCCAAGCGGGCGCAGATGGACGGGCGGCACGAGCACGTGCTCGCCGTGGTCGCCTCCTGCCTGGGCCTCGAGTGCTCGGACGTCGAGGAGGCCGTGCTGGACGGCACTCAGGTGAGACGGCGCCGTGCAGCCCGACGGGGCGAAGCGGGAAACGCGTGGCGAGCGACGACGCGTCGGCGGCGCCGTTTATATAAAACGAGCTCCGTAGCTCAGGGAGGATGCTGCCCCCGCGGCGCGATCGCTCGCTCGGCATGGGGCTGTGCGGACGAGCCGTGAGTGCACGCCGAGGTCATGCCGGGCGTGCGCGCACCCGGCAGTCGGGTCAGTGCAAATGAATATCGGTTCCCTCCCCACGTATTTGTTTTGCGTCGGGATGTGTGGCCAATTGCAATACAGAGGGTTTAGGAAGTGGGAAGACACCAGAGTACCCGGGCGACCAGCCCTGTACTTAATTGACCGTTGACCCTCGTAAGCGCCGTCGATACTGCGCGGTTCATGCTGCTGATCATCGTAGCGGGGGGTCGACGGAAATCAACCAATCAATTTCAAACTCTCAACGCGCCGCAATTGAGCGAAAGCCGAGACGGGAGCGTGGATGGCAGTGAACCAGACTGCACGTGAGGGGCGCTGGATATAATAATTGTTTTTTAATATGTGTGTGTGTGGGCTTAAAAACGTCGATCATCGTGGTTGACCGAACGTCAGCAGGCAGCGCTGCTCCTGACCATCGAGGCCGCCGATGAGAAGCTCCATTCTGCCGACTTCAGCCGAGTTTGGTTTTACACTCAGCAGGTCCCTTCCTTGGCGAGCGTAGATTGCATGGTGGTGGTGGTGAATGTGGGAGGATGACGTCGCTCGGGGAAGTTGTTGGTTGGCCGGTTGTCTGGTGGCCCTTTTTGTTGACAACCGTCGTGTCGGAGATTAGCTCAAAAGCACGAACAAGTGACCAACTAAAACTTAAAAAAAAAAATATTTTACCAGATAAGTTCCATTGAACCTTATAGCTCTTTTTCAAATGCGACCTGGCCACAAATGAAAGCTCAACAAAGTGGTGAGTACCATTTGACTGTTGTCATCGCCCGGCCCCCTCTGTGCAGATCGACAGGATGGAGCGGTTCTTTGTGAGCGGGGGGACCCCCCACCTCATGTTCTTCTACCAGGATGCGGAGCACGGGGACGCAGGTGAGGCCGGGCGGCGCGAGTGTGAGCAGTGGGATAGTGGTGAGTGATCATTCGGGGGTGCGTGTGTATGTGATAGCGGAATTCGGTAAATATGTTGGTAAGAATGGTGAGTAACAGGGAGGACGCTGTGTAATGAATGGCATAGGGTGTGCGCAATGGTGAGGATGAGTGTGTTAATGGAATTTGGGATCATGTTGGTTGTGAGGATGGTGAGCATGTTGGTAAGGATAGTGAGCATATTGTAGACGATGGTGTTAATGATGACGAACATTTTTGAGGATCAATGAGCAGGATTGGTGAGTGGGTGGGTCAGGATGGTGGTGATTTTTGTGATGAGTGTGATCGTACGTTGGCGGTGGAGGCCGGTGAGTATATTCCTGGTGAGGATGGCGAGTATCTGGCAGGGCAGCGAATCTGTCGGTGAGCGTGGCGAGCGACGATCGTGGCGGTGAGCGGCGCTCTCGCCCCCGTGTCTCGCCAGTGCCGAGCTCGCTGACGGCCGCGCTGTCTGCGCGTGCGCGGAGGCCGCGCGTCTTCGTGACGGACGGCGTGGACTGCGCGCTGCACGGGGCGTGCGTCGCCTTCGTGCGCCCTCACCCCGACCGAGCCATAACCGTCGACAACGTGCACAAGGTGCCCCACGCCCGGCGCCGGTGGTGCGAGCAGCGGCGGCTTAGTAGTTAACGCACTGCGCTACGATCCTCTGCGCGGTGTAATGAGTCCCAGCTTCTCGCTGGGAGTACGTGTGCGTGTGTAAGTGCACATTCCTCTGTGTGTGTGGGGAGCGGTGCTCTCTAACAGCGCTTGCCCCTGCAGTCTGTTATGTCTATATGGGGGATCTTTGTCGTGTCTTTGTCTTGTGGGGAGCGTTATTGCAATGGTTAGCGTGTTGCGCTACAAACCCCGGTGAGCCGAGTTCAATTCCCGCTCACGACCAATAACAGTGGCATATATCTGAACCAGTCCTGGGCTTCCCTTAGATCGACTCAGCCTTGAATGAGTACCTGGTGTAGTGTGTTGGCCTGCATAGCTGTTCGCTAACAACACTTGCTCCAACTCTCTGTCAAGGCTATACGGGGGGTCTTTGTCTCTGGTGGTGATGGTGGTGGTGTTGGCGGTAGCCTCCTCCTGTCCCTCTAACCCCGTGGGCTTCCTTGCCCCCCTACGACACTAACCCACCGGCCGCCACCGGTCGCGCCGTCGCCCAGGAGGTGAGCGTGAGCGTGCTGGACGTCGGTGACGCCGGGCTGCTCGGCGCCCTGGAGGAGCTGCTCACGCAAGTTTTCCTGCCGGCATTGCGGAGCCAGGGGCAAGCACCGGCCCAGGGGCAAGGGCATGGCCAAGGGCAGGGCCAGAATGAGCCCGACGGCATTCACGTGGCCGCCGCTCGGCTGAAGCTCGCCGGCGCCTTGGACAACTTCGTGGGGGTGCTCTCCGGAGCCCAGGCCAGCCTGGCAGAGAAGGTGACTTGACGCACGTGATGCATGCGCGTGGGGGGGGATGATGAGGAACTCGTCCTGCCCGCACCCGGAAATTTAATGGGGCCACTGTTTGATTGCGGAACTGATGGTTTGTGGCAGCCGACTGTGATTAAAGTGGGTGCTGCGACTTGACCGTCTCAGTCTGGTGACCCATTACCTCACATATCACGTAAAAAAACATCATAATTTGCTTCATTTCCGGCTCTGAGAATAAAAAATACCGTGTGAGGAACAATGTTTAAAGACCCAACTATCTGGGTTTTTGGCCATGGCTAACATCAATTCTGAGGAGTGATTTCTAAACCGGTCCTGATCCTCCCCTAGGTCGACTCAGCCATTAACCGAGTACCTGGTGGTGTGTGTAAACTTCGCCACTAGGGAGACAAAGGCGGCCGGGCGTGGTGCTGGCCACCATAAGTGTACACTCGCAGCACTTGCCCCGACAGCCTGTCCAGGCTAGACGGGGGATCTTTATCCCTCTCCGTCTCCCCGCCGCCGCCGCCGCCAGGTGGTGCTGAAGCCGTGCTCCACGTACGACCTGCGTGGCGTGAGCAGCCCCGGCGACTTCGCGGCGGTGGCGAGCAGCAGCGAGAGCCTGGAGCGGGTAGAGGCGTGCGTGCGCGTGTGGCTCAAGCAGATCGAGCAGGTGAAGTCGCCGGTGCCCCCCCCCGCCCCCCCACAGCTCCCAAGATCCCCCCCCTCCCCCCGCGACCACTAGGTGTGTGGGACCGTTACTATTACTGTTAACAAATATTAATCTAAAACTATTTTTATTTTACCAGGTAAGGCCCACTGAGCTACGTAGTTGGTTTTTCAGAAGCGACCTGTCCATAAGTGGCTTATTGCGTGGAAATGTATAGCAGCCACATACTCTAAACGCACGTTGATTTATAAATATCGAGGTAAACAACCGGAGGACCCAGAGCAAAAACCATGCGACCCATGGGTAGAGAGACATGCATACTCCAAATGTACAGCTGTCAGGGTCCCACACCCTCCTGCGTACCAGGCGAGGTAGTTAACATCTCGCCACCGTGCTGAGGTCGATCTCAAATGGAAAGGTAACGCATGCTCTGTGATTGTTTGCTCGCACAACCGGTCGCACGAGGGCCCCCTCTATAGGGGTAGCTCTGGAGAGCTCCACTTGGCAGTGTTCACACTTTACCCCACCACGCGCGACTTGTCGATCGACTGACTGTGGCGCCCATTCATGCTGCTGGGTGCAGAAAGGCGGTGGGTTGCAGGCGGTGGCATGGAGATTGAACAATCTCACACCGCTGTTTCAATTGTTGTGCCTGCTGGGAGACTGAACCGGCGACCTCATTCCAGTGCGCGGGAAGCACAGAAGCATCCATTTACGCAGATACGAAAATGAAAACATTCTTTGGCACGTGTCGTGATGGGTACTGCAAGATCCGACCATGTCCAGTCCAGTGCTTGCCGAGCTGCATTGGCTTCTGGTTGCCGAACGAACACATTTTTAGGTCGCACTCATTACACACAAAGTGCTTGCTATAAATGAACCACAACACTTTGCTGATCTCGTCAAGGAGCATAAACCATCACGCGAACTCCGGGCATCCTCGCAGCGGATTTTGGCGAACTATTGAACGAAAAAGGTCACTGCATCACGCACTTTCAAATGCGCTTCTGCGGCCGTCTGGAACGCTCTTTCTTCCGATATTAGGAAGCGACTGGAGAAATGCACTTTAAAATGTAGATTGTAAACTAATTTCTTGAACTGCTTTTTGTGTTTAGTTTGTTGTCTTTCCCCCGCACCTCCAATTAGTACGGTTGGCTACGTACAGTGCGAAATAAGTTCAGCATACATACAAAGACAAAGATTCCCCGTATAGCCTTAACAGACTGTTGGGGAAAGTGCTGTTAGGAAGCACCTATGAAGGCTGGCACGGCACATGTGGGGGTAGGTGGCCATCACCACGCCCGGCCGCCTTTGTCTCCTCAGTGGAGATGTTTACACATCACACAAGGTACTCATTTGAGGCTGAGTGGACCTAGGGGAGGCCCAGGACCAATAAAAAAAATCGTCACTTGTGTTGGCCGTGAGCGGGAATTGAACTCGGTCACCAGGTTCATCACAGCTTGCTAACCGTTGCACTACCGCTCGCCAAAACTTACATACAGATGCACACGCGCGTGGCTTTGAGAGAATCGCTCAACGACCCCCTGTCCCCCCGTGCCTGCCCGCCGCGCCCCGTCCTCCCGGCCCCGCAGGTCCTGGCAGAGAGTGACCAGATGCGCCGCGAGGCGGACGACGTGGGGCCCCGTGCTGAGCTGGAGCACTGGAAGAAGCGCACGGCACGCTTTGGCTTCCTCCTGGAGCAGCTCAAGGGGGACGAGGTGCGCTCCGTCCTCGGGGTCCTCACCGCCGCCAAGGCCAAGTTGCTCAAGGTGAGGCGTCGTCTCTCATCGCTGGGGGGCAGGGGGCACACGGGGGAAGGGGTCAGGGGTCAGCTGTCGCGTTTTGGCACAACCTGTCACGACGAGGATTAAGGGTATTGTAGCTGGCTTGGTCGTTCAGTAGTCTCCTCTACAGTTGGCACAGTAGGGGGGCACAGCTGGTGCATATTGCCAGTCATTTCAGTCAGTCAACCCATGGCAGCTGGGTCTGTCCGGTGACCCTTTGTCAACGACACTTTGACACTTCACAGGGCCTGAAAGTGCACCTGGCCTGGCATGGGGGCCATGGCAATGTCACCGCCACCATGGCGGCTATTACTGTTGTTGTTGTTGGGGGTTCAGTGGGACTCATAATGGCCAAGTCAGTGCGCTGAGCTGATGTAAATGATATATGTTCCCTTATAGGAACCATTATACCCGATGGGGCACTCAATTGGTCCATTAAATGTTTATTTCATTTTTTATTTGGCATAAATGTGCTGTTTACGTGAATATGTCTGCCCTGTACATCATCTTGAGATGTTTATGTTTTCATGTAGTATTAACATATCCATTATTATTGTCACTTATTATTTAACTGGTTTGAATTGATGCTCTCAATCTGACAGCGCAATTGAGAACCCGGTTTGATCACAGGCGGGGCTGTCAAACCAGGAATCGATCCCCAGGATCTCAGCGATTGTTGCTCCGGTGCTGTGACCTCTGAAAGCACGTGGCCATGTCGTTCTGCGGTGGTGACTTTTGTTGCAGACGTGGCGAGCGCTTGACGCCCGGATCACGGACACGGCCAACGAGGCGAAGGATAACGTGAAGTACCTGTACAGCCTGGAGAAGTTCTGCGATCCTCTCTACAACAGTGACCCGGTCCGCGCGTGTGTGTATACACGCGTACGTGTGTGTGTGTGGGGGGAGCGGTAGTGTAGCGGTTAGCATACTGCGCTATGAACCTGGCGACCCGGTTCGATTCCAGCTCATGGCCAACACCAGTGACGATTATTTGAACCGACCCTGGGCCTCCACTCGGAGAGACAAAGACCGCCAGGCGTGGTGCTGCCCGCTCACCCCCTCGTATGCCGTGCCACTCACTAACAACACTTGCCCCAACAGCCTGTTAAGACTATATGGGGGATCTTTGTCTTTGTGTGCGTGCTGACACTCTTTGCTCCAAGCACTCAGTAGTAGCAGCAGCAGCACGTTAGCACTTAAGGCGCTCATTTGAAATGCACTACGTCATTATTATCATTGTGGTTGTGAACGTGATCGCCATCACCGTTGTAATCGACATCACCGTTATAATCAGCAGCAGACGTGCTGTCAAAATCATCACCATCACCATTGCCAATGTCATCAGTAGGATCAGCAGCAGCAACAGCAAAAACAGCAGTAACCAGTAGCAGCAACATCACTGCTGCCAATACCACCTTTATCGTCATTGTCATAATTTTGTATCGTTTGCTCCAGGGCTTGTGTGTCGTGCACTGTGTGTGACATGGTGTGTGTGGTGTGGTTCATGTGGTGTGGTTCGTGTCTTGTGCTGCATATCCTGCGGTGTGTATGCTGTTTGAGGTGCATGTGTGGTGTGGTGTGGTGCATGTGGTGTGATGCGTGCGATATGGTGCGGTGTGTGTGGTGCGGTGTGTGTGGTGCGGTGTGCGTGGTGTGGTGCGGTGCGTGTGGTATGCAGGTGAGCATGGTGGACGCCATTCCAGGCCTCATGAACGCCATCCGCATGATGCACAGCATCTCGCGCCACTACAACACGTCCGAGAAGATGACCTCGCTCTTCGTGAAGGTGCCGTGCAATTCTGATTTCGTTACCAAACCCAAGACATGCACCTCTTATTTTATTTAGTGGATACACACACCTCGGCGGTATGCCCCGGGCTACCTGATATGAGTTTGAGACTCTCGTCGCATCTCAACAGTACAATGTGCACTCATATGCCGGCATCTAAATGCGACCGCATGGTAAGACGCTGTAAAGAGAGGGGCGTATTTATTTTATCGAGAGAGGCAGCCGGTCGTAGAGGCACAAAAAGGAAGGCCTTGAGTCTCGACTTGAACAGGGGCAGGGGGTCGACAGCACAGAGGGCTGGAGGAACAGAGTTCCAGACTTTATGATAATGATGCTGCGCGTGTGGAATGAGACGTTGCGGGGAATTGTATCTCTGGGAAACTCCTGTCATGACGTCCGCCGCTCCCAGGTGACCAATCAGATGCTGACGGCGTGCAAGGCGTACATGAGCAACGACGGCACGGCGTCCGTGTGGGAGCAGCCGCAGGAGGCCGTGATCAAGAAGATCGAGGCCTGCGTGCGTCTCAACCAGGTCCGCTTGCAGCCGCCCCTCCCTCCAGGCCCCCAAAGCGCGAGCCTCTCATCTATTTATTTATTTACTGGCGTCATATAAATGTTTGTGAGTTTCATTGGCCGGTTGATAAACTATACATTTCGATTTAAAGCTTTCGTGACTGCAGGGATTCATCTTCTTGGTTCTTTTGGTAAAGTCACGTAGAATGGAAATAATAAAATAATAGAAATAAAACATAATAAAATAATTCTCACGACGTTTCGGCCACAACGCAAGCAGCCGTCCTCAGGTGAAGAACAAGTCTGTCAGAAAGACAGCGTCTGAACGTCGTGAGAATTATTTTATGTTTTATTTTTATTATATGATTATTTCCATTCTACGTGACTTTACCGAAAGAACCAAGAAGATGAAACTATACATTGTTGTCGTATTGTTCTGACAGGGCCCAATAGTATCTGGCAGCTCAGCATCATTTGTTTATCAAGTTGACGAGGCCCAAGAGGTCGAAGACAGTTCAGAGTATGCTTGCTTAAACAAAGGCTGTTGGACAATATTGGTCTGGAAAGTTAGTATGTTAATAGGCTGAGAAATATCGAATTTTATGTGAACAGACAAATGGGTGTCTTTGTTAAATATTAAAAGCGGTGCAGTTATAAAATAAACAGCAGGGAGTGAGGAATTTGAGTATTGATCGTGGTAGACACTTCAAATAACCTCTCCCGATGCCCCCCCCCCCCCATTTTCCCCATCGCTCCTGTGCCCCCACCCCGTGCTCCCCCCACCCTCCGTACCCCCCCAGGAGTACCAGCAGTGCTTCCACCGCACCAAGAAGCGGCTGGAGGAGACGCCAGGCGAGCGCCCGTTCGACCTGAGCGAGATGTACATCTTCGGCAAGTTCGACGCGTTCCAGCGGCGGCTCACCAAGCTCGCGGCCTTCTACAGCACGGCCGACGCGTACGCCTGCCTGCAGCACTCGCGCATCGAGGGGCTGCAGCCGCTGGCCGCCACGTGCCAGGTTAGGGTTTCCCACCGCGTCCGAGCTGTGAAAAACCCAGGAAGATATCGTGGGGAGAAGATTATCTCTCGATATCGGAAAGGGGGGGGGAGTTATAGAACTACAAGTAGTGGTATTGTCGTAGTAAAACACGTTGAAGCGTGGGGCCAACTTAACACAAGTGTTGTGTGTCTAACTAACTACACGGAGACAGCTTCTGGAGGCAACAACAGTCAATGGACACCAACTGTAACACGAAGGGGTACGGCCCCTTCAACCCGATAGCCTAAGGGAGGTACAGCCTCCCTTCTAGTGTGTCCTACACACCCCGGGCTACGCTACACACAGGTCCCTTGCCACGGCCGCTAAGGGATGCGAGACCGACCCGACCCAGCCAGGGTACGGGTCCCACCACCGGTCCGCTACAACCCGGCTCTGGCAAGAGCCTCGGTTGAGGGTGCCAGGGTGCTGGTCCAGTCGTCAGGTCTTCGGACGTCTGCAGGCTTGAGTTGGCGAACACTGCCGGACCCGTTCAGAGGGCCGGCTTTTATCCCCAGGCCGGGCTTATCCATCCCCTCATCACCCCCTCTCCAGAACCTTCCAGAAATGTCTGGGAGGTTCAGGAAAGGTCTTAAAGGGTCTTAAATCTCAAAGGGTTTTAAAATCGGCCTGTGGCCACTATCCCCCCCAGCCCCCAGCCCTTGGGAGTCTGGGGTGTCAACCTCCGGTCACGGGCCACCCAGGTCGGGGGGGGGGGGGTTACCTTTGGTCAACCCCCACACACCTCGTTCTCTCTCTCGGCTGCCCCCTGTCGGCCCTGTAGCGTGGTAGCAGGTAAAGCGACGGACAGCGCCTTGGTATGGCGCAACACAGGCTTTCATGACCAATATTATCCATAATATAAGTTTTTGTTGGGTTAGATCACGTAAATGTAAATGACATATACATTTAATGACACATTTTATATTTACGCGATCTAACCCAAAAAAAACCTCTTATGTGGGGCCAACGTTGGCATTTAGTTGAAACCGTTGCGCCAACTTTGGCCCAACGTTCCATTTCTCCTGCTGTCTTGCGTCTCTTCTCAAACAATGTTTGAACTATTTCATTTGCATTTCTTTGCATATTTTACACGCGTAAAAATGTACAATTTATTCAAAATCAATGAACGATGACGGACTCGGACAACGACAAAGAGAGGAGTGCTCTTGTGCTGCAGACGATCGTGACGGACTTCACGAAGAAGCCCTACAGCGTGCTGGATCACAGGAGGGTCGACTTCGATGAGGACTACGATGAATTCTGCGCGCAGATCAGCGATCTCCATGTGAGCTCGGAGAGAGCAGCGTCGCTTCGTTTGGGAGCCACCCGCAATCGCTCCTTTTTTACTCTTTAATGTATACCTACGCAAGTTTAACCGTGACCCAACGTTCTTAGCAATTAATTGTAATTGTGGAGGGTGAGGAGGCCGAAATTAATTTGCAGAGGGCTGAAATGTGTTTCAATTCAATTGTTTTGAAGAACGTTATTTTTTAAAAATATATTTTGGAAAATGTATGTTAAAAAACGAGAGAGCGCATGGTTTCCACGAGCAGTGCATGTGGTATGGTGGTCGAGCACACCTGGGTCTGTCCCATGACCACCAGCCAGTGATCCTTTGACATTTCACATGGCCTCGTAAAACTCTATATAAAAAAAAAATACTTTACCAGGTAAGGCCCGCTGAGCTACATAGCTCTTTTTCCAGAAGCGACCTGGCCACAAATGGTCGCTCATAACATTTTAGAAGCTGGCTCTTGTTCAGCACATAAACATTTTAAATGACGGTCTATTTGCTCCCTTCTCACGGCCAGGCCCAGATTCGTCAATTCATGGACAGCTCCTTCGAGAAGATCAACAGCACGGAGAGGGCCCTGGTCCTGCTGCAGAAGTTTGAGAAGTAAAGCCTCATGCCTCGACAGATTGCATCACAAGATCTTATCACGACAGTCGATGTTCGTCACGCACCGTGGCTATCACCACCGACTCGCAGTCGGAAGGATCTCCCTTCCCATCCGGCCACTCTCTTCCCTCCCCGGCTCTCCACCTTTCCTACTGGTTCAGAGTGGCGTAGCTGCGGAGTGTGCAGGCGGTCCAACTGCACCAGGGCCCATGGGCTGGAGGTGACCAGGTGCTGGGCTACACAGAGAGGGGAAAATTGACAGCCCCCCCCTTCCTCCCCATGCCATTCCTTGTACCAGATTCCATGCCAAAATTGTTTCGTCCCCCTCTGTCCATCTTCCCCCTTGGTCCCTGGTTCCCCCCTCCTCTCTCTGTCGAGCCCCACTCCTTTCTCCCATTCTCCTCTCTGTTCCTGACTCAACTCCTTCTGCCTCTCCTCTCTTTCCCCAGAATTCCCCCATCTTTCCATCAACATCACTTTTTTTTTATCCCGTGTCTCCCAATGAGTACATTTCAAAATCATTACTCAGCGATTACAGACTACACGTAATACTTCAAAACAATATGGAATAGCCAATATCTACGTCAAACGAAAACAAACAAAACCAAAGTGCCCCACTGTGCTCGAGTCTACTCTCCTAGATCTCACCCTCGACCGTTTCCTTCTCCCCCTGACCCTTCCCACTTTCTCCCTCCACCGCCCGCCCCCCCGCCCCGCTGCCTCACACGCGTCCATCCCGCCCCCCGTTCTCCACCGCTAGGCTGGGCATCCCGGACCTGGGCGTGGAGGAGAAGTACCAGCAGGCGGTGCAGGGCTTCGCGCGGGAGATCGAGGCCGTGTCGCGGGCGTACGCGCGCCAGAAGCAGGACCCGCCGCTGGCTCGCGACGCGCCGCCCGTGTCGGGCCGCGTGGCGTGGGCGCGCCAGCTCGTGCGCCGCCTGCAGGCGCCCATGGAGCTGCTGCAGCGCTGCCCGCGCGCCCTCGAGTCGCCCGATGGGCGCCGCTGCGTGCGAAACTACAACCGCGTGGCGCGCGTGCTGCTCGAGTACGAGATGCTCTACCACAGGGCCTGGCTGCGGCAGGTAGCGAGCGAGCGAGCGAACGAGTGGGAGTGGCGGCGGTGGCGTCGGCTGCCTCCCGGTGGCCGCGTTCACCCCAGTGAAATGCCGTAAACCCTCTCTATCTGGCGAGGGTTACGTTCTTGAAAGCGCTCGCGAATGCAGCATTCGCGAATGCAGAAACCTTGTTCCAACGGATAAAAATGGGGCTACGTTCTTGGTACGAGTGAACATGGGGGGCGAGGGTGGTAAATGTTTAATAACAATGACTACCATGGAGGTGGTGTTGATGGTGAGGAATATCAGGAGGATGACTCCTCGGGAGATGCAAGGTGTTTGATAACAGCGCACAGTTGTCGCCAATAGGGAATCAATATGCATTTAGTAACTCGCGAATACGTGAAACTCGTGAATCCAGAACACGCGCACAGCGACGGTCTGCTGTGTTCACCCCTGCCTTGTGTTGCAACCCGACTACCCGTGTTCTCTCTGTCCACTTTGCTTTATCCACCCCGTCCTTTGGCCCTGTCCTCACACCGTACAATCAGCCGTGTTGGGGGCCATGGCGTGGCCTGGCTGTGGCGCAGAGGTTCGCGGTTCGAATCCACGTGTCGCAGTAAGAATCAGACCACCGTGATTGTTACTGCAGTGCATATTTAACCGTGATACTACTACGCGCCGTCGACTTCGCAGTGGACATTAAAGATCCCCCGACATTTCGTGACAGCATCATCATCATCATCACGATCCATGGGCAGATTGCCCGTAGGTGTCCACTGCACATTTGGTCATTCGTTTCCACTTTCCTCTGTCTTGTGCCAGTGTGACTCAAGTCGTGGTCGCATCTTTCTGGCACCAATCGCTTATGTGACAGCATCAGGGTACAAATTTGCCACTTTTGAAAACGACACCACCAATGGCTCAATTGGGATGGTACAACACAGCAGCCATCATTACCCCCCCCCCCCCCCCCTCCTCGTCTACTGGCAGCAGACGAATGCCTCCCCAGGTCACTCTGCAAATGACACCTCATCCTGGTCTCTTGAGTTCTCGCTTGAGTTACACAAAAGCAACTTGTTTACCCCTCCTGCTGTGCGTTGTCCACCCTGCCTCTCCTCCGTGCTTGAGTGGAGCGCGGCACGGTGTGGGCGCTTGGCGGCAGCACACCGTGCGTTCGTGCGTCGCTGCGCCTTCACGTGTTGCCGCACTGCGTGCGCGCGCGTGTCACCGTTCATTCGCACGTGACCGTGCGCGCGCTCCGAACGCGGTGACCCCGAGTTAGATTCTCGCTTACGGCCATCACCGGTGACGATTATCTGAACCGGTTTCTGGGCCTCCCCTAGGCCGACTCAGACTCAATAGAGTACCTCGTGTGGTTTGTATACATCTCCACTCGGGAGACAAAGGCGGGCCGGGCGTGGCGCTGGCCACATCAACCCCTCGTGTGCCGTGCCAGCCTTCATAGGTGCTCGGTAACAGCACTTGCCCCAACAGTCTGTTAAGGCTATTAGTGTATTTTTGTCTTTGTGCGAGTGTGTAAGACTGTGTGAGTCTGTGTGTGACTATCTACGTGTGTGTGTGTGCGCGAGACTGTGCTTACCGCGTCGCCACGCACATTCACGCGCATGTCCTCCCCCGCGTCTCCTTCAGGCGGAGGGCGTCCGTGGGGGCCTGCAGGCGTCGCTGCTCGTACGGCACGAGGACGACGACGGCGCCCACGGCGACCTCTTTGTGAACCTCGACCCCCAGGTGCCGGCGCTGTTGCGCGAGGCCGAGCGGATGTCGCGCATGGGCCTCGAGGTGCCTCCCGTGGCGCAGGCGCTGCGGCTCAAGCACCCGCATCTTCGTCGCGTCTACGGACAGCTGCAGGTGCGACCACGTCACGGCGGGATCCTGTAAGAGCCAAGCGAGGTTCAGCCTGGTTCGTTCGTGGCCCGGCGCCATGTGTTGTAGGTGTGGAGCTCCGTGGTGGCTTGGAGCACAGCAAAGTGTCAGTGGATTTTATTCGTGTGGAGGTTTGAGTGCAATGTCCTCGTATGCGTGGGTTGATTTCCTCCCAAACGTGAAACATTGGGATGCTGTGTGGCCAGGAGATCGTAGTGCCGAGTGTCACCCCCCCGTATAATGCAGGGTGGCTTTTCTTCCAGTTCTCCAGTTGCGTCCCTCAAGAAGCCACGCACTTGCCAATCGAATCGGTTCCTCGTTCCAGCACAGGAGCTTCCCGATGAGAGCGGCTAGGTGCAAATCTCTCGCCGCCACGCGTCCCAGTTGAGCCTCCCAGAAGTGTTGGTACAGCTTCACGCCCGCGGTCAGTTTCCTCTGCATGACGGCGCTCGACGATGCCCCCTCGCCCCTGCGCCCGCCGCAGGTGTTGGTGGCGGAGCACGCGCGCGTGCGCGGGAAGATCAGCGCCACCTACAGGAAGCTGCTGGAGCCGCACCTGGCGCGCGTCAACGAGGCGCTGCAGCCCGGCCTCACGACGCTCACCTGGACGTCGCTCAACGTCCACTCCTACGTGGAGGCAGCGCTCGCGGCCCTTGGTGAGACTCGTCGGAGGGCAGAGGCGTAGCTAGGGGGGGTGCAGGGGGGTACATATGTCCCCGGGCACCAAGGTAAAGCGGCGCCAAAATTAGGCTTACAACGTTACATTATAACTTATTGCGGCGGGCGCGGCAGCCTGAAACTACTGCACAAATCTACAGCTCAACCTAAAAGTTTATATATCCCGCCACACACAGCCTACATGTCATGTAATTACATTTTAGCATGTGATTAAACGGGAGGGGGGGGCGCCAATTTTATAGTTTGTCCCCGTGCGCAAAATATCCTAGCTACGCCACTGTCGGAGGGACCCCCGGTTAGCGACCGATGCCTGGACCCGTTGAGTTCATCGATGTCCGCTGGGATGAAGCGACTGCTGCCTGGTTTCATGAAGATCTCGGATTGAGCTGTCATTACTTCCTCAAAGACGAATCAAGTTGTATCTATGGGACCCTTTTTTCCCGATATCAAGATGATGAAAAAATTATAGGCTTTACCCTTGCCGGAAATAATACAGGAGGTGTTTCGATGTTCAAACACAAAATAGACACCGATTGTAAGGCATCATCAAGTCTGCTGCATTAACCACACATGCTTGTGAAAAAACACGTGAACAAACATGGTTTGATAATGCATACATTGTCCTTGGAACTGATTGGCCTACACCAGAGACAGCCTTCTTTATGGCCCGATCTCACAACCGGTGTTAAGACAAGAGAGCGCCAAAAAGCGAACAGCATAAAGACAATGTAAACATCAAATGTACGTGTGTTGAACAACCGTGGTAATCTGAGGTGCGGGAGAGGGACAACGAAGCATTTCAGCAGTTCTCTCAACTAATCAAGCGGTTGCCATGAAGCTGTCACCACCACCAACCACTTCTCGAAACCAAAACTAAAGACTAAACTATTTATATTTTATCAGGTGTAAGGCCCACTGAGCTACGTAGCTCTTTTTCAGAAGTGACCTGGCCACAAGTGATAGCTCAACAAAGTGGCTTATCACGTGGGATTTTATAGCAGCCAAATACTCTAAACGCTTGGTGATGTTGATTCTAAACGTGGAGGGAAAAACCGGAGGACCCGGAGGAAAATCCACGCGACCGCGGAGAGAGACAGAGATATGCAAACTCCAAATATACAGGCGTCAGGGTCGGAATCGAACCGACAACCTCCTGTATACCAGGCGAGGTAGCTAACATCTCATCGGGCTCAATCGAGCGACGCTGACCGCCGTCCTCTCTCGCGCGTCACGGCCTCCCCCCCTCACCCCGTTCTCCGCCCGCTCCCGTTCCCCCCACCCTCCAGGCGAGCTGGAGCTCCTGCTGGACCGAGCCAACGACCTCATCGAGTTCCGCATCGAGGCCGTGCTGCGCGAGATGAGCGCAACTCCGTTGTGCTCGCTGCCCACCGGCGAGCCCTGGAGCTGCGACGAGTTCCTGCGCTCCGTGCAGGTGCGGACTTCACTAGCGGTGGTCGCTGCCGAGGCGGTGAACCGGGGGAGAGCCCTCGTGTAGCCTGTTCTTATAGACTTCGTCACCGCTGATGTTAGCCCGGGCCGGGAATTGGAACTCCCTCTAGGATCATAGTGCGGTGTGCTAACCACTGTGCCATCGCTTCGCCTGCATGTGTACAAGTACGTATACATGTGCATGGCTATGACCACATCTATAATAATGCGCCCGATCTGATCATATCTCTGAAGCCACTTAGGAATGAGCCTGGATAGCGCTTCGATAGGCGATCACTACTCTTAAAACGGATGTTATAGGCTGCTGTGGAGGTAGCCACTTTGTCGGCAGATGGCAGTGCGTCAAAACGTGTTGTTGTACTGTACTATTCTACAACGTATACGCACGGCCACTTTCACTGAGCTGCACTCGCCAGCAGCGTGGTGATGAATGGAGGGCCTCATCCAGCAGTGCGTTGGCGAAATTGCTGTATCCGTACGACGCGTGCGTGCGCGCGTGTACGTGCTGCGCTGTGTCCAGGACTTGTGCGCCAAGGGGTCTCAGACGTTGCAGAGTCGCAGTGCCCAGGTGGAGGAGGCTGCTAACGAGCTCATCAACCTGTTCGTGGACACGGAGCCGTCCGACCGCGACGGGGAACTGCCCGGAGATGGAGGGGACACCCAGCCCGGCACGACCATTATTTCTTTACTCGCTCTTGAGTCGACGCGCAGACCCACGCGGCACGATCACCGCAGCGGACGCTGAGTGGCAAGACAGTAAAACTTCTTGAAGCCTGACCCATTGGCGGTCAGGTCAGATTCTACGGCAGACTACAAATACATATGATGCATTGATATGCTAACTGTAAGGCTGCATTGACAGTGGTGCAAAAGCACGAATGCTAAATATTCAACACATTTTTCAACAACACTGTGGCCTTAAAAGGATAAATATATAACTGGCGACGTGGCCATTTCTGGCATACACGGAAGTCTGGCTTCACTGAGCCTGGCTTGGAGGAGTTTTACTGAATTTGGCGGGGCCTGAACTTGCTGTTCAGCACCGTGGTGCCATACAGGGAGTGAAATGCGTGCAGTGATGTCTCAAGCGCCCGAGCTTTTAATTATGTTCTTTGGGTCTTTTGGTAAAGTCACGTAGATAGATCACCTGATGACGATTGCTTGTGTTGCGATCAAAACGTCGTGATATTGTTATTATTTTATTATTTTATTATTTTATTTTATCTATCTACGTGGCTTTACCGAAAGACCCAAAGAATATGAATTCCTGCAGTCACGAAAGCTTTAAGTCAACTTTTAATGATGCTCTTGGTTTCATGTCTTGAGACAAAGTGTCCATTCAGATCCCTCACACAGCAGTGCAAGCCTCTGTTTTAGAGAACAGCGCTCTGCTGGGCAAAGCTTCCCTTGTGCCGTGTCGGTTACATGACTCTATTTACGGTAACTTCCGTATGGTTACATTATACAGTGTGTACTATTATTTTCATTAAGTCGAATTATCCTGCTGGAAATCAAGAATTGAGACTGTTGAATTGCTCCCCAAGGAGGCCCAGTTCAAACAACAATCGCCACTGGCGTTAACCATGGCCGGGATTTCAAGCCCAGAATTGTTGTTGTGTTCGTTGCGCAGAGGACCGCTGCGCTACTTTCCCGGTGCGCTAACCTCCCCGTCTGGCACGTGCGCGACCCCGACTTGACCCCCACCCCTCGCAGGTGAGAGCCGTAGCGAGAGCCGGCGGGCGCCGAGCCGGGCGTCCTCCACCGTGGCGGCGACACCGCGCGGGACGGCGGCGGCGGCGGCGACGTCGTCGGCGCGCTCGCCCTCGCTGAAGCGGCGCCAGCGGCGGCGGGAGGCGCAGGCGGAGGCGCTGCGCGAGGACGCCCAGGAGCTCCTGGGCCTGTACAGCGCCCGCAACTCGGAGGCGCTGCTGCGGGCCACGCGCAGCACGCTGGAGGCCGTGCGCCGGCGCATCCACTCCTCGGCCGCGCTCAGCTTCATGGGTGCGGGCTGAGCGCGGTCGTACTTGTGTCGGAGCGGCGGTGGCGGCGGCTGTGTGAAGCCGACTGGATGTGTTTCCTTCAGCGATTGTTTATTTGTGCTCGTAATGTCGGTTGAGTAATTCGGGAGTGTTATTGAAGTGCCGCGACGTTTTGTTTCGTTATTAGTAATTGCTCAGTTGTGATCGTCATTGATTGCTGTTGGGAACCGTAATTACAAGTGGTACGAGATGTATGAGCGGTTATGACGATAATGACTGCAGTGCCAACGGTGCTTACAGTGATGCATTAGTGACATTGGGATTGATGACAGCGCCTATTATGGCAATGATGAGAACTATGGTGATGATGAAGATGATGACAAAAGTGATGATAAAAATGGTGGTGATTACGATGGAAATTATGACTGTCGCGATGATGACGATAGCCATTATTGACAAGGCTGATTGATGACAGTATGAATGATGATGATGACGATCGTGAAAAATGCTTATAAGGATGCTGTTAACATCGTTAACAATGACCATCATAATACTGGCAATATCCAGGACGATGACAATGATGATGATTATGATGATGAACCTATCTACGTGACTTTACCGAAAGACCCAAAGAAAACGATAATAACATAATGACGACGACGACAACAACAACGATAAATAACACCCCCATTACCACTGGCGGTGCCACTCAGAGAGCGATGGGGGCGGCAAGACGCGGGCGCCTCCACGGCCGTTCCTGCGCACGGAGGCGACGCTGGACATCCCCACGGTGGCCGTGCAGCCGGCGCTCGAGCAAGTGCAGCAGTTCATGAACCGCGCGTCGGAGAGCGTGCTGGCCGTGAGCCGCGGTGTGGCGCGCTGGAGCAAGGAGCGCATGTCCAAGGTGCGGCCCTTCCCCCATCCTCCCCCCAACTCTCTCTCAAGTCCCAACAATGGAGTGCATCATGGAAACAGGGAAATCATTTACACGTCATATTATATAATAATAATGAATATAATAATGCTATAACTATGATAATTGTTTTTTAACCCTTCTATCTGGCAACTAAACAAGGAGTCATGTTTGCATAGACCACAATACCTGCAGTCATAATGCAAACCAAAAACATAACTCTGATAATGTATGCACTGTTTTTTGTTTGCATTATGACTGCAGGTATTGTGGTCAATGCAAACATGACTCCTTGTAAAAAAAGGTGTCAGTTTTGTTGCCAGATAGAAGGGTAAAAAACCAATTATCATATTTTTTACTGGCAAATGACGTTCCAATGGTGAATGCTATAACTATTTATGGTCTTTCGTAATCTACCTCTGAAAAAGCCCTGCTCGCACCATGTCAATAGTGGGAGTTGTTTGACCATACTTCACCATGCTAGTCAGTGCGGGGTGATCGCATCAAGGAGCATAAACCATCATGTGAATTCCGGTCATCCTCGCAGGAGTGGCGTTTGGCTAGCCATCGAACAAAGATTGTCACTACATCGTGCGCTTTCAGATGCGCTTTTGCGGCCGCTTGGAATGCTCTCCCTTCCGATATTAGGAAGCCACTGGAGCGATGCACTTTTAAATCATCTACGTTGAAAACTCATTTATTTAGAAAAGCTTTTTGTGTTCAGTTTATTTTTTCCTTCCCCTGTACCTCCGATTAGCACGGTTGGCTATGTATGGTGTGAAAGAAGTTCAAGATACATACAAGCGGGATCTTATGGCTGCCTCCGTAATTGCTCGCTTCTGACAAGGGCCATGGCTGGGAGTCGTTGTGGCCGCTGGATCCACAGTTGTGCCACTGCTCCACTCACGGATTGATCCGTCATTATCAACCTGCTCACTGTGCTCCACCATGCAGTAGGTCACGTCGTTGGCCCCGCGGAAGGGCCACTCGACTTTAAACGGTGGCTCCATCTCTGGCTCCCGTTCGCTCCGGGGCGATAGTAGGCACGCGTTGCCGCCACCGTGCTTGGCCCCGAAGCTCAGGGGTTGGCGCGGTCAGGCGTAGGCCTGTGGCCAGCGGATTCTGTGAGACTACGGGGGTCTCGTCTTGTGTCCCCCAGGCCAAGATGGCAGAGAAGAAGCTGGCGGAGTTGAGGAGGAGCAGTGTGAGCAGCGACATCACGGACATCTCCGAAGTGGCCTCGCGGGGAAACCAAAGTGAGCCATGCCGCACTGAGCACGTTTCTCTCGACTTCCAATGGAGCGCTCGTGCTTTCTTGAGTTCTGTTTAAAAAAAAAAATCTCTCCTCCTCCTCGGTCGGCACAGACGGCAGTGTCAGTGACGTTGGGGGAGCTGCCGCCGCCTCCAAAGCACGCAACTATTACAAGCTGGTGGCAGAAAACAAGGAGATTGTGAAGCTGGTGTCTGTGCTCGGGACGGCCATCACCTCCACCAAGAAGGTGCAGCGCCGGAAGGGGACAGGTGGCTCACGGGGTTCACAATGGGCATGCCACGGTGGCGAGATGTAAACTCCCTCGCCTGGTACACAGGAGGTTCTGGGTTCGATTCTGACCCTGACCTTTGTATATTTGGAGTTTGTACGTTCTGCGCGTGGTCTCGTGGATTTTTCTCCGGGTCCTCCAGTTTTTCCCTCCACATTTAGAATCCACATGTGTTTAGAGTATTTGATTGCTATACATTTCCACATATGTCACTTCGTTGTGCTATCATTTGTGGCCAGGTCGCTTCTGAAAAAGAGCTACTTAGCTCGGTGGGCCTTACCTGGTAAAATAACAAAAATTGTTCAGAGTTCATAGTAATACCAGAGACATTGCGTTGGTGCCACAAAGATCCTCGCTTCGAATCTGGGTTTCAGCCGCTTGTGATTAAACCTGGTGCTCAAGCAGAACGAGTTTTAAGATTCACTTCTTTCACCAACGACTGCACACAAAAAAACATTACATTGAGGTTTGCAATGCATTTGGCAAAATTCCTCCTCTGTGAATTCAAATATATAGAATCGACTCCCTGCGCCTGTTCAAGTTCAGGCGACTCTTGCAAGTAAAGTCACTGTTACACAGACCACTCTTTCAAATAAGAATAATGAGAATAACCCAAAAATCTCTATTATGGATGAGAATATCCCTGGTCCTCTGGAGTTCTCATCTGGTTGAACAAAATAAACTTGAAGTCCAGGCACTAAGCCTTAATTTTTTCGATCTGCCTATGACTGACTGCTACTTTCTACCAAAATGAATGCCCTCTGTTTTTGTAGAGTCACATTTACTCAGTGTATTAGAGACGCAGTTATGTTTCGGTGGATATTAATAACAATTGTATTATGTTTGAATCTATGAATCGATGCATCTTTGATGCCTAATGATTTTATAAAACCACGTGGTAAATGCGAGTGTCGCGCCTTTTCCACGCGTACCTCCGCCGCCCTCTGCGGCTCTTTCCCCACCACCCCGTTTCACCCGTGCCGGGCACCGCCGCACTGCAGGACGTGCAGACGGCGCTGGAGCGATTCAGCAGCTACCACCACATCTGGCAGCGCGGCCGCGAGGAGGTCATCGGGGCCTTCGTCAAGGGCAGCCCCCTGTTGTCCGAGTTCGAGGCCCAGATCCTCTTCTACCGGGGTCTCGAGGATCAGATCATCAGCGAGCCCGAGTTCCTGTGCGTGGGCGCCTTGGCGGTCTATACTGGTAGGGCGCGGCGGGTTGGCTTGTCGAGTGAATGAAACGTTGGAACACTGCGTCCGGGGCGGCAGCGGTGCACAAGCACAATACATAGACACGAAAATGTCACGTTTGTCGTCAACACCGCCCGATAACAGAAAAGTTGTGACCTTTGTGATGAGCTGGGCTTGGCGGTTTGGCAATGCACGCCTGCAATCCAGAGCTTGATGGATCACGTGCAATATTGTGAAACTCTCAAATTCGCTGATCTGCGTGGTGGCCAGCTGTCAGTACGGCAAGTGGGAGGAAGCCATTCGTATGGGGCTATGAGTCTATTCCACTCGTGTGAGTGGGCTCTCACCAGGCACGCCCGTTTCCTCCCACATGAAGCCAAACGTGGCAAATGATGATGAAAAATGAATAACTGCCTTTAGCTAATTGCTACTACCCAGGTGTCTCTCTCGTCCGGTTAAATAGAGGACGGATAAATGGACGAATAATGTCCTCGAGATAAATCTCTTTTCTGCTCAATGTCACACGGCCGCTAGATTCCATACTGCCGCCCCGCCTCTCTCTCGCCCCTCCCCTCTCAGCCAACCTGAAGCTGTCGCTGACGGCCGAGACGAAGGCGTGGATGGTCGACTTTGGACGCCACTGCAACCTCAAGTACCGCTCGGAGATGGAGGCCATCTTCTCGTTCATCGAGGAGACGAGCAAGAAGCTGAGCCGTCCCATCCGCGACCTGGACGACATCCGCATCGCAATGGCGGCGCTCAAGGAGGTCCGCGAGCAGCAGATCTCCATCGACTTCCAAGTGGGGCCCATCGAGGTGAGGCGGGACTCCCTTCGTGAGCGACACGGCTGTCTCAATTCAAAAAACCTTCCCGACTCAACTCTTTTTCCCCGTCGTGCGCGTACCGCCCTGTCGGCCTTCCAACTGTTGCTTTCTTGTTTGTAACGTTTCCTGCTTGGCTTTGCTTTCTCTCACTGTCCTGTTTTTTTTTTAATAAAAATAACTATATGTAATAGGCGACAGTGGCCCTTTTTCTGAGTGCATAACTAGAGAGGTCAGAGATGCATTGTGGATGATGAGAACTGAAGACTGCACTTTACACCATGGGGCCTGATGAGAATTAAAAACACATTTTTTGATGAGCAGTTTTTAAACTGCCATAGAATTACTTACCTATTGGAAGCTATTGAATAACAGACAAACTCTTCAATATTAAAAAAACTATTACTGACAAAACTAATTTACGTGAAAAATTTAATTATAAAATGTTCACACGGAGATCGATATCACATATATTTGTGCGAGTCATTCGGACGCCATGTTGCCTGGTTTCTGTGCTTTCCTTTTATTTGTCGTTGTTGATAACATGAAAAAAATAATTATCCTTCCATTGCACGCACGGGCAGACGGTTTTAATTTTTCACATCTGCCCGACCTCCCCGTGGTTGGTGGTGGCGGCGAGCAGGAGTCGTACGCGATGCTCACCAAGTACGGCCTCGCCGTGGCCAAGGAGGAGGTGGAGAAGGTGGACGCGCTGCGCTACAGCTGGGAGAAGATGCTGAGCCGGGCGGTCGAGGTGCAGTCGGAACTCATCGCCATCCAGCCGGAGTTCCGCAAGGAGCTCATCACCAACGTGGGCACCTTCGTCGTTGACTGCAGCGACTTCTACCACGACTACGAGACGGTCGGTCCGGGGGAGGGGTTGGGGGTGGTGGGGGGGTGGGTGGACTGCACAGAGGCGATCCAGTCCAGATTTAAAAAAGATATCTCAATTGGCATATTTGTTCAGCCTATGACCAGATATATCTGGAATTGCGCCGATTTAGTCACATCTCAGGAGGCAAGCGGGGTTGGGCCTTGATAATACTTGGATTGACGAACACTGTGCGCCAACAGGTTGTCTTGAAGTGCTGTGGGCCTATGTGGTGAGCAGCAGAGGGCAGTGCAGAAAACCTATTTTTTAAATCCTTTATATTAAGTTCGCTTGCTTGCTTGCTTGCGTGCTTGCTTGCTTGCTTGCTTACGACCGTGTAAATCTTTCGGTCGTTTTTTAACCCACTTCCCATGATCCAATCGAGTTGACATTTTCCACACAGACTCGTTGTGCGTGACAATTAATTTTTTTCCAAAATTTTACACTATAGGACAAAAATATTATATTTAATTACCAATTGTTTAATACTGCAGACAATCATCTGACCCATAGGTGGCAGCCATCTCAAGCCAGAGGACGAGAGGACTCTAGCCACCACGCATATAAAGGATTTAGAGTGAAAAACTTTGTTTTTACGGGTTATACTTATTATATGTTTATACTGTACTTATGTGTTCCCACGTCTATGCTCCCCACCTGCACTGGCCCGCACTGATCCCGGCGTGCTTGAGCGCGGTCAAACACACCCCGCGATGCGCACCGTGCGGGGAGGCCCTCATCCGGCAGTGGATAGACAACGCGCTGCAAATACGAATAATGAATCTTGCACGGGTGTTGGGTTGCGGTGGGAGTCGGTGTGTTGGTTGGTGCTTCACTTGCGTGCCGATGACTCCTTGACTGCGTTTCTCCAGGAAGGGCCCATGGTCCCTGGAGTTGCTCCGCAAGATGCAAGCGACAGGCTGATCATCTTCCAGGTGAGATATCCTCAACATGAGATAAAAGGGGTGAACACTTTCCATATGAGCTAGCTCACCTTTCTCTGCATATTCGTAGCCTTGGGCGATTGTGTAGCCTTGGGCGATTGTTGTGGCATGTGAATGACACAAATGCTGAAATAATAAACAAGGAATAAGCCCAAATGCTGCGTAAAAATATGATGGCACCAGACCACGCAAAATCCTCCGGTCAAAGTTCGATTTATTCGAAAATAAAATGCACGGTGATGAAAACTGTGTTATACTTACTTTTTGGCGCAAAGAAACATGGAGAGATGTGTGCTTGAATTACACTGAGAGACAGACACAGGAGCAGATAGGCTGCGAGCATATGCAGGTAAAAACATCGTGACTATCATGAAAAGTACGTGGGCTTGGACATGGCACTGTGATAGAAGGGGTGATGGTCCAGACTAACTATGGAGATGGGAACTGCCTGCGAGGGTGTGCACTGGAGATGCAGTGAGGCAATCGGCCGATGCGCAGGCGCTATATAAATCGATACATCGCAAATCGCGATAGATGGTTACGGCTTTCGGAGGCCTTCATTTAGTGTTCCGTGGCCAAAGATGATTATTTATGATGATGACGAATTTAATACAAAAAAATCTGGTAACCCTTTCAGAACCGCTTCGACAACCTCTTCCGAAAGTTCCAGACGTACAGCGACGGTGAGGAGCTCTTTGGGCTTCCCGTTACACAGCACCCGCATCTCGCCGAGATCCGGCGCCAGCTGACGCTGCTGCAGAAGCTGTACGTCCTGTACAACAGCGTCATCGACACCGTCAGCGGCTACTACGACATCCTGTGGTCTGACATTAACATCGAGAAGATCAACAACGAGCTCCTGGACTTCCAGAACAAGTGCGCGTGCGGTGGCTTTTGCCGTGTCAGGCACCTGTGTGTACTGCTACTGTTGATGTCTGCGCCGTTGATATCTGGTGCGTGAATTGGTGAAAAGGTTGAAAGCTTGTCAGGTGGCCAGATGGTTCAGGGATATGACATTTTGTCAAGAGCCCTGCACCGCCAGAGTCCAGCTGTTAGCCGCCTGTCATTAAACTGGGTTCTGAAAAAAGTCTTCATCTGATGTTCATCCAGCTGGTATGATAGATGTTTTTAATTAAGCTAAATTTAAGTGATGAACCCAATTCAATATGATGATTGTGTGCAAGTAATTGGTAACCAGGTTGATACCATCAACTTCACTACGGTTGAGAATCCGGTTTAATTACAAGTTGATGCCTGGATTCAAACTCAGGATGTCAGCACAACACTGACCTCTCAACTACCTGGCCACTTCAAAATGATAAGAAAAAAATATATTATTGCACAGCTAAATATTCTGCTTGTATTCCATCTATGGGTCAGGGTCTCTCATCGCCACTGTTGCACATTTCATCACCACCTTTGCCAAAGGCAGATCTAGAAACGTCCCAAAGGTAGGCAGTTCTGAAATTTCATGGTTTTTAAATAGGACCCTATATTAACTAAAAAGAATACGTTCAATACATTTTCTCTCGTAAATACCGATGAAATGCCATTTTTGGGGGATCTCGGGGGGGGGGGGAGGGGGGGCGTTGATTGCCCCATCACCCGGTGGATAAAAGACAAAAACAAAACTCTGGGTCGGGATACGCGCCGCCCAGGTGCCGCAAGCTGCCGCGGGCGCTGAAGGAGTGGCAGGCGTACCTGGACCTGAAGAAGAGGATCGACGACTTCAGCGAGAGCTGCCCCCTGCTGGAGCTCATGTCCAACAGGGCGATGATGGCGCGCCACTGGAAGCGCATCGCCGACACCACGGGCCACGCGCTCGAGGTGGAGAACGAGGCCTTCAAGTTGCGCCACATCATGGAGGCTCCGCTTCTCAAGCACAAGGAGGAGATCGAGGTGAGGGTTGAGGCGCGTGAGTGAGTGAGTGTGTGTGCGCGGTGGCGTAGCGGCTGGTGCACCGCACTACGAACCCGGCGATTCGGGTTTGTTTCCCGCTCACGGTCGACACCAGTGGCGATTATCTGAACCGGTCTTGGGCCTCCCCTAGGTCGACTCAGCCTCAAATGAGTACCTGGTGTGGTGTGTAAACATCACCCCTCGTGTGCTGTGCCGGCCTTCATAGGTGCTCGCTAAAATAAGTTGCTCCTACAGTCTGTTAAGGCTTTGAGTGGACTTGCCGAAGACAGGTAATAGCAGTGCCAAGATCCGTCTGTATGGAGAAGGCTCGTGAAGGACGCTACTAGGCAGTTGGGGCAGTCACTTTCCAATAACAGTGTAGGGCAGCGGAGTGACGCTCACAACAACGAGCAGAGCACCGGGCAGCTAAAATACAGCAAGTTGGTACAGCACAGGTGGTGCATCTGCCAGTCATCTCGGTCACTCAACCCATGGAACCTGGGTCTGTCCAGTGTCCTCCTGTCAGCGAGCCTTCAACACTTCATGTGGTGTCGGAGATCACCTGACCTGGCACAAGCGCCGTGGTGATGTCACCCTCACTTAGTGGTGAATGACGGCTGTTGTTGTGTCCTTAATAGTATAGTGGTTAGCGAACTGCGCTATGAAGCTGACAGCCTGAGTATTATTTCCGCTTTATGGGCAACATTGGTGAGCAATCTCTGAACCGATCCTGGGCCTCCCCTCGGTCGATTCTTCCTTAACTGACTCCCTGATGTGGTGCATGTAAACAGCACCGCTGGGGAGACACAAGCGCTCTGCTGTCCCCATAACAGGACATCTGCATCAGCGCGGTGAAGGAGCGTGACATCGAGTTCAAGCTGAAGCAGGTGGTGGCCGAGTGGGATGGAAAAACTTTCACATTCGGCAACTTCAAGACGCGCGGGGAGCTGCTACTGCGCGGTGACAACACGACCGAGATCATCGCCACGATGGAGGACAGCCTCATGGTGCTCGGCTCGCTCATGAGCAACCGGTGAGGGTGACCTGAAATTAACCAAAAAAATACACTTTTCATTTTACCAGGTAAGGCCCACTGAGCTCATATAGCTCTTTTTCAGAAGCGACATGGCCACAAATGATAGCTCAACCTAGTGGGTTACCATCATGTGGAAATTTATAGCAGCCAAATACTCTAAATGCATGTTTCTAGATGTGGTGGGAAAAACCGGAGTGCCCGGTAGAGAACATGCAAACTGCAAATATACAGGCGTCAGGGTTGAGATCGATCCCACGACCTCCTGTATACCAGGCGAGGTAGTCAACATCTCGCCACCGTGGCGCCCACGGTGGCGTAGCTTCTCGCAGTTGCCGCCGTATGACTCTACAAAAAAACGACGCACCAGGAGAGATTGAGGATGTCCCGTTCCTCGTGCTGGCGCCCGGGCGGCCGTGCGCGCAGGCAGGAGAGCGTCCTCAAGGTCATGTTTATTTTGTTTAAGCAGGTGATAATTGAAGAGACCAGGATAAGTGTTATTTGCAGGAGTGACCTGGGTCATTAGTAGGGTGGATGATGATTGCCTGTAGATGGACGATGATTGCTTTGTGTTTAGTCCCCATTGTGTAATTTGTAGGTATTTTTCGAATTTGTCACTTTGGACCCTGACGCCTGAGCACAACGACTTACTCTTGCAACTGACATCAAGGAATCTTTGATGCGTACTCTGAAGCATACGGTTTGTGCATTTTTATCTGTTTAGGATCAACAAAAATGTTATTTTATCTTCGACTAATTCACTCAGAATTGTGCCCGAACTCGTCGGATCTCGGAAGCTAAGCAGTGCAGAGGCCTGGATAGTTGCTTTGAAGGACGACCACCAGCGTCATCATTGTCGTGTGACCTCTGAACGAATACCTTACGGGGGGGGCACACTCGCTGCACCACAGCGACTGACGGCACAGAGCGAGTTTGCTGAGAGGGTAAAACCACATTAGCTGTATGTATGTTGATGAACTGTGAATAACCCAACTAATAATAGACGTCAATTGTAATTTATGTGACTACATTAACCCCCAAATTAAATCACAAATTAAATGTAGTTGTTTTCATTTTTATTATTTTTCACCCACGTGACTTTACCGAAAAAACCAAAGAGTATGGATCCTTGCAGTCACGAAAACTTAAAATCTAGAATTAATACATGAACCCCCCTCTGGTCTTCACGCCTCCTCTTATTTAAGACTAAAAAATGAGATTTTCTGCACATTTCTGGCTGTTGCCTGATGAGGCTGGTTGTAATTACTCGAATTATAAATTTTGTGGGTTTACTCTCCAACACACCAGCGTGCTGAACTAGCAAATAATTGGCATGTTTTGTTTATGTAACAAAACATACTAATTGGCTGTGTCGGGTGGTGGCGGGTTTAGCGACACATTTATATTTACGCGATCTAACCCCAAAATACCTCTGTTATGCACACTTGCTGGCCTACCGTGCGACGTAGTTGCGATCTCTGACAACAACCAGCAACACCAGCACGATGTGCATGTGTCACGGTGTGCAGCTACAACGCCCCGTTCAAGAGCCAGATCCAGAAGTGGGTGAGCAACTTGTCAAACACGACGGACATTATCGAGAACTGGATGACCGTGCAGAATCTGTGGGTCTACCTGGAGGCCGTGTTCGTGGGCGGGGACATCGCTAAGCAGCTGCCAAAGGTACCCCCCCCCCCCCACTCTCACCCCCCCACTCCCACCCCTGTCCGCCCCTGCCTCCCTACCCCACCGAGTTCGCTGACACGGAGCCGCAGAGGAGGTGATGGCCGAATGAGGAGCGTGTGCCTGCACAGGCTACTTTGAAATTGGCAGAATTGGCGCGAGAGCGAACAAAGATTTGCAATGGGTCCTGAGAATGGCCAGGGGTTGTGGGGCGAGTGGTTTATAATTTCATGTACATTCCAACACTAGCGATTTTATGCGTCGGATCATCAATGTGAGAATCAATTATTAACAAAGCATGCAAGTGGTAATGCAAACCATTTAATAACCTTACATTGAGGATAACGATGCAAAATTGATTCATTATTGGATCGAATCCCTACCCTGAATCATGACAATCCATCGAAGGGTGAATCGTTACGTGGATATCGAATGTGCGTTTTGGGACCTGAGACGCGGGAATTTCCGTTTTCGATTGCGCACCGAGCTTGGATCAGGATCGGCGTCGTCGTCCCCCCCCCTCCCCCCCCCCGCTTCATCATCCGCAGGAGGCAAAGCGCTTCTCCAACATCGACAAGTCGTGGGTGAAGATCATGACCCGAGCGCACGAGATGAACAACGTGGTGCAGTGCTGCGTCGGGGACGAGACCATGGGGCAGCTGCTGCCCCACCTTCTGGAGCAGCTGGAGCTCTGCCAGAAGTCGCTCACCGGGTGAGGGTGTGTGGCCTGCAGCAGCAGGCAGCAGCAGGCAGCAGCAGCAGGCAGCAGGCAGCAGCAGGCAGCAGCAGCAGGCAGCATCAGCAGGCAGCAGCAGCATCAGGCAGCAGCAGCAGCAGCAGGCAGCAGCAGGCAGCAGCAGCAGCAGGTAGCAGCAGCAGGCAGCAGCAGCAGGCAGCAGCAGGTAGCAGCAGCAGGCAGCAGCAGGCAGCATCAGCAGGCAGCAGCAGGCAGCAGCAGCAGGCAGCAGGGACTCACACCGAGGCCTCCTGCAGTGGGACCTTAGGACCTCCTCTCTTATAGTCTGCGTTAGGTCTTGTTTGCTGAGACTTACTGCATTATGAGATTGCAGCATTGGCAGTAGTGTATGTTTGCTGAGACTTACTGCGCTATGGCATCCGTTGCTCTGACGCCGCCCTATGCTAAGGTGTTATTATTCTCCCGCTTTGCTACGGAGAGTGAGTTTATTCACGTTAACATTAAAACCAACATTTTTCATTCAAGGAGTTGGAATATAGACAAATTAAATCTGATGGCTTTTTTGCAGTAATTGTATGTATATTGAGCTTCTTTCGCACCGTATATGTAGCTAACCACGCTTATCAGAGGTGACCAGGCTGGGACAATCAACTCAATACACTTCACTTGAGTCCCCGGTTTAATGACAGGAGGCTGCCTGGATTCTAACAGAGGAAGTCAGCAGTGCCAGCTCAGTGCTCCGACCCCAAAGCCACCTGGCCACCTCTTTACAGCATCCATCCTTCCAAGCCACGTGGGCCTTCTCACCTAGGGCCCCCTTTATGTCCCCTATGCAAAGGTACCTGGAGAAGAAGCGGCTGCTGTTCCCACGCTTCTTCTTCGTGTCGGACCCGGCGCTGCTCGAGATCCTGGGCCAGGCCTCCGACTCGCACACCATCCAGGCGCATCTCCTCAACGTCTTCGACAACATCAAGACCGTGGAGTTCCATGAGAAGGTGCGCTCCTCTGTCTTTGTTGTATCTGTCGTTGTTGTTAAGAGTTCAATTGCATGATGGTGATGGCAGTGGTGGTAGTGGCAGTGATATTGGTGGTGATGGTGGTGGCTGAGGGTGGTGGTGTTAATGGTAGTGGTGGTGGCAGCAGCAGCAGTAGAAGTGGTAGTGGTGGAGAAGGTGGTAGTAGTGGTGGTAGTGGTGGCAGCAGTGGTAGAGCCAGTGGTAGCAGTGGCGGTGTTTGTGGTCAACGGGATTGTGTTGGTGGCCGTGTCTGCAGCAGTATGGCAGATGCAGTGGTGTAGTGGTGGATACGATGATAGAAGTGATGGTTGCTGTGGTAGCAGCGGTGGTGGTGATTGTGACTTAGTATTGATAGTGATGGTGGAAGCAGTGGTGGTTATGGCAGTGGCATGGGTGGTAATTATAATATTGCAGCATTGGCAGTAGTGTATATATTTTGAACTTATTTCGCACCGAACATAGCCAACCGTGCTAATCAGATGTGCGAGGCAAGTACAAAAAGCAGTGCTAAAGAAATACGTTTTCAATATATATTTAGAAGTGCATAGCTCCAGTGGGGGCGCGATGCGGTGACCATCTTCGTTCGATGGCCGGAGTTTGCGTGGATGGTTTATGCTCCTTGGCGGCGGCGGCGGCGTTAACGCCACGGGGATTGACTCCGACCCAGGTGTACGACCGGATCCTGGCGGTGTGCTCGCGCGAGGGCGAGACCGTCCAGCTGGATAAGCCTGTGATGGCCGACGGCAATGTGGAGGTGTGGCTCAACGCGCTGCTCAAGGAGTCGCAGCAGTCGCTGCACGGGGTCATTCGCTCGGCCGCCCTGGCCGTGCAGGACTCGGCCTTCTCCCTCATCGAGTTCCTCGACTCCTACCCCGCGCAGGTGCGTGCAGGGACGGCCACAGGTTCCCAGTGTCTTGTAAAAAAAAAATCGTATGCCCTGGAGTATTCTGATTAATTTGTGAATAAAACAGGCCCGTTAAAACTTGACTTAAAGCTTTCGTGACTGCAGGAATTCATACTCTTTGGGTCTTTCGGTAAAGTCACGTAGATAGAAGAAAAAAAAAATCACGACGTTTCGATCGTAACACAAGCAATCGTCTTCAGTTGAAAAAATACAGCAGGCGGACTACTGAGGCTGGAAGAAATATAGCGAGAGAACTACTGCAGCCCCAGGTTATATAGGTTTGAGATGGGTACAACCCAAGGGTAAGTGGGCCGGGCTAGAGATGGAATTTGCAAGTAAATGTAAGATCGCAGAGCTAGCTATACCTCTTTATTGGGGCTCTCTTTTGTGTAAAGCCCCGGGGGCAAATTGCCCCTTTTGCCCCTCCCCCACCCCGATTTTGGACAGTCTCGGATCCTGGGCAGTGGGGCGCCTGTCTCTAGAAAGTCCAGGTTCGTTTCCCTCTAAGTAGATGACATGGGGAGCTCCTGAGTTGAGGTGTTTGTCCAGTAATTGTGAAACTTGTCCTTATTGAGGGCAAAACGGCAATTGAAATACTTTTGGCTGCAGACCACACAATAATATACAACTTGATTTTATCCAATAATAGCATTAAAATGTATGGGTCCAAGAAGCCTTTGTCGTGACAGAAGTGACTGAAGCTTGCCAAAGTTATAAATGTAGTGTTACAAGCTCCAAGTGATATGCCAGTGCTCACCACTCTCGGCCATCCTGAGCCAGCGATGAAAATTCCACATTCCTATAGCCGGGGACAAGTCGATCCATAAGCACAACCCTCTGCTGGGCGTTGTGCCGCTGGGCCAGGTGGGGCTGCTGGGCATCCAGCTGCTGTGGACGCGCGACTCGGAGGAGGCGCTCGCCAACGCTCGCTACAACCGCAAGGCGATGCCGCAGACAAACCAGGCCTTCCTGGTGCTGCTCAACCGCCTCATCTCCATGACGACGCAGGACCTGTCGGCCGTGGAGCGCATCAAGTACGAGACGCTCATCACGATCCACGTGCACCAGCGCGACATCTTCGACGACCTGGTGAGTGGTGGGCGTTGCGGCGTGCGGCTTGGTGTGGCGCCGGGATCTTCCGGCCTTCCAGCAGTGCCCTGTCTGAGCGCAAGGCACGGTTTGCGTGGGTGACTGTAAAAGACAAAAATAATAATAATCATCATATTTATTGATTAGGATTTGCATTCATTGAACTCTTAAGTTCCTCTACGTATACGTATTTCATATTACATTGAAATTGGCTTTCGGTTAGACTTAGATCTCTAGATTGTTTTACGTGTATTTTTCAATGAAGCCCCAGTTTCTGTGTCCCGGCTTGTGCTGCGCTGTTGCCCCTTTCTCCGGCCTCCCTCGTGAGTTCCCCCCCTGCCTTCCACACCCACTCTTCTACCTCTCAGTAGTTTTTCATTTTTGTAGCGCATCTCGCGATTCCAATTGCTTTTAGTAGCTTGATAAATAATATTAATTTAAAAAAATGTTGCGATGCACCCCCAGTCAGTTGAGCTCAGTTCAGTGAGTTTATATCGGGTGAAGCTCTTTTGTAATGGCAACCCGGCCATAATGGCTGATTCGGTAGCAATCGCCATCACGATGGCGCCCCACTTGTGGTTTTTTGGGTTTTAAGACGCGGCGTTTGTACGGATCTCCTCCCCCTCATTGCCCCCCCTGCCCCCCCCCCCCCCCCACCACCGCGCAGTGCCGCATGCACATCAAGAGCCCGACGGACTTCGAGTGGCTCAAGCAGTGCCGCTTCTACTTCAAGGAGGACGTGGACAAGCTGATCGTGTGGATCACGGACGTCAGCTTCATCTACCAGAACGAGTTCCTGGGCTGCACCGACCGCCTGGTCATCACGCCGCTCACCGACCGGTAAACGCTTGCGCACGTGAGATAGAAAGAGAGGGAGGGGCGAGTTTACAGAAGTGTTACGCGGGTGAGAGCGAGTGCAAGACGATTGTGCGTGGGTGTGTGAAAGTAAGTGTTTGTGCGCGCGAAGTAATGTGAGTGTGTGATTTAGCGGGCGGTGTATCTGTCTTGGCCAGTTGACCTGTAGCACCTGGGTGCTGCTCCGTTGCCTCCAGTCAGCGGGGCCTTTGACATGTTACGTAGCCTCGGGGTGCACCTGGCCTGGCACAAGCACTGTGGTGAAGTCTCCACCACTTAGTAGTGAATGGCCGCTGTTGTGCGTTACGGCGCTTGGGGGGGTGTGATTGAGTGTAATGGTCATAGGCGTATGTGAATGATCGAGTGTCAGCGCATGAAGGTGGATGTGTACGTGATAGTGTTACATCTGTAAGTAGTCGTGGCTTCTATCATGCTTGAGTATTGAGCTCGTGTATGGTGAGACTAGTCCTAAAAGAAATCTGTCTCTGGTGTAGACCAATCAGTTTCAAGGACAATGCATATTTTAATTATCAGAGCATGTTTTATTTGCATGTTCACCACAAGTACGTGTTTTTAATGCAGACATGATTCCTTGCAAAAGGTTTCTATTTGGTATTTTAACATCTTAAAACCTTTTTTATTGCCAGAAAGGGTATAACCTATTCTTATTTTTTCACATCCGTTCACTCATCGCCATTGACGATGATGGTGACCATCGCCAGCTGCTACATCACGCTGGCGCAAGCGCTTGGCATGAGCATGGGCGGGGCGCCCGCGGGGCCGGCCGGAACCGGCAAGACGGAGACCACCAAGGACATGGGCCGCTGCCTGGGCAAGTACGTGGTCGTCTTCAACTGCTCCGACCAGATGGACTTCCGAGGGCTCGGGAGAATCTTTAAAGGTGGGTGCCGCACTGTCACGCGTAGCGCACGAGGCTGATCGGGAGTGTCCTTTTGATCCGCGCGTTTGTTCTCACGGCGTCACTCCTGGCTGCCCTTAGAGGTCCCCGCAATTATACGGTGCAACAGAGATGTGGGTTTGCAAGGGGCCGTCCATAAATGACGTCATGCACCTGGGGGGGGTCAGACATTTGTGACGATGTGTGACGAGGGGGGGGGGGTTGAGAAATGTGACGTTACATCAAAATGCGCAACTTTAATAAATATAGAATTGCTATAACATTGCTATACTTAATTAAATAGACTTTTTAATAAATGTTTTCTGCTACAACATCAGAGTGCAGCGCCACATTAAATACGCACTACAATGACAATAGTTTAAAGCGATTAGAAGCATGTTTTTTTTTTGGGGGGGGGGGGGGGCAGAGCTTTGTGTCGTCATATTTGAGGGGGGTCTGACTTTTTGTGACGCCGTGTGACGAAGGGGGGGGGGGGGGGTCGCTCAAAAATCGTAAAAAATCGCGTGACGTCATTTATGGATGGCCCCCAAGACGATTGTGAGTGGGTGAGTCCCACCAACGGATTGAATCGCAAACAGGGCAAATCATTTACTTGTCTTGTTATATAATAATATAATAAATATAATGATGCAATAATTATTTATGGCCTTCTGAAAAAGCCTGCTCACACAATGTCAATAGTGGGGGTTGTTTGACCGTACTTCACCATGCTAGTCAGTGTGGGGTGATCTCATCAAGGTGATTAAACCATCACCACGCGAACTCCAGTCATCCTCGCAGCAAAGATGGTCACTGCATTGCGTGCTGTCAAATGCGCTTCCGCAGCTGTCTTGGAATGCTCTTTCTTCCAATATTAGGAAGGCACTGGAGCTATGCACTTTTAAATATATTTGTGTTTAGTCTGTTGTCCTTCCCCCGCACCTCCTATTAGCATGGTTGGCTACATATGGTGTGAAAGAAGTTCAACATACATATGTAGGGGTGTCAGGGGAAGGATTCCCACCAATAGGTGGGTTAGTGGGAGGGGTGATCGAGGAGATATAAGGAGAGAACGGGCGGGAAGAAGGGGCCTTTGGCGGGAACGATATTGGGACGGCTGGGGACAGGTGTGGATGGAAGAAAAGGAATAAAGGACGAGACCCCTGCAATCTGGTGTCGGCTCCCCCTTTACACATACATACATACAGCCAACTGACGAGAAACTTTGACAAGATCAAGGCTACCAATATCTTAGGGGACAGCGAGGGAAGGTACTGATTGATGGAAATGGGAAGAATGTTTTTCTCGGAGGAAGTGTTATATTGAGAATGGAGAGAAGGGCAGAAGGGGCAGCGCTTGACGTGGGGCATCTCCCTCCTGACCCCTGACCCCTGGCATGCATTGCCTTCCCCCCCTAACCCTAGGCCTAGCTCAGTCGGGCTCGTGGGGCTGCTTCGACGAGTTCAACCGCATCGACCTTCCCGTGCTGTCGGTGGCCGCGCAGCAGATCGCCATCGTGCTCACCTGCAAGAAGGAGCGGCGCAGCCAGTTCACCTTCACGGACGGCGACCTCGTGGAGATGAACCCCGAGTTCGGCATCTTCCTCACCATGGTGGGCGGCCGCGCTCCGCGCACGGTTCGGCCATCGGTGGCTCTGCTCGGCGGAATTCAGTAGTGGGGAATCCGAGAGCGGTGACAGGTCGAAGCCATCATAGCGTTCTGCTGCGTGTGTGTCACGTGTCCTCGGCGTGAAGTCTTAGGGTTGTTCACGCCTGAATTGTGAATTTTAACGAGGGACGTCCGAAACTCCAGCAATGCTGAGGAATAAAATCTGTGTGTTTGATACTGCAAAGTTGAAGAGGACATTCTGTGTGTGGAGGAGAGCAGAGTGAGATGGGATGGGAGGGTCGAAGAGAGCGAGAAGACGGGGTGTAGTGTGGAATGTGAGGTAATAGGTTGACAGGGGTGAGACCGTGGAGAATCTTCAATGCTGAGTGTGTAAATGAGTACAGTCAAGATCCCATGAGCCACTGGAACAACACACTGCGAGCCAATCACTTTGCTCGACTCACACGTGTCCCTGCGTGTGCCCACGTTTTATTCCAATTTTTTCGCTCTGCCGCGTCCTCCCACAGAACCCGGGCTACGCCGGGCGGCAGGAGCTGCCCGAGAACCTGAAGATCAACTTCCGCTCGGTGGCCATGATGGTGCCCGACCGGCAGATCATCATCCGAGTGAAGCTGGCCAGCTGCGGCTTCCTCGACAACATCGTGCTCGCGCGCAAGTTCTACACGCTCTACAAGCTGTGCGAGGAGCAGCTCTCCAAGCAGGCGAGTGTCGCCAAGCTCGCCCGAGCATCGCTCTGCACCACTGTTCATCATTGCAAGGCCCGCGTGTCATTGGCGGCCCCTGGTGGTCTTTAGTGAGGCCTCTGAGAATACACAACATGTGAAAACATCCCCCAGTCATCGTGCTGTCAAACCCAACAATGGTTTCAAGTGTGTGGCGGGCTTCACACAAAATAACCTGAGATTTTACAAGCAAATGTGGAATGTTGGGTCAGCGTTAGTCCGACGGTTCCAACCATGTGCCATTGTTGGCCCAACATGTTTACTGGGTTTATGTTATTCTTGAGGTTTTGTATGTATGCACGTTGCACTTTTGTGGCACCGTACGTAGCCAACCGCGCTAATCGGAGGTGCGGGGTGTACAGCTTGAAAACATGGTTTGCAATAATGCTTCTACCAATGCAGTGCATAGCGATGTTTGAGTCTCTAATACTGCTGGATCCAAACACACAAATCTCTCTCTTTTACAGCTCCATCTAAAATATCCTGCTCTCTCTAATTCATTCACTCAGCGATTCTGTTATAATCTGGCTGCTTACGGCAAAGCCATCGGCAAAGTGCACACTTCCAACACTGCCCAACGTGAGCAACAGAGCCGTAGCCAGCGCTTCCTGGCTTAACGTGAAACTCGCCACCGTCATGGTGAACGTTTCCCAATGAGAGACACCACGTTTTGTTTGTTCGTCCGTTTGTTCGTTTCTCGATCCGCTTTTCCTGGTGAGGGTCGCGGCAGCAGCATGTAGTGTAGGGGAGTCCAGACCACCCTTTCTCTGGCGATGGACTCTAGCTCTTCCTGGGGAATTCCCAGGCGTTCCCAGGCCAGCCGGGTGACATAGTCCCGCCAGCGTGTCCTGGACCGGCCCCAGGGTCTTCATGTTTTGTATTAGATCTTATAAGAGAGTGTCAATGATGAAAATGTCAATTTGCCACCTCTGCTAACTCACAGGTGCACTATGACTTTGGGCTGAGGAACATCCTGTCCGTGCTGCGGACGCTGGGCGCCTCGAAGCGATCGAATCCCCAGGACACGGAGTCGACCATCGTCATGCGTGTGCTGCGCGACATGAACCTATCCAAGCTGGTGAGCTCCCCCTTCCTCCCATGTTCGCTCGCCCGTCCATCCATGTGTTCATCCGTTCGTTTGGGGTGCCACGGTGGTGACGAGATGTTATCTCTCTCGCCTGGTGCGCAGGAGGTCTTGGGTTCCACCCCGACCCTGACGATGTCTGCTGTATTTTTGAAGTTTGTGTGTTCTCTCTCTCCTCGTGATCGCGTGAATTTTTTCTCCAGGTCCCTCGGTTTTGCCCTCCACATTTATAAACATTAGTTTACATTATTTAGATATGACCATAAATGCCCACGTGATGACATGAGCCACTTTGATGAGCTATCATACGTGGCCAGCTCGCCCCGTAAAAAGAGCTCAGTGGGCTTTACTTGTTAAATAAAATAATACATTGAAAAATAGTCATGTGTCCATGTAGTTCAAGCAGAATTCATAACAGGGAAAGCTCCAGGTGGATGGTTGCGGAGATGAGAGGCGGCTATCCACGGTCGGCGCCCTCGATAACAAAAATTCACTGTTGAGCCTTCTTGTACGAGGTTAAGTCATTTTCTTTTTACGAGGTAGAGTAATCTTAACCTTAAAGATTACTCAACCTCGCACAAGAACGCTTGACGGTGAATTGTTGTTATCAGCAGGGCCGACCGACCTTCCGTGCCTCTAATCTCGGCACCTATCCACTTGGAGTTCTTGTACAAGGTTAAGTAATGCGTAAGGCCTCACGTGCTGTCCCTGCGTTCCCCCTCGTGTGGACCATCAAGGGGCATGAGGGATCCGGTTCCCCCACGTTCCCCTCGGTGGGCCACCAATCAGCGATGCACGAGACCGAAACAATTATTTTAGGCCGCTTGCTGTGAATGCAGAGAAACAAGGCGAATCTGTTAACAGCATCGAGCGTTTAACAAATCTTCGCGCCTGACAATTGAAATTGCCCGGGCATGGGACGGTGTGCAGATTGACGAGGATGAGCCGTTGTTCCTGAGTCTCATTGATGACCTCTTCCCGGGGATCGCTCTCGACAAGGCCGGATACCCTCAGCTGGAGGCCGCCATCAACCGCCAGGTGAGTAGCGCTCCTGTGCTGGCCACCAGTGTCAAGATTTAAAACGAATTTCTAACTGCTTTTGTTGTTAGTTTGTTGTCCAACCCCCGCACCTCCGATGAGCAAGGTTGGCTGTGTACGATGCGAAAGAAGTTCAACATTCATTCATACACCATCACCGTCGCTGGTAGGCTGAAGTAGGCCTAGAGACAGGACAGTAGAGTAGCCATTGCCATACTGGATGTGGGATGCCAAGTATGGAAATATTTTCTGGGTCGCCCGAACTTTGACAGACATGGCTGCAACTAAGCCCTGGTCTCACAGAAAGACCCAAGGACTTACGGAGACACAGTGACTTATTGAGGCTCACAATCACACAAATGCTTGCTGGTAAACTGGACAGACTCAGCTGAAATGAATCCCTTGGTTCATGGGACCTCCTTTGCCAGTACCAAAATATACTAATAGGGTTTTTCCCATTTTTTCTGGCAACAAAACTGACACCTATTGCAAGGAATCATGCTTACATTAACCACAATACTTGCAGTCAAATGCAAACAAAAAACAATACTCTGATAATGTATGCATTGTCTTTGAAACTGATTGGTCCACACCAGAGACAGCTTTCTTTATATGAGACTAGGCTCTAAAGAAAGCTGTCTCTGGTGTGGACCAATCAGGTTGTCACACCGACCTCCCCAGTGCAGGCGTCTCAACTGCTGATCTACTGTGAAGGGGCGCCACATTGGCAGGAAGTTAACTATCTCGCCTGGTATGCAGGAGGTCGTGGGTTCGATCCAAACCCTGACACCTGCTGTATATTTATAGCTCAGTGGGCCTTTCCTGGTAAAATAAAAAATAGTTTAGTTTTAATCTAGATTTGAAGCTTTCATAACTGCAGGAATTCGTACTCTTTGGTTCTTTCGGTAAAGTCATGTAGGTAGAAATAACGTCGTGATTTACTTTATTTTATTTCTAACTACGTGCCTTTACCGAAACAACCAAAGAATTTTAGTTTACTGGTCCTTGGGCCAGCGGCTGAACCAATCCATGGTGCAGCCGGAGATGAGCGCGGGGAAGCGCAGGGCGCGCGTGCGGAAGCGCTCGCCGACTGGCGAGAAGCAGAGCACCACGCGCAGGTTGAGGCGCACGCGCGTCATGAAGAACACGTGCAGGTTCTCCTGCTAGTAACAGCTTAATCCGTGGCGCCGGGTGCAGGTGGAGCAGGCCGGGCTCGTGATCCACGCACCCTGGAAGCTCAAGGTGATCCAGCTGTACGAGACGCAGTGTGTGCGCCACGGCATGATGGCGCTGGGGCCGAGCGGCGCCGGGAAGACGACGTGCATCCACACGCTCATGAGGGCCATGACCGGTGCGGCACGCGGGCTCGGGGCGCGGGCGGTGGTCGTGTCGGGTGGAGGAGTGGTTTACGACGCACATTTCATTTTTTGTGTTTAGTTTGTTGTCCTTCCAACCCACTCAGCACCTGCGATTAGCACGGTTCGCTATGTACAGGTGCGAAAGAAGTTAATCACTTACGTACATACAGTTACGCGATTTGACCCAAAAGTCAATGATCAATAGTAACGTTGGTCACAAAAGGCTCACGCATGAGCCCATACCCTGTCAACCATAACCCTCACTATAGCCCTGAACATTGCCCGAATAATAAACCGCCAAGCAGAAATTGAAGATAACATATTTTTAATCCGATGAGCTCCAAAGCTCTCTTTCACAGATGCCCAGTAGGGGAGGGACAGGAAGTTACAACAAAAAAACTAAACAAAAATTATAGTGCAAAGTATAGGAAAGGTAGGCAGATCACTAAAAAGAATGATTCGTCCGCTCTAACCAGAGCACAGGCAATCCAGATAAAGTAGTGAAACGCTAAATCACAGAGACTTTTAATGAGCCCCCAAATGTCTGACGCCACAATATTTTATCGCGCGCTAAACTCGGTGCTCCTCGTGCCGTGTCATCCCGCGTCCGGCTTCATGCCACGAACAGAGTGCGGGTCTCCGCACCGCGAGATGCGCATGAACCCCAAGGCCATCACGGCGCCACAGATGTTCGGGCGCCTGGACGTGGCCACCAACGACTGGACGGACGGCATCTTCTCCACGCTCTGGAGGAAGACGACCCGCGCCAAGAAAGGTGCGGCCCCGGGGCGCGCGCCGGGGGTCGGAGGTCGCGTCGAGACCTATCGGCAGAGTCCTCTTGGCAAACCGAAGCGACAGATGCGTAAATTCACGCCGCCGTCGGTTCAGTTTCAACGTCCCAACAACGTCCAACCACTGAAATGCCTCTCAGAAGTTCATTATCACCAATACAAGAGTGAACTGGGGGAGCATAGGAGCAGTTGTTAATTTTCGCGATTAGGTTTAGGATATTGTTCATATTTGTAAATAAAGATAATTTTTAAAATTTCAGTTGCTGAACACAAGCCGAAGCATCCGTATTGCTATGCGGCCGTCAGCGACGTGGTGAAGGATGCGTCACATGACCCGCACAACTTGTGTGGCGTGGGGAGGCCGTCACCCAAGAGTGGATTGACAAAAGGGATGAACATGTATGTGCAGAAGAACTTCAGAAAAGGGATGTGCTGGGTGGGAGTATCACTGCCAGCGACAGCAAATACTGACAATCCTACAGGAGATAAGGGCATAACCCTTTTTTTTTTTATTTGGCTAGGTTAGGACATTGACGCTCCCAATCCTCGCCCTCCCCCCGCCCCTCCCCCACGCCCCTTCACAGGCGAGCACATCTGGATCGTGCTGGACGGGCCCGTCGACGCCATCTGGATCGAGAATCTCAACTCGGTGCTTGACGACAACAAGACGCTGACTCTGGCCAACGGGGACCGCATCCCCATGGCGCCCAACTGCAAGGTGGTGTTCGAGCCGCACAACATCGACAATGCGTCGCCCGCCACCGTCTCGCGCAACGGCATGGTGTTCATGAGCTCCTCCGTGCTCGACTGGAGCCCAATCCTGGAGGTGGGTGGTGATGGTTGTTGTGGTGGTGGTGGTGGAGCGGTTAGTGCGCTGCGATACAAACCCTGCGACCCGGGTTTGATTCTCGCCAACGGCTAACTCCAGTGACGATTATCTGAACCGATCCTGAGCCTCCCCTAGGTTGACTCAGTCTCAAATGAGTACCTGGTGCGGTGTGTAAACATCGCCGCTGGGGAGACAAAGGCGGCCAGGCGTGGTGCTGGCCACCCACCCCTTCGCGTGCCGTGCCGGCCTTCATAGGTGCTCATTAACAGCACTTGCCCCAACAGTCTGCTAAGGCTATACAGGGAATCTTTGGTGGTGGTGGTCGTTCCACGGGAATGGGTTTGGGCAGCGGTGTGGCGTGGTTGGCACGGGCCCTGGGTGTGAGCAATGATATGGGGCCCCTGTCCGATTCCCCCCTCTGCGAATCTCAGTCCCTGGGACCTTCCTGCCCGTTTTCAGTTGCACCACCTGCACACGGGATAGCTGCACAACTGATGATGATAGGAGGTGGTTAATGACAATTGGATCATGAGGTAGGGGGATATATGGTAACAGGTCGAATGTACGTTATCAAGTGGCCATTTGTCAGCATGCTGCTGCTGCTTGCACGGCAGCTTACCCTCGCCCACGCTCTGCCGCTGTTTGCCCGGCGCATTCGCCCATTCATTTGGCATCCCGCTTGCGCCGCACAGGGCTGGCTCAAGCAGCGCTCGCCGCAGGAGAGGGAGACGCTGCGGAGCCTGTACGCGAAGTCTTTCCTGGAGCTGTACCGCTATGCGGCACACTCACTCTCCTTCAAGATGGACACCCTGGAGGCCTTCGTCATCGGGCAGAGCCTCAACATGCTGCAGGGCCTCATCCCCAGCAAGGTGACTTGGCAGGCAACACACCTCGTGTGCGCGATCCCTCCTACTACTACAACAACAACGACAGCCGCCATTTGCCACTGAGTGGCGGTGACATCATCATGGCACCTGTGGCAGGCCAGGTGCACTTTGAGGCCACATGAAGTGTTGAAGGCTCGCCGATAGGTCACGGAACAGACCCAGCAGGTGCGCTGGGTTGACTGAGATGAATGGCAGATGCCCCAGCTGTATCCCCAACTGTGCCAACTTGCTGTATTTTAGCCATGAGCGTCACTCCTCTGCCCTCTGTTGTTGTTGGAGGGCGACTGCCTCCAACAGCCCAGTAGCAGCGTCCTTCACGAGCCTCCTCTACAGAGACCGATCTTGACACCGCTGGTACCAGTCTTCAGCAAGTCGACTCAGTTCCACATCCACCCGAACCGCATCAGCTCCATCTCTTCTGCAGCCCGTGTCGTGCCTGTTTAGCCCCCTCTATCCAGCCAAACAGAAGCTCCTCCTACGCACGCACACACTGATCGCACTGAGCTTCCACCGTTCGTGTCGTCCAAGCAGGATCACGGAGGAGAGGTAACGCCTGAGCACCTGGGCCGGCTCTATGTGTTTGCGCTCATGTGGAGCGTCTGCGCGTACCTGGAGCTCGATGACCGGCGCCGCATGGAGCTGTGGCTGCGCTCGCACGAGACCATGCGGCTCGACCTGCCGGCGGTGTCACCGAACGGAGAGGACTCCATGTTCGACTACATGGTCGGCGCCGACGGTGAGCGCCGGCACGAGGGGGCGTTTTGTCCGCACCTTGACGGTTCGAGCGACTTCGTTAAAGTTCAAGACCAACAGCGGCGGCTGCAGCTGCAGCAGAATTGGTAGCAAGGAACGAGTGGGTTGGTGTCAGTGGCAGCGTGCAGGCGGCGCAACTGTCCCGGTGCGGTTGCTCTTGCCTGCAGCCTCGAGAGCTATGTCGCCCATGGGTGTGAAAAACAGAATCAGAATATGTATTTATACTGAAGGAATTCGATGAGCTATAAGTATAACCCGTAAAAACAAAGTTTTTCACTATAAATCCTTTATATGCGTGGCGGCTAGAGTCCTCTCGTCCTCTGGCTTGAGATGGCTGCCACCTATGGGTCAGATGATTGTCTGCCAGTATTAAGCAATTGGTAATTAAATATTTAATTTGTTTTCCCTAAACAGTGTAAAATTTTGGGAAAAAAATTTCACGAACATTAATTGTCTCACACAACGAGTCTGTGTGCAAAATGTCAGCTCGATTGGATCACGGGAAGTGGGTTAAAAAACGACCGAAAGATTTGCACGGTCGTAAGCAAGCACACAAGCAAGCAAGCGAAATTAATATAAAGGATTTAAAAAGAGCTCTTTTTTCACAGATGTCCAAAAACAACATTGGCATTTATGAAGCAACTACGTGCAGCTGCATTGCCAGCAATTGCGCGGCACGCGAGGTTCGGCGCGGGCAACGGTTGACGCGGCGGTGCGTCGTGGGAAACGGGGCGAGCCGGTGTTGCGAGCGGCGTTCCGCAGGTGACGCGCGGTGTGGGGCAACCTCCCCCCTCCCCCACCCCCTCCCCGTGGCGGTGCGCGGCGCAGGGCAGTGGGTGCACTGGAGCTCGCGCGTGGAGGAGTACGCCTACCCCGGCGACCACACGCCCGAGTACAACTCCATCCTGGTGCCCAACGTGGACAACGTGCGCACGGACTTCCTCATCCATAACATCGCCAAGCAGGGCAAGGCGAGTGCCGGACAGCACCCACTTGACTGCCCCCCCCCCCTCCCCACCTCTCTCACCGTGTGCTGTGAGGAAGGGCCATTGCTTAAAACGTCACCTCTTGTGTTATTGACGAATCTGTTGAGATTACATTTTTTGGTCACAGTTTCCCTGTACATGAATGGTGGCTCCTGTCTCCAGGTTGTGGAGGATACAAATGCCACCTTAGTATTCCAGTCCGACGTGGCATCTGCAGGTGGATTAATGGGAGGGCTGAAATGCAAGGCAATTGTGTGATGATTGATGGTGATGACGATTCACCAGTATTTCTTGTCAAGTCTCAGATTTACTTTATTCATTTTAAGTTTGCAGTGATCCTTCCTCCCTCTCCTCTCTCATCTCACTTCCCTCTATGGCATGTTGTCTCCGCCTCAACAATAAAGTCCTCCTTCTTACAACGTTCGCAGTCAACCTACGTTCCATGGAAGGTCATCGCCCTTAACCTTATAACACCACAGTCTATTGTAAAGCTTTTGAGCGAGAACTAAGGGAGGAGGATGGTTGAGGTGGCTCCTCTTAGCTTTCCTCAACGATTTTTTAAAGGGTGACATCAATTTAACATCACACCTAGTTCCCCGGTCAATCCGCACACATGCCTCATCCGATCCTGGAAACCCCTCACAATGGTGGTTTGTAGCCTCCTCAACCGGAAGCTGCGAGCTCACGACGATGTTGACTGGGAGAGCTCACTGTGTCTGTAACGTCTTGACGTGTTCGCGTGTGCAGAGCGTGCTGCTCATGGGCGAGCAGGGCACGGCCAAGACGGTGATGCTCAAAGGATACTTGAGCAAGTACGACCCAGAGACGCACCTGGCCAAGAATCTCAACTTCTCATCGGCCACGACCCCGCTCATGTTCCAGGTGCGTTACCCATGCAGCTCCTCCCAGCACACCAACAACAGCAGCTGCCGTTCACCTCTAAGTGGCAGTGACATCACCACAGGGCTTGTGCCACGCCAGGCGCACTTTGAGGCCACGTGAAGTTTCATAGGCTCGCTGACAGGAGGTCACGGGACAAACATAGGTACCATGGGTTGACTGGCTGAGACGACTGGCAGATGCATCGCCTGTGGCCCCAGCACATAATGGGTGCCCACACAAACTTCCCCTTTTACCCCTCTCTGAAAGAGGTGTTTCTTTTTTTATCATAAAAATGTAACCAATGTTTTTAGCAACATGGGATGAAGTATGAGATACTGGGATATTGTCAAACTTGGCCTTGGAGGAACGGTGTCGACTCTGCAAACAACTTCGGGAGGTAGCAGAAAGAAGAAGGCCATGAGCAAAGTGTGGCCGTATCCGCGGTATTGGCCGTGATTACTCCCTCGTCGTGAAATTGCAGTTACATCGCCATTGCAATGTGTGGACATAAATGGGAGTTTTAAAGAGGGTTTTCACACGATCGTGGCTGTCACACGGCAGTTCTTTTAAAATTCGATGCCGCGAAACTGCGTAGCTGCTTGTGTCTCATTCTCCCATCTTGCCTTTGTCTCCTCCCCCCTCTTCATCGTCGCGCAGCGTACCATCGAGAGCTACGTCGACAAGAAAATGGGCACGACGTACGGACCGCCGGCCGGGAAGAAGCTGACCGTCTTCATCGACGACATCAACATGCCCATCATTAACGAGTGGGGAGACCAGGTGAGGCACGGAGCTCATTCGTTTGACTTTCCTTTGTCGGTTCGCAGACCATTGTCAATCCACTGATGGATAAAAGCCTCCCCACGTGGAGTCATTTACAGGGGCTTGTTTTGACCTCCGATTGACACAGTTGGCTACGTACGGTGCAAAAGAAGTTCAACGTACATACATACATACATGGACATATTTTACCACTCTGGTCAGTCTGGAATGGTGATGTCGGTAGTAAGCGAGGAGCGGTTCAGATGTCACTTGCCACTGATGTCAGCCATGGCAGGGAATTGAACTAAGGTCATCAGGGTCAAGGCACATTACGTGAACCGCTGTACCACCACTCCACCCCATGTCATGAGACAAATAATCCATTCACAAATATTGCGAAGCAGTGATAACGACAGTTACGTATCTACGCTGGAAACCTAATATTTTGATATTTTTAAGGAGGGTCCTGCATTGTATGCTTTAACGAGTGTTCATGCGTGTGGGAGGCTCAGCCCTGGACAAGCCTGGCAACCTCTTGAGTTTATCTATGAACTCCATCAATGATGCACGACAGAACGACGCGCTTGACAGCGCCTTGTCATTCCGGCGACCTGGTCGTGCCATCGGTAACGCGAGCATCTTAGGGGAGCGGCACAGCTCGGATGCCTGATGGGCGAGCGATTCCAAACGGGGCTTGCAGGTCACCAACGAGATTGTGCGGCAGCTGATGGAGCAGGGAGGTTTCTACAACCTCGAGAAGCCGGGCGAGTTCACCAACATCGTGGACGTGCAGTTTGTGGCGGCTATGATCCACCCAGGGGGCGGCCGCAACGACATCCCGCAGCGGCTCAAGCGGCAGCTGTCCATCTTCAACTGCACGCTGCCCTCCAACGCCTCCATCGACAAGATCTTTGGTATGCATGTACACGTTATGTTTAACTATTTTTTGCACCGTACGTAGCCAACCGTGCGGCTCTTTTGGTGAGCGGCTCTTGGGTCCCCTCACTTGTTCATGCTTCCAGTTTGGACCAGTCTAGGAATCTGTTCCCCTGCCACGCTTACCCAGCCAACTCTAGTTTCATTAAATTACTCAATTGGGATGACACATCGCAATCATCGCCCCCCACCCCCCCCCCCTCTCTTTTGTGAAAACTTGGCAGGACTCTCCTGAAAAAGAGTCATGAGACAGAATGAACGTTTCCTGGGTAAAACAAAAACATCTCGAGGTAATGTTTTGGTTTCAGTTGATTTGGTGGCCAAATCTGGTGGATAGGTCATGAGTGGCAACATTCTGTGTAGCTGTTTAAGGTGGTAGAATTTAATAAGGGTTACATGAAGAATGGCCAATTCAGAGGTGGCTAAATCAAGAGTGGCCAAATCAGCGGTGGCCAAATCATAAGAGGCCCAATGAAGATTGACAAAATCACGAGTTGGCCAAATAAAAAAGTGTCCAAATTAGTGGTGGCCAAATCGAGAGTGGCTAAGTCAAAAAGTGGCCAAATGAATAATTGGCCAGATCAATAGTGGCCAAATGAAGTGTGGCCAAATCAGTTGTGACCAAATTAGTGGTGCCCAAATAGGAAGTGGACAAATTAGTGGTGCCCATATCAAAAAGTGGCCATATCAGTAGGGGCCAGATCAAGAGTAGCCTAATTAGAGGTGGCCAAAGCATAAGTAGCCAAATGAAGAGCGGCCAATTCAGAGGCGACTAAATCATGAGTGACCAAATCAGTGGTGGCCAAATCAAGAGTGGCCAAATCAAAAAGTGCCAAAATCAATGGTGGCCAAATCATTAGTGGCCAAATATGTGGTGGCCAAATGGTGAGTGACCAAAAAAAGAGCGACCAAATCAGTGGTGGTTAAATCATGAGTGGTGAAATGAAGAGTGGCCAAATCAAAAGTGGTCAAATTATGTGGCCAAATCAAGAGTGGCCAAGTCAGGGATGGCCAAATTAGGGTTGTCCAAATGAAAGTTTGCCAAATATACACAGCTTGTCAGAAACGTGTTTACTTGTTTATACTGGAACCCATTTATACTCTTAGGTTTTTTCGGTAAAGTACGTAGGTAAAAATAAATAATAAATAATAAAAATTATATAACTAATAATAGAAATAAAATAATAAATCACGACGTTTTGGGCGCAACACAAGAGTCCGTCATCAGGTGGGACAACCACAGCAAGAAACAATTGCTGAAGTGGGCATCAGCATAGCTTCAAATCTAGAATGGAACCCATTTGCCAATCTACCACCAATTCACCCTGTGCAGCGGGCAGTGCATTGCCTGCCATCAACTCACACTGACAAAGTGTGGTGAAATATGGCCTGGGGATCATTGGGGGAGGCTATCCTGCATAAAGGATGACCACAAGTGAAAACCAACAAAGTGATACAATTAACAACATTTTTGCAAACGGTGTGCGACATTGCGCATTTTATTTGCGAAACCTGGCTTTGTCTCAGCTGGAAGCCCAGCCCTGGGATTCAAACCTAAACATTGAGCCATTCTGATTCAGTGTCGCCCATCCTGCCCCCTCTGACCCCCTGGCGCTTGACGATGATAATGATGACTGAGCGTCGCTGCCTGCCGCCACCGCCGACGCAGGTGTGATCGGCACGGGGCACTACAGCGCAGCGCGCGGCTTCGCAGAGGGCGTGCGCGCCCTGGCGGCCCAGCTCGTGCCGGCCACACGCCGCCTCTGGCAGCTCACCAAGATCAAGATGCTGCCGACGCCGGCCAAGTTCCACTACGTGTTCAACCTGCGCGACCTCTCGCGCATCTGGCAGGGCCTGCTCAACACCACAGCCGATGTCGTGTCCTCGCCGGAGGTGATTCCAGGCTTGCGGCTCTCCCCGCTTCTTTACGCACTTTTTAGCTATTGTTCCATTTTGTTTGTCAATGTCCATGCGTGTGATCCATACGTTAAAGCATGTCATGCACACCATATACATATGTTTATGTTTTTTGTGTGTGACAAGGTTGTGTCACTGTTTAGTTATATATGTATGTATGTTGAATTTCTTTCGCACCGTACATAGCCAACCGTGCTAATCGCCTCTTTGTTTCATCAATTCCATCCCGATATGCCTTCAATAACTGCGCAGAGTATGTGTATACATCTGCGTTTCCCAATTATTTCCCTCAAATAATGATTTTATTTTAATGATCACAATTGGAATAATAATATTATTTATTATCTTCCTACGCTTGTTTACCCAGGAAAGCCCCACTAAGTCTCATGACTCTTTCAGGAGGGTCCTCCCATATTTTTGTAGTAGAGAGGCCATGATTGCCACGAAAATTCCAACGAAATAACGATTTTGTAAGTAAAGAGAGTACCGCAGTTGACCTTTGCCCCGCGACCCGGCCTGCCCCCCCGACCGTCCGCAGCTGCTGCTGCGTCTCTTCAAGCACGAGTGTGAGCGGGTCATCGCCGACCGCTTCACATGCGCCGAAGACACCGACTGGTTCGAGGAGCGGCTGGCAGCCGTGGCCAGCGAGGAGCTGGGCGCAGCGGCGGGGGAGGCCCTGGCGGTGGGGGAGAGGGCCTTTTTCGTGGATTTCCTCCGCGACGCCCCGGAGGCCACGGGTACGTGCGTGGCGGGGCCTGACAAGCTCAGATTTGTTTGTTCTTTTCCTTCACTTTATTTGGCTAATTATAGCTCCGAGCAAGTTAAGAAAGATTGGCCGAGCGATCATGGTGCACCGCGGGGCCCGGGTGACACCAGCGGTGGTGAAGAGCACGGGGTCACAGGTCGCGTAACCCGGAAGCAGAGACAGGGCCTCCACACTCGGGTGACATCTGCTCCGGTTCATGTCGCTCTGAACAAACGAAACTGAATTACTTCGGCGTGTCCCACAGGCGATGAGCCAGAGGATGCCGACTTCGACATGCCCAAGATCTACGAGCCGATCGCCTCGTACGACGAGCTGCGCGACCGCCTCAACTTCTTCCTGCAGCAGTACAACGAGAGCGTGCGTGGAGCCCGCATGGACCTCGTGTTCTTCACAGACGCCATGCTGCACCTGGTCAAGGTGCGGTGGTGGGCCACGGACGCGTGTGTCCGCGTGTCTGTACACGGACGTGTGTGTACGCGTCCGTGTGTCTGTACACGGATGTGTTCGTACGCGCACGCACACGCAGGCGCGCATCCACTACGGTAGAAGTGGCCGGGCCGGATCAGGGGAGTGAATGGCAGGATGAGAGAAACGAGCTGGCGCTGATTTCTGAGGTCCGTGGTTTCGGTCGCTCATGGCTGAATTGCATTCGCAAGTGAATTAAGTTGCTGGTCTCAGCCCAGTCACAGATAAATGCACAAAGAAACATCGTTCAAAATGTTGGTTACTGCTTGATCAATCACGTCACGTCTGTGTGGCCACCCCACTCTGAATACTACCTTTCTTCTCATTCATATATATTTGAGCTCTTAATCAGCTCAAGCCTCCCGTTAATTACTTGACTTCCGTGTGGCCACCCCCAGACTGCTTATTTTAGTTTATTCCAGTACTGGGTGTTACCAATTTTAGTTTGATGACATTCGATGGGAACTCTTTGCAGGACATATCGTGTGGATAAAGAGGCCAATAGAAGCGACTTTCAAAAGTATCTTTGTGACTTCATCTCTCACGCATGGTGGTGCACTGCTCGCTGTGGTAGCTCAGAAGTTGCTATGTGACATCGGCTTCCGGTCTGCAAACCACACATAATGTAACATGCTATATAACACACCGAGAGCATCGTACACAGAGGGTACGTATCCCCCCGCACCGCCATCCGCCCTGCAGATCTCCCGCGTGATCCGGACACCACGTGGGAACGCGCTGCTTGTCGGCGTGGGCGGCTCGGGCAAGCAGAGCCTGGCACGCCTCGCTTCCTACATCGCCGGCTACAAAACCTTCCAGATCACCCTGTCCAGGTCACCCCCCCCCCCCACGTGCACACGGTACCGCTGCATAAGCTCTCGCGGTAGTGCTGCAAGGCTCAAAGTGCACCTAGCCTGGCACAAGCGTCGTGGTGACGTCACCGCCACTTAGTGGCGAATGGCGGCTGTTGTTGGTGTAGGGCTCTCCGACGATATGTCATTGGGCTGTGCCTAGTGTCGTCCGGCACGATGCCCAACATTCAGTTCGATTTGACATTCAGCACTTTGCAAGCTGGTGAAGGCAGGCAGCTCAGATGTGCCAGCGCAGAAGTGCAGTGCGACAAAGGATTTTGCTGCACCGCTCTCTGCTGACTGCCCTGCAACACAGGTCCACGGCCGTCTGGTGCACACAGTGGTCACTCATCCAAGCACTATGCAGGCTCAGCTCTGCTTAGCTTCCGAGATCTGATGAGATCTGTTGAACTGGGCCCTGCAATTACCGCCGGGAAATTACCCCTTTAATCATCTCCGCAGCATACATTTTTTTTTCTCTCCTTCAAACGAGATTGCTCGCGCGGCAATTACTGCAATGATTTGCATAAACAATTCATATCCTGTGCAATGAGAACAATTTTATCTACATATCTATTAAACTAATGCTGTTATACCATTATGGTTATTTTTCATCAATATCCCAGACTTGATTGCTTCCACATAAAATGTTCTCGCAAATTAGCGTTTTAAATGTGCAATCCCTGGGAGACACGCTTTGCTTACCGATGTTGGCCCCATGAGTTTCTGTTCTTCTCTGCTGAGCCCTATTTATTTGCCTTTGGTGCCCTTGTGCTTACTATGATGCCATCAGATGACCCCATGAGGCTCCTTGCCATTCACTTATACAGCCTCCGAGGCTTCAATGATACCCTGCACCATTCTTGTTAGGTTCCCTGTATTTACCCAAATCATTCTTGTGATTTTTTTTATTTTTAGGATGCCTTTGGCCATACCTGTGAGTCCCTCTCCCGTATTCACCCCATGGTGCCGTGCGCCATTCGTGTCGGGTCCCCCGTTATTGACTCGTATTACCCATGTGACTTCACCCATGCTGCAACTGTGCCTTCCCGTAATCTCCTTGTCTGCCCCTACCCCTGTCAGTGGGCACCACGATGGCGAGATGTTAACTACCTCGCCTAGTATACAGGAGGTCGTAGGTTCGATTCTGACCCTGACGCCTGCTGTATATTTGGAGTTTATGTGTCTCTCCCCCTTTGGCCGCGTGGCTTTTTCTCAGGGTCCTCCGGTGTTTCCCTCCACATTTAGAATCCACGTGCATTTAGAGTATTTGGCTGCTATAAATTTCCACTTGATAAGCCACTTCGTTGAGCTATCATTTGTGGCCAGGTCACTTCTGAAAAAGAGCTATATAGCTCAGTGGGCTCTACCTGGTAAAATAAACAATAGTTCAGTTTAGTCTCAGTCCATGCTTCTTGGGGTCCCTCATGGTCATGGCTCCGCACCCTAAAGTCTGGGTCTCTCCACTGACGGTTCCATGCATCTCCGGCACTTCTCCACATCGCTGCACACCGACTCTGACCCCGCCGTACTAACCCCCGTGGTGACCCCGGCGAGCAGGTCCTACAACACGTCCAACCTTCTGGAGGACCTGAAGGTGCTGTACCGTGTGGCGGGGCAGCAGGGCAAGGGCATCACCTTCCTCTTCACGGACAACGAGATCAAGGACGAGGCATTCCTGGAGTATATGAACAACGTGCTCTCCTCTGGGGAGGTGAGGCCAGGGATGGGGCAGAACAACGTGTTGATTCGTCTACTCATGATTTAAAATTTGCCTGTTTTAGGATTTGCTCATGATAAACAATATACAGGGACTCCTCTACTTATGAACAAGTTAGGTTCCGGAGGTCTGTTGGTAAGTCAATTTGTTCGTCGGTCAAACTTTACTCCTGTCGATTCCAAACATGTTGTATGGCATGTATACTAAACACAGGGCTTTAAGAGTTGTATAATATCCTGTAGATGTAGATGCCACTGGTTTTTCACATTCTGCCGATGTAGATGCCACCACTGCTATTTTTTGTGCGGCGGTTGAACTTACGACTCTCGGTCCGAACAGGGAACTGAACATACGGACAGGTTTATTCGTATCTCTGAAAGTTCGTAAGTAGAATGTACATAAGTAGAGGAGTCCCTGTATTATGCTTGTATGTATGTTGAACTTCTTTGGCACCGTACATAGCCAACCGTGCTAATCGGAGGTGCACCTATACACGTACAGTAATATACATCTGTAGGTGCTGTGGTTAGTTCCAATCGCAATTTGGGATCAGCACAGCCCATCCTACAGAATGGATACAATTTGTATAATTTCGTAGAAAGTTAACAGTGGTCAATTGGGAACCTGGTTCAATCACAGGAGGCTACATCCCAGATTCGAACCCAGGTTCTTAGCGGTGTTGGCTCAGTGAGCTCACCGCTAAGCCGACTGGCTATCCAGTTGCTCATATTGGAGTAGTTATTGGGTGTGTGGGTGATGCAACTGCTTTGGAGCCCTCAAGGCCTGAAGGTCATAGGCGGTAGGCTTTCAAAAAGCTACTAATTAATTTCTTGCATCAGGGCCCATACCAACCACGCTACATCGAGTTCCACTCTTTCTTAAATGACTTCACAAACTCACTTATAACATACGCATCTCTTCCCCTCTACCTCGACCTCTCCCTGCCCCCTCTCCCCCTCCACCACAAACTCCCTCCACCACCGCCACCACCACCACAGGTGTCGAACCTGTTCGCTCGTGACGAAATGGACGAGATCCTGAGCGAGCTGGTGCCGGTGATGAAGAAGCAGCACCCGCGGCGGCCGCCCACGCAGGAGAACCTGCACGAGTTCTTCATGACGCGCGTGCGCCTGAACCTGCACGTGGTGCTCTGCTTCTCGCCCGTCGGCGAGCGCTTCCGCACGCGCGCCCTGCGCTTCCCCGCGCTCATCTCCGGCTGCACCATGGATTGGTTCAGCCGCTGGCCCAAGGACGCGCTCGTGGCTGGTAAACTTAAACCAAAAACGAAACAAATGTTTTATTTTACCAGGAAAGGCCCACTGAGCTATAAAGCTCTTTTTCAGAAGTGACTTGGCCACAAATCATGTCTCAACGAAGTGGCGTATCATCGTGTGGAAATTTATAGCAGCCAAATACTTCAAATGCATGTTTCTGAATGTGGAGAGAAAAGCCGGAGGAAACGGAGAAAAATCAACGCGAGCATGAGGAGAGGCATGCAAACTCCAAATATACAGTCATCAGGGTCAGGATCGAACCCACAACCTCCTGTATACCAGGCAAGGTGGTTAACATCTCGCCACCGTGGCACCCCTGATGGAGTGGGACGCCGGCGCTGGGTGGCAGTTGCCATGGTTTTTGTTTGTTGGGTTTTGGCCGCACCGCGTTGGGTCAAATTGAGGTGTGCGACGATTCACCCACCCCTTCCCAAGTGACCTGAGAGGTTTGGCGAATTGTCACGATTTTGAGCATTGTGATTCAATACGAGAGCCGATTCAAAGGTTGCGGGTGCAAGTACTAGTTTTTTGCCAACTCAAATCAACATCCTCTAGTGGGTCAGTAATATGAGTGCCATTTTATGGAAATGTAAACATGAACCCCCTTAATAATTTATATAATATAATGACACATTTATATTTATGTGATTTAACCCAAAAAAACTCTATTATAGATAATATTGGTTGCGAAAGCCTACTGCATGTTAAAATGAACACCCTTGCTGTACTGCCACCTCTTAACCACCTGGCAGCGCAGCAAGGTGGTAAGTTTCAGAATTGTATCCACCATCCCTTACCTCCAAAGAGAATGGATCATAGGCATGCACAGCCACAGTACCCAACTCGATACTCATGCTAGACCGTCGGACAAGTGGATGAGCAGACGAGTCATCCTCCGTGCGTTGCACATTGCCCTCCAGTGTCGGAGCACTTCCTGTCGTCGTACACCATGGACTGCACGGTGGAGGTGAAGCAGGAGGTCGTGGCCTGCATGGGCTCCTTCCAGGACGGCGTTGCCGAGAAATGCACCGACTACTTTCAACGGTAGGGCCAGGGAAAACACACAGAGCACCGGCAATTTATAATGCACACGATATTTCACAGATATAAGTGGTGCAATGCTGCTGCTGTACCTGAGCACAAACCTTGTGCAATGACCTGGAATCATTTCGATTTAAAGCTTTCGTGACTGCAGGGATTCATCTTCTTTGTTCTTTCGGTAAAGTCACGTAGAATGGAAATAATAAAAAATAAAAAATAAATTGTTATTATTTGATTATTTCCATTCTATGTGACTTTACCGAAAGAACCAAGAAGATGACCTGGAATCAGTTACCGGCAGATGTTCTAGAGTCTGAAACAGTTTTACAACAGACTGAAAGCAGTGTTGATCTAAAGGGCTCACGCTGTGTGATCAGCTCGGCACATTCGTGATGGACTAGACTGATAAGAGTGCACGATAACAAATGCTAAAACATACTATGGCGTCAAATTGGAGGGTAAATTACTCAAAGACCTGACAGACAGGGACACGGTTAAACATAACCTCTGACCCGACCTCTTCGTCTCTCTCCTCTCTCCCCGATCCGTCGCGCCGGGCAATTGCAGCTTCCGCCGCTCCACCCACGTGACGCCCAAGTCGTACCTGTCCTTCGTGCAGGGATACAAGACTGTGTACAAGGAGAAACACACGGAGGTGCAGACGTTAGCGAACAGGTAAGCCCCCCCCCCCCCGAGCCCCCCCCCCCTGAGCCCCCCACCATTTAGTGAACCTTCCCTCTAGGCACGTGGAGTCTTGACTCTGACTCCCGTGGGATTCCTGCTTCAGGTTTATTCAGAGCTAAAAACTAGTACAGCACCGACTGCAGTTTGTCAGTAAGTTTTAGAGTTTGGGAGATGAGGTTGTGTGTTGTGCATGCACATACACGCGTGTGGGTATTGTATGCGCTTGTGTAGCGCGGTGCAGCAGTGGTTAGTTCATTGCGCTTCAAACCCGGTGATCTGAGTTCAACTTCCGGTCACACAACTAATTTCAGTGACCAGTGATATCCAACCCTGTCGTGGGCCTTCCCTAGGTTGACTCAGTCTTAAATGACTACCTGCTGCAGTATTTTAAACATCAGAACAGGGGAGACAAAGTCGGCTGGGTGAGTTGCTGGCCACACTGCTGCTTTGTGCACCGTGCACGCCTTCGTAGGTGCTCGCTAACAGCACTTGCTCCAAAAGCCTATGGAGTTCTCCACGAGGGATTTTTGTCTATGTGTCTGTGTGTCTGTGTGATCTACACGTGGGGTGACAGGATGCAAATGGGGCTGCAGAAGCTGAAGGAGGCCTCGGAGTCGGTAGCCGGGCTTAGTGTGGAGCTGGAGATGAAAGAAAAGGAGCTGCAGGTGGCCAATGAGAAGGCTGACAAGGTACGTCGCTGACACGGCGCCGCTACGCGTCACTACGGCATAATGGCAAACCACAGGGCCATATGGGTAAACAAGGGGAGGGGTCGCATAGGGGCAGTTCAAGGCATTTTGAGAAATACTAAAAGAGAAGAGAGGACAGCACTTGCCCCAAGACGTTCAGGCATTTTGGGAAAACCAAAAAAAAACACTTTTCCCCAATTTTTCCTGATTGAGCCATCATCATCATGTCCCGAGACAAAGTATTCGTTCAGAACTCTCGCAGAGCGGTGCGACCCTTTGCTGTTGGTCGTGCAGGTGCTGAAGGAGGTGACAGTGAAGGCGCAGGCGGCGGAGAAGGTGAAGATGGAGGTGCAGAAGGTGAAGGAGACCGCCGAGCGGATCGTGGACAGCATCTCGGTGGACAAGGCCGTGGCCGAGAAGAAGCTGGTGGCTGCCAAACCGGCGCTGGAGGAGGCTGAGGCAGCACTGCAGGTGCACGCCAGTGGTTTAGATTTGTAGAAACAACATTTCCCCCCAAAATGTATCCCAATTGTGCCATGTCATGAGATGGAGAATCCAACCGTTCGTATTAGAGAAGGGCCCACGCAAGCGGATTTCAGAGAGCTACTTCTGAGACACATTCATGTGACCACTGGCTCACACAGTAAGGGCACCGATTTCCTACCCTGCCAACTGCAGTGTAATGTTTGTCACATTACAGTCAAACTGATATTTTACATTCTCAAAGCTGGAATGCAGCCAAACCAAGTGCAGAGCCAAATTTTACGTTACAGATTTTTTGTTATAAATTCAATACATAGGCTTTCACGACCAATATTATTCATAATAAAGGTTTTTTTGGGTTCGATCGCGTATATATAAATGTGTCGTTCACCAACCACCACCCGACACAGCCAATTAGTAAGGTTTGTCTTTTAAGCAAAACGTGCCAATTATTGACTACTTCAGCACACCGGTGTGTTGGAGAGTAAACCCATTACATTTACAATTTGAGTACGACATTTATGCACTTCCTGGTGACCAGGCTGAGAAAATTAATTCACTCCATTCGATTTGAGAACTCGGTTTAATTATAAGCGGCTGCCTGGATTTCAACCGAGGATCTCATTGGTGCCAGCTCTGACCTGAGCTCCCTGACTTCAAGTCACGTTCATCACCGCTGTACAACTTCCTCCTATCTCCTTGCCTCCCTCCCTCTCTCCTTACCCCCGTTGTGCCGTCAAAGACGATCAAGCAGTCGGACATCGCGACGGTGCGCACCCTGGGCCGTCCGCCGCACCTCATCATGCGCATCATGGACTGCGTGCTGCTGCTGTTCCAGCGGCGTGTCAACCCCGTGCGCATGGACCCCGAGCGCGGCTGCGTGACGCCGTCCTGGCAGGAGTCGCTCAAGCTCATGACGGCCGGCAACTTCCTCGGGTCGCTCAAGGTGTGGGGGCCGTCTGGGGAGGAGGAAGCATTTGGGGGGGGAGCCAGTGTGGGTTCTTTAATATGGGACCTCGCAACATGAGAAGTCCTCTCTCTCCCCAGAGAGACCTAACACAGGAGAGATTCTCACCTAGAGGGGTTCCTCTCACAGAGAGACCTCATTCAGGGAAATCCACCCCGCGGGGGGGAAGCTCCGCCTAAGGAGACCTCAACCAGGGAAACCTCGCCAAGGGAGGGTCCCACTCAGCGGGGAATCTTCATGAGAGAAATCTCTTTCAAAGCGGGTTGCGGTATCTCAGCGCGTACTCGAACAGCGCAGCTCTAAGTTTAAGGATTTCTCGAAACCCTCACGGATCAGAGGCGCTAATCTGAGCTGCCCATCCCCCCCCCTCCCACCTCTTGCAACAGCAATTCCCTAAGGACACAATCACGGAGGAGGTGGTGGAGCTGCTGCATCCGTACTTTGACATGCCCGACTACAACATTGACACGGCGCGCAAGGTGTGCGGCAACGTGGCGGGCCTGTGCTCCTGGACCAAGGCCATGTCCTATTTCTTCGGCATCAATAAGGAAGTGCTGCCCCTCAAGGTGAGCATCCAACCCCCCACGGGGAGACCTGCAGCTTCCTATAAACTGTTCCGCTGCTGGACGGGCGTGTGTTTTCCCCACACCCACCTGAGGTGTTGATCGCCGGCTGCATTCGGCCTTCTTGACAATGCTGCTGCCTCCATCGTATTATGGGTACCAATCATTATCATTAGCCGTGATCAATCAACTGCTGGTTGAAGGTCTCCCCAAGCCGTCATTCTCACGGTCCCACAATGTGAGAATATGTAGGCTACACGGAGGACTCTTGTTTTGGTGTTTGTGGGAAGCGGTGGAGCAGTGATTCACGCACTGTACAACGAACCCGATGAACTGACTGAGTTTCCCCGGGCATGATTAAGTGATATCTAAACCTGCCATGGGCCTTCCTTAGGTCACACTGAGCCATAAAATTATTACTTAACGCGCTTCTGTGTGAACATCGGCCCGGTGGGTAGTGGTGTATAATCATGAGGCGTTGTCTGTTCCGTTCGCAGTCCAACCTGGTGGTGCAGCAAGGCCGCCTCAACATCGCGATGGGTGACCTCCAGAGCGCTCAAGCCGAGCTGGATGCCAAGCAGGCCGAGTTGGATCTGGTGCAGGCCGGATACGAGAAGGCCCTGCGCGAGAAGCAGGTGGGGCACGGTTCCCAGAAGTTGATCTTAAGCCAGGGGTGGGGGAACCCATGGAACCACGCGCCGGATACAGCCCCAGGACGGGACTTCATGTGGGCTGAGGCCACATGAGTCCTCCCACTTCAAATTGGCCCACACATAAAAAAATAAAATTTCGCCATAAGTATCCTAGCCACACTAATTAGGTACTAGAGTGGATTATTTTTGACCTGGAAACAATGTGTTTCAGTAAAGGTGAGCCCTAATTATGTTTGCATTTTCATTGGATGAGGCTATGTTGTATGTTAATGTGTGGTTCCTATTTGTCCCACAGTCAGGAAAAGTTCCCCTCTTTGGTCTTAATCTCTGACCTTTGGTGCTAACCCACTCTGACTGACCTCCCCTGCTATAATCTGCTGTCTATACAGGCTTCAGTGGTCAGGGTGGAATCATCAGCCTGGTTGCCACGTGTAAAGAAAGGAGATGTCACCAGAGTAGTGGACTGAACTTCTCTACCTGGAGCTCATATGCTTTGGTTTTCTAACTTTCACATTCCAAACATTCATCCCAATACAGCACTCCTTTGTGAAAAGGAGTCTTGAGACTGAGCAAGGCTTTTCCTTGTTAGACAGAGGACGTTGGTACGAATATTGTAAACGCTGACGAACATTACCTGCCCGCGCAGGAGCTGATGGACGATGCGGAGCGGTGCCGGCGCAAGATGCAGACGGCGTCAGGGCTGATCAGCGGCCTGGCCGGGGAGAAGGAGCGCTGGACCAACATGAGCAAGGAGTTTGCAGCACAGATAAAGAGGCTCGTGGGTGAGACGGGGCCGTGGTGTGGTAGCTGATAGTTGCTCGCTAACAGCACTTTCTTTGGTTCGACCAAGTAAAAATAAGGGAGGCAAACGCATTACCATAGTTTCAAACAATACACAGACACGTGGAAAAAGCACCAAGCCTTTGTGTATCATGCAAGAACCATCAGCAGCTCCCGAAGAAGTGCATTGTGGTCCCCTTGTCTTAAGTCGCCATCAAAATAAATTTTAGCAAATATGACCGACTTGACAGGCAGCTGTGATACGGAGATGGGCAACTGTAGACTGGTTTCATCATCTTTAGGACTCATTAGTATAGTATCGTTACCAATTGTCATCATTAGTGCCTTTGCACTCCCACGTGGAAGGAGCAAGAGAAGCAGAGGCCGTCCACACCAGCAGCGGACTGACAGCGTGAAGGAGGAGGACTCACGGGAGGCAAGCGTAGGTCCGCAGGAAGCCGTCTCCCTGACCAGAGAAATGGAGGAGTGGAATACAATTTCAGCCGCATCACCTCTACATAACAAAAAGGCTCAGTCCCTTTTACATGCACCTATACATCATCCGCACCTAGTTTACACAACAAAGGCTCATTCCTAACAGCGTGCTTCAGCCGCACCGAACCTCACAAAAATAATATTCAGGGCCTACCTTGGCTCCTCCCACCCTCAACCAGTATATATACAAATACTGTTTCTTGGAATTTCTCTCACTTGATACAGCTATCGTGCTGTGACGGTTCCACCTGAAGACGGAAGCTTGTGTTGCCTCCGAAACGTCGTGATTTTTATTTTATTTTTATTTTACTTTTATTAATTAAAATTTTTTACCTACGTGACTTTACCGAAAAAACCTAAGAATATGAATCCTTGCAGTCACAAAAGCTTCAAATCTAGAAATGGAATACAATTGTCCAGGGCTCAACATCAGCCGCCATTTGACGAACAATGGAGGAGAAGAGAGGGCAGCACTTGCCCCAGGAGTTCAACCAGGTTAAATGGGGGATCTTTGTGTTTGTGGACTATAAGGGAGTAGCTATTGCATCCTGGTGAATAACATTTGCACGGGTGTTTGTATGTGGGGAGCGGCGGTGTAGCAGTTAGCGCGCTGCGCTATGAACCTGGCGACCCGGGTTCGATTCCTGCTCACGGCCAACACCAGTGACGATTATCTGAACTTGTCCTGGGCCTTCCCTAGGTCGACTCAGCCTCATATGAGTACCCGGTGCAGTGTGTAAACATCGCCACTGGGGAAACAAAGGCGGTCGGGCGTGGGGCTGGCCACCCACCCTCTCATGTGCCCTGCCAGCCTTCATAGGTGCTCGCTAACAGTCTGTTAAAGCTATTGTGGTGCCACAACGACGGGGCCGCTCTGCCGAACCAGGGAGCCGCCCGGCTTCCCCCACCGCACTGCCCCCCATCACCCGCCCCACATAAGCACACACCCGCACGCATTCCCCCCCCCCCATAGAGCTGGAAGGGAAGGTCACCTGATCGACCGGTTTTTATCCGAGAGACCCTTATCGGGATTAATTCTCACGGTTTCCGGCGATCAGGGAATTGGATGACCCCCCCCCCCCGTGCTACGTGGCACCGCGGCGCCGCGGCCGGCCTTAATATGGTGTGGTCGCGGCGTGGGGCATTTGGCCACCGCGGTTGAGGCGCATTTTCCCCCCACACACACTCCCACGGGTCGACGGGGCAAGCAGGGGAGGCACGGGACAGCATGAATAGCGGGGTCACAGGGGCTGTTGCGCATAGTCATGGGGGGTTGGGATAATTGCGCTGGAGCGCGCAGGCCCCATTGTTAGGAAGGGTAAGGGAGTAATTAGGATGTACGCCGCCAACGTCGCTCACTGATTAGCATATCAACAGCGCCCGGGGAACCGCCGTGCACGGGCTTGGGGTGCACGAGCCCATTGTTCAGCGCAGCATCCCCTTTGAGGTAGGGAGGATAAATAGAGGAGCGGAGAGGGGAAATCGCCCCTTCTCTCCAGGCCAGCGGACCAGCAGGAGTTCCAGCCAGCGACCCGGACGTCCGTGCGACGCATCGAGGTACGCTGTTAGCGCAGAGAGCAGCGAACCTCCGCGGGCACCAAACAGTAAGTGGGGAGGTGAAGTAGGGTAGCGTAAGCCGATAAATAGGGAATAGGTACAGGTTAGGGTGGAATAGGCCAGCCTCGTCGACTCACTGATTCAACATCAATTCGCAGGTAACATATAATAAATCATTAATAGCGAAGCGTGGTCTCGCGTGATCTTGTCGTGCAGTGTGAGCGTGTGGGTGCGCGTGTGTACGCAGGGATCCTGTAGTGCTGCGGCTCGCCTCGGGGGAGCGCTGCGCAGAGCGGTGCGAGAGTGGGTGTCGTGTGTGCTCACTCCGTGTGTGATACAGGTGCGCGATCGTAACTTGAGTAGTCCGTGTGGAGTTGGAGTGCACGAAGCGGTGTGTGTGTGCGTACGTTCGTTACGTGTCGGATACGGATGCGCATTGGGAACGTGCCGCACAGGGCTATACTGCGAGCACGGCGTTTGATTCATGATGCTGTGCGCACGTATGCTCGCAGCGTGGGAGTGCGGCGCGAGGCTGTAACAGTACGGGCGTCGCGTTCGAATGCCGGCGAAACCGTAGCGGGTAATAGGGAGGTGGGGTAACATAAACACAATAGGGGATGCAGGCGGGCGGGACCCCGGGGGCCAACGGCCCCCACACTATACAGGGTGTCTTTGACTTTGTGTGTATAGATACTCTGCCTTAAATGTTAGCTGGTACCGAGTGTAAACATCAGCACTGGGGAAACAAAGGCAGAGAGATATGGTGCTTGCTACATCACCCCTTTGTGTGCTTTCATAGCACATGCCCCAGCAGTCCAGATAGCCTGCACATGTGCGCTCAACACTGGGTGATTTGATAATTGGTTCTTTACCCTTCTATCTGGCAACAAAACTGACACCTTTTTGCAAGGAGTCATGTTTGCATAGACTGGGTGATTTGCTGATAGCCGGTGTGTGTCGGTACGTGCGCATTTCTACCTGGCACCAGGGGATGTGCTCATGGCCACGGCGTTCCTGTCCTACGCCGGCCCCTTCAACCAGGAGTTCCGGAACCTTCTGCTGGGCGAGTGGCAGCGCGAGCTGAAGGTGACGACACACGACCCATGGCGATCCAACGGCGCTTTGCACAATACAACAACGAGCGTTAGCACACACTGCCGGCACTGCCCGGGCTACGTATTAATCGAGTCTGTCTGGGTCAGTGACACGGAAAATAGCTCCACATCCAGTATATGCAGGGCTTCCCAGAGGTTCCTAGAAGCCCAGATCAGAGTTCCACATCGGAACCCCTTATTCCACCATCTTCAGATTCACTGTGGGGCCTTCTTTTGTGTGAGGCCCAGGGGAATCTTCCCTGTTGCCCCCCCCCCACTCCCACCTCTGGGTGGCCCCTGAGTAAACCTGTCACTACGGCTGTGGCTATTAGTGACGTGCCACCTACTCCAATCTACCAGCGACACAGAAATTAATTCCTCAACCAGCACAAAACATCCAGTATTTCAATATGGCTACTAATCACACAACCCCGGTCTACTGGCGACCTGGAAAATCTTGAATGGGAAATTTTAAGCTCTGGGCATGGCGATATAAATGCCTAAGCCTAAGTTCGATCCTGTCCCTGACGCCTGTATATTTGGAATATGCATGTTCTCCCCGTGGTCTCATGGATTTTTCTCCGGGTCCTCCGGTTTTCGTTCCAAATGTAGAAACATGCGTTTAGAATATTTCGCTATGATAAATTTCCACATGATAAACCACTTTGTTGAGCTATCATTTGTGGCCGGTCACTTCTGAAAAACAGATATTTTGCTCAGTGGGCCTTACCTGGTCAGTGTAGTAATTTTTAAGCCACCTCTCTAGGGTTAAAATGTTCACAATTGCCCTAACGGCTCCATCATCCCCGCGGTACCCGAAGGTGCGGCGCATCCCCTTCACGGCGGAGCTGGTGCTGAGCGAGCTGCTCAGCGACAGCCCCACGGTTAGCGAATGGGGGCTGCAGGGCCTGCCCGGCGACGAGCTGTCCGTGCAGAATGGCATCATCGTCACCAAGGCGGCGCGGTACCCGCTGCTCATCGACCCCCAGACGCAGGGAAAAACCTGGATCAGGAACAAGGAGAAGATGAACGACCTCCAGGTACAGGAGGGCTGCGCGTGGCCGGTGGCGTGCTGTGGTTCCGGTTCAGGTTAGGCAGTTGGCACAGGGTTGTCACCTGATGGCGATCTTGTGATAACTGGCTTGAAAAATCTGTAAGTGTTCTCAGGATATTACATCAGTTGTATAACAACACACCATCTTCTTGGTTCTTTCGGTAAAGTCACGTAGAAGGAAAGTAATAAAATAATAAAAATAAAACATAATAAAACAATTCTCACGACGTTTCGGCCACAACGCAAGCAGCCGTCCTCAGGTGAAAACCAGGTCCGTCGAGGCGACAGAGTCTGAATGAAACAGCACACGGGCTTGGAGCATATATATAAGCTGGGCGCATTGACAAAGGAATTTGCATATCAACAGGAATTTAGCATATTTATGGGAAATGCAGGAATGTGATTAGTACTGCATATGCGTGTGCATTATGCAGGATTAACAGCATCAAAGGGAGCTGCAGTTACTGCTGCTGCAGAAGTTGCTGCTGCTGCAGTTTCTGCTGCTGCTGCAGTTGCTGCTGCTGCTGCTGCAGTTGCTGCCGCTGCTGCACTTACTGCTGCTGCTGCTGCACTTGCTACTGCTGCTGCAGTTGCTGCCTTATCCATTTTAATATAACACTATGTATTATTCTACCCACCCTAATGTGTATCATACTGCTATATGTTTACTGTACAATTACGACACCATACATTACTCTGCACACTGCACCATGCCAGTGAGTGGAACGCAGTCTGAAAGTCACCGTTAACGTGAACACAATCAGTTAAGATCCGAAATGGTTTATTACGTCCTTCCAATGATTGCTAAGCCAGAATCCATCTTCTCGGTTGAAATTGTCTCTGTGTTTGTATATGTGGATCGCCTCATGAACGAATCTCTCATGATAGCCAGATGGCTTGCAGAGAACCTCTGTCTTGGAGAAGTCAATGTCATGTGAGCCCACTGAATTGTAACAGTGATCTGCCACGGCTGAGGTGTTTGTCCTACCGTGTTTCAGGTCTGCCTTATGTTCACGGATGCGGTCCGAGACATGTCGTTTGGTTTCTCCAATGTAACTGCTACCACAGAGGCAACTTAGTTTGTAGACGCCAGGGTACTGTATGTCTGGAACCACATCTTTTACAGACGGGACCAGATCACGGATTTTATGTACTGTGTTGAATCGGACCTGGATCTTGTGTTTAATCAGGATTTTGGAGATCTTTTTTGTGACCCCAGCAATGTAGGGTAAGGTGATGGTCTTGAAAGGCTCCTCAACAGGATCCTTCTTGATGGTTGGAGTGATGGCTTTGCGGATTGTGTAGTCGGAGTAACCATTAGCCTTAAGAGCTTGGCGTACGTGTTTGAGTTCACTGGAAATGTGTTCATGGTCGGAGATGCATTGGGCTCTATGATATAGAGTCTTGATGAGGGAATTCTTCTGGGATGGATGGTGGTGGGAATCCGGTTTTAGATAAGCATCCGTGTGGGTGGCTTTCCTGTAGACAGAGTGGCTCATTGAACCATCAGGTCTCCTTTTGATTAGGACATCCAAAAAGGGGTAGCTTGCCATCATTTTCGACTTCCATGGTGAATCTGATGGCTGGGTGTATGGAATTGATGTGGTCGAGAAATTGGTCTAGAGCAGGCCGGCCATGTGGCCAGATGACAAAAGTGTCGTCTACGTACCTCTTCCATAAGGTCGGGCGTAGAGTGGCAGTCTGGATGGCGTCCGTCTCAAATTTCTCCATGAAGATGTTGGCCACAACCGGAGATAGGGGGGAGCCCATTGGGGTGCCCTCAATTTGCTTGTAGAAGGTTCCATTCCAGGTGAAGTATGTATTGGTTAAGCAGTGTCTTACCAGCGGGGGTACCCCAGCATTCAGTCCTTGATGAACCAAGTCTTCAATGATTGCGATGGTGTCAGGCACAGGCACCTTGGTGAACAAGGAAACCACATCAAAACTGACAAGCAGGTCGTCTGGGGACAGGGCAATCCCCTTGATTGTCGATACCAGGTCAGTAGAGTTTAGTACTGCAGAGGTGGTTTTTCCAGTGAAAGGCCGTAGGATTTCGGACAAAAAACGAGCCAGTTTGTAAGTGGGGGAGTTGATAGTAGAGACAATGGGACGAAGAGGTGTATCTTCTTTATGTATCTTTGGCAAGCCGTACAATCTTGGTGGCCTGGCTGCAGAAGGTTTCAACGAGAACTGTTTGGTCTGATCAATTAATGCGGTTGAAGCAGAAATGATGTTGTTGGTTTTGGAGACGAGGCTGTTGGTGGGGTTTCTTTTTATTTTTGTATAGCTGCCATCGTTGAGTAGTTCTTGAATTTTGTTGTTGTATTCTATTTTGTCCATGATGACAGTGGCATTGCCTTTGTCGGCTGAGAGGATGACAATGTCATCCCTCGTTTTTAATTGAGCTAATTCAAAACGCTCATCTTTGCTGATGTTGCTAGCTGGCATCTTAGCGTTTTTGAGGGTTACAGAGATTTCAGATCTTGCTACGTCTGCAGCGATGTGACTCAAGCCCTTGAGAGCTACATCTACTCGAGCAATTATATCATTAACTGGTATGTGTCTAGGTGTGACTGCAAAGTTTAGTCCTTTAGCTAAAACGGATTTCAAACCTTCAGAAATAGGACTGTTACTGCGATTAATTACGACTTTGTTAACATCTAGCTTTTCAATGTGTGGGTCCGGTTTCTTGTTTGAGAGGCGGTTGAATTTGGAAATCAAGTTGTCCTTACATTTAGTCGACATAGCGGCAGCTGAAGAGGCAGTCATTTTTTCCACATGTTCCCAATCCGATGTGGACATTGTTACACTCAAAGATAAGTGTGATTTGTAGAGTGTCTTGTCTAACTGATCTAGTTCGGTGCGCGTAAGTCTGATTTTCTCTGAGATAAGAGCTAAACTAGTTCTAGACAGAATTCGTTTCGCATTAGAAGAAGTTACAGCAGCAGATGTTAGTGTAAATGCGTTTGGTATTACCTTAGAGTCGCGGCATCTCTTCAGAAAGGTGAGAGACTCGATTAGCTGAGCCTTCTTATCCCGGAGCTTGTTGAAGGATCTCAAAGTTATGTGGAAACCCTCCCCGTAGAGGCGGTTAAATTTCGATTTAAAGCTTTCGTGACTGCAGGGATTCATCTTCTTGGTTCTTTCGGTAAAGTCACGTAGAAGGGAAGTAATAAAATAATAAAAATAAAACATAATAAAACAATTCTCACGACGTTTCGGCCACAACGCAAGCAGCCGTCCTCAGGTGAAAACCAGGTCCGTCGAGGCGACAGAGTCTGAATGAAACAGCACACGGGCTTGGATCATATATATAAGCTGGGCGCATTGACAAAGGAATTTGCATATCAAAAGGAATTTAGCATATTTATGGGAAATGCAGGAATGTGATTAGTACTGCATATGCATGTGCATTATGCAGGATTAACAGCATCAAAGGGAGCTGCAATTACTGCTGCTGCAGCAGTTGCTGCTGCTGCTGCAGTTTCTGCTGCTGCTGCAGTTGCTGCTGCTGCTGCAGTTGCTGCCTTATCCATTTTAATATAACACTATGTATTATTCTACCCACCCTAATGTGTATCATACTGCTATATGTTTACTGTACAATTACGACACCATACATTACTCTGCACACTGCACCATGCCAGTGAGTGGAACGCGGTCTGAAAGTCACCGTTAACGTGAACACAATCAGTTAAGATCCGAAATGGTTTATTACGTCCTTCCAATGATTGCTAAGCCAGAATCCATCTTCTCGGTTGAAATTGTCTCTGTGTTTGTATATGTGGATCGCCTCATGAACGAATCTCTCATGATAGCCAGATGGCTTGCAGAGAACCTCTGTCTTGGATAAGTCAATGTCATGTGAGCCCACTGAATTGTAACAGTGATCTGCCACGGCTGAGGTGTTTGTCCTACCGTGTTTCAGGTCTGCCTTATGTTCACGGATGCGGTCCGAGACATGTCGTTTGGTTTCTCCAATGTAACTGCTACCACAGAGGAAACTTAGTTTGTAGACGCCAGGGTACTGTATGTCTGGAACCACATCTTTTACAGACGGGACCAGATCACGGATTTTATGTACTGTGTTGAATCGGACCTGTATCTTGTGTTGTGGCCGAAACGTCGTGAGAATTGTTTTATTATGTTTTATTTTTATTATTTTATTACTTCCCTTCTACGTGACTTTACCGAAAGAACCAAGAAGATGAATCCCTGCAGTCACGAAAGCTTTAAATCGAAAAACAACACACCACTCAAGTCAACAGATTTACATTTAGTTCTCCCCGCATCTGGCACGGTGAATTATTTTTATTCCTATTTTTTCCCCCACGTTTTTTTTCCCTCGCTATTTTTTATCTCGATTATGCCAACGGCTGTCACGTTTCGAGACGAAGCCACCAGATGGGAGGAGGGGGGGCAACCCTAGCGGCACCAAAAGTGACGGCCGGGATCACCACAGGGTTCGTATACCAGCACTCATGCGGGGCCGCTCGTTGCGGACGTCCGTTTTGCACGTTGCCTGGCAGGTGACGTCCTTGAACCACAAGTACTTCCGCACGCACCTGGAGGACAGCCTGTCGCTGGGCCGCCCGCTGCTCATCGAGGACGTGGGCGAGGAGCTGGACCCGGCGCTCGATAATGTCCTCGAGAAAAACTTCATCAAGATCGGTTCCACCTTCAAGGTGCGACTCACGTGTGTCCTCTATGCTCACTGAAAAGGCAGTATAAATAATTTAAAAAAATTGAGTAGGTGGCCGGGTGGCTCAGAGATCAGGGCACCGAGCTTGGCACTGCTCTGAGATCTTGGGTTCACATCCAGGCAGCCAAAGAGTGTAGAGAAATAACGGTTTCAGTCCAGTTAACAAGGAATGTGCTAAATTCCAGGTTTGGATATTACAAATAACAGTTTGACTTTTATGCAGCCAACATTTATTCTTGGTGGCAGAGCGGGTGGGTTGCAGAACTTAGAGAAAATGGAGGCAAAAGTATGCTGAAGGTGCGGATGTAGACCACACAGGAGAGAATGTCCCCATAGGCAATGAGAAGAAAAGAGCTTCCCAGAACCCTCGATCTCTGTTTGCAGATGAGATCGTGAGTTTCAATGAGGACACTCACCTGCTCAAATAAAAATAAAAAAGTCGTCGTAATAATTGGGACGAGCACGTCACGTGACATGTGGGCGAGAAGTGGGAGAGTGAGACGAGCACGGGGGGCTGTGTCGATGCTGCAGGTGAAGGTGGGCGACAAGGAGGTGGACGTGATGCCCGGGTTCCGCCTCTACATCACCAGCAAGCTGCCGAACCCGGCCTACACGCCGGAGGTCAGCGCGCGCACCTCCATCATCGACTTCACCGTCACCATGAAGGGGCTGGAGGAGCAGCTGCTGGGCAGGGTCATCCTCACCGAGAAGAAGGTTCGGAGACACCGGTGGAAACCAACGACGGTTCCTCCGCATATTTGTTCTTGAATATATATATATACGAGGGTCGCCTGAGAAAGTAATGCCCCCACTTTTTTTTGTCTCGGCCAAAATGTATTGAAAAAAAGTGGAAACCTACCCATAGAATTAGCAGATGTATGTGTGTGTATATTGAACTAGCAGATGTATGTGTGTATGTTGAACTTATTTCACACCGTACGTAGTCAAGCACACTAATCGAAAGTATTAGTTACATGCGCATAACTTTTCTACATGAATGGCCGCACACCGCACCTGGCCTGGATGGCAAACCATCGCAAATGAAGGCTCGCTATCCAGGCCACGCGATGAGCCAGCGCCAACAATTTCCCGAGCTCTGCCGTCCTCCATATACTGCCGTTGCGCAGGAGCTGGAGAAGGAGCGCACGGAGCTGCTGGAGGACGTGACGTCGAACAAGCGGCGCATGCAGGAGCTGGAAGACAGCCTCCTGCACCGGCTGAGCAGCACACAAGGCTCACTGGTGGATGACGAGAGCCTGCTGGGCGTGCTCGCCTCCACCAAGCGCACGGCCGAGGAGGTGACGCAGAAGCTCGCCACGGCCGCCGACACCGAGCAGCAGATCAACACGGCGCGCGAGGAGTACCGGCCTGGTAGGACGCCGCTCAGACTGGGATGCAGCCGCTCGCCTGTCTCACACAAGACAGATGCTGATGCCGCTGTCGTTTTGTGTATAATGCCAATTCGAATATGTGTGTTTACAGCATCTAATGTATATTGATAAAAGTGGGGTTTTTTTTTACGCATTTGAATCTTGGTTTTCGTTGTTAAGTTCAGCTTTCAAAAAGCACTCCTAACCACTTTCATCTGCTTCTTTATTTAATATTTTTTATTGCAGTCTACCTTCAGCAACTGCCCTAGTTATACACAATCTGCTGTGCATTATAGGTTTGTCCCTCTGACAGATATCTACAGATTCCAGATTTGAAGTTTTTGTGACTGCAAGGATCCATACTCTTTGGTTCTTTCAGTAAAGTCACGTAGGTGAAAATAAAATAAAAAATAAAATAAATATAAAAATAACTAACATGTCCAGATGTTTAGAGAACTTGTTGTACGTAACTTTTGCTTTCATCTCATCTTTATCTTGAGGCCAACTTTGCAGCCTTCTGTATTCTCTTCTTGCCGATGGTGGCACTAGATTTAAGAGCCAAATGCCAATGTCAAGGTGTGCTGGCCATGAAAAGTTTTCAGGAAAGTGTTTGTGGAGTTTTTCTATTCCTCTGTTGAAGGAGCACAGACAACAGTGGACGACTATGTGGTCCACGTGGGCCTTTTTAATTCAGTTCTTATAACATTTCCAGAAGTGTATTCCCATTGAAGGCTATCACAGTACCAACGTGAACGTTGAATAAAATAGCTAAAAGTCTGAATGGTTGACCAAATGCGTTGGGGCTGCTATTAATGTACACGTTTGTTCCCCCCTCTTCCCCTGTGAGCAGTAGCGACACGGGGCAGCATCTTGTACTTCCTGATCGTGGAGATGAGTCTGGTGAACGTCATGTACCAGACCTCCCTGCGCCAGTTCCTCGGCCTCTTCGACATTGGCTTGGCCAGGTACCCGCTGGGAGCCACCACGTGACCACATGGGATTTTGTAGGAAGATGCAGCCCGGGAGGTGGCCGGGTGGCTCAGGGGTCAGAGCATTAAGCTGGCATCGCTGCCATCGCTGGATTCGAATCCATGTAGTTGCAGACATCACCAATGTCTGCACAAAATAACATTATCCATACGAAGTTTGGTTCTGCTCTTAATTTTTCGAAATTCCACCTCTGAGAATTAAAAACAACAGTTTGTCTTGTGATCAATATGTATCTCTCTAGCAGGGATAGGTAGAAAGGTGTTGCCCCCTACTGTGTGGACGTGAGATCATTTCCAAAGATCTCAGAAGTAGCTTCGTGATATCTACTTCCATTGCACATTCTGTAACATGAAAGGTTGCACTGCTCTGTGAGAGATCCAACATTACTAATTGCCCCCACGATATGAAACAAATAGCATAATTGTGATAGAAGTAGGCAAAAGAGACAAATATTTGATAATAAAGATTGGAGGCTGTCATGTGTCTTGGTGAGCTGTGCGTGCGTAGAATCAAAAACCTGACCCACCCACGCCTAACCGTTGTCACGTAACCTCTGCTGTCTGCAGGTCGGCCAAGAGCCCCATCACCAGCAAGCGCATCAGCAACATCATTGAGTTCATGACCTTCGAGGTGTTCAAGTACGCGGTGCGTGGCCTCTACGAGGAGCACAAGTTCCTGTTCGCGCTGCTGCTGGCGCTGAAGATCGACATGCAGGCGCGGCGCGTGAAGCACGAGGAATTCCTCACGCTCATCAAAGGTGGGCACCGTCTCCTGCCGCGGCAGTGCCAACGAGCGCAGGGGGTTCAGTCATAATAGAGGGTTTTTTGGGTTAGATCGTGTAAATGCAAATGTGTCGTTAACCCACCATTACGCGACACAGCGAATTAGTAAGGTTTGTCACGTAAACAAAACGTGCCAATTAGTTACTACTTCAGCACACCAATTTGTTGGAGAGTAAACCCACATCATTTACAATTTGAGTACGACGTTTCTCTGGTAATTACTACCAGCTTCATCAGTCGATTTTAGTTGGGAAGCCTACATGTTACGCTGTAGGGGTTCATATTAATGTTTACCAATGAAGGTTGGAAGCGTTTATGTATTAGCTTCATCCGTCCATCCATCTAAAAGAGGGGACCACGATAAGTCTAGTAAAGATGATCTGCTATGGATTAACCCATCGTATGAAGTTGCGTTGCTATGAGAGACTTTCCTGATTGAAAACTGAAAATAATCCCTGGGTTTACTGAAATAATAATTAAAAAAGTTTCTTTACGATCACTCAGAGGAAACATAGATTTTAATATTTTGGCTGACTGACCTGCATGAAGAAATATTCAGTACTTCCCTCAGTAGTTCCTGGTTTAAGCTTCTTTCTGCTATAGCTGAACGTTCCACAGAATTCTCGTTTCTTGAGGTGCGCCATGAGAGGCCGTTTTGACTGCTGTTGTAGGCGGCGCGTCGCTCGACCTCAAGACCTGCCCTCCCAAGCCCGCAAAGTGGATCCTGGACCTGACGTGGCTGAACCTGGTGGAGCTCAGCAAGCTGCGGCAGTTTTCGGACATCCTCAACCAGGTGCTGACGCACTCAACCCAGCGGTGGTGTCATACCGGGTCGTCCCGCGCGTTGTCCAGCGCGTTTGTCCGACATTCCCCTCCATCTTTGCTCGAAGCTTCTTCAGCATGTGACGAAAGTTTTGAACGTCGTGCCAAACAACACGCGGCACAACCCAACATCACATCGGAGAGAGACACAGCGCGACTGTGAACACGTAAAGAGTAGCATTACTCATATCGCTCTGTTGGTGGGCCAACGTCACATGCCCATTACAGGGCTTCCGTTTACAATAGAGGGATTTTATAGGGGTCACGACTACCCACCCTTGACCAAACCACGCAGAAAGCGACCGGTCTCATTAGATCTCGGAATCTTATCAGGTTTGAGCCTGGACCACAATGCGCATCAGGTTGTTGTAACCTGCTATTGGGTTACGTGGTGAGCAGCAGACCTGAACTCAGCCAGGAATACCCGTTAATGGCTAGCGACACTTGGGAAAAGCCTTAAGCATCTGGGCAACAGCTAGGAATGCCTGCACATAGCCAGGGGCAGCGCAGCTGTGACCCATCGCGGTGGTGCCTCGCAGATCACGCGCAACGAGAAGCAGTGGAAGAGCTGGTTCGACAAGGAGGCGCCCGAGGAGGAGCCCGTCCCCAACGGCTTTGACCAGGCGCTCGACTGCTTCCGCCGCCTGCTGCTCATCCGCTGCTGGTGCCCCGACCGCACCATCGCCCAGGTGCGCCGTGGCCTCCGGAGCTGGTGCGAGTTTGGGCCTGTCGCCGTCGCCCCAAAATGTTTCAGTTGAGGGGATTTTTTGGCCAGGTTCGGCGTGCCGCTGAATGTTTAGTTTTTTTGTGCTCGATTCTTTTTTTTTTGGGCTGAAAAATGTGCCAATTATGCAACGCACACAACTATGCGGTTTGTCAATTGAAATAAATGTTTGTGCTCGTGGTACCTACATCACATATTTTGTGTGCGTGTGTGATATTTGATTGTTTATAATTTGTGCAAATTCATATGCCAATTATAGGCCGTTACATATAGGCTATTATGAGTGAACAAAGGTGTACAAATTAGGCAGGACATATAATTAGGCAGGACATATAAGAGTACACGAGGTTGCAAAAACAAGAAAAACATGTTTTTAATAATCTAATCGTAACCCCACATGGTGACAATTCATGGAATATCTAAAGAGTTTAATCTCGACATACCTCATGCGGATGTCTGCTATCGCCCGCCAACAATTTGGCCAACTGCCACAGCAATGTATTTCGATAATTTTGTCAGCATGTGAAAGTGGCTGTTTGTCATCACTTTCAGTTTGCGGTGTAAAAGTGTGCTGGATGTTAGCAATTGATGTCTTCCCTCTCTCGCTCTCGCTCACTCTCCCCAGGCACGCAAGTACATCACGGAGACGATGGGTGAAAGCTTCGCGGAGGGCGTCATCCTGGATCTGGAGCGCACCTGGGAGGAGTCGGACCCGCGCACACCGCTCATCTGCTTCCTGTCCATGGGCTCGGACCCCACGGACTCCATCATTGCGCTGGGCAAGCGGCTGCGCCTCGAGACACGATACGTGTCCATGGGCCAGGGCCAGGAGGTCCACGCCCGCAAGCTGCTGCAGCTCACCATGGCCAACGTAAGGGGAGACGTCCTGCTCGCCGGGCGCACCTGGGGACACTTGGGGGGCAACTGGGCACAGTTAGGATCACCTGGGAACAGCTAGGATCACCTGGACACTGCTAGGATCACCTAAGGTCATCTGGACACACCTGCGCACACCTAGAAACACCTGCTATAATAGGGGAGAAGATTTCAAATGCATAATCTATTGTTATGGTTTCTTAAAGTAATAGATTTACTTACTGACATGTTTGCGGTCACGTGGGCAGGAGCAGGTAATAATTGAACCGGCACACGTAAGCTAATCCTAAGCCCAGATAATCCGTCTACTGATAATTGAGAGTTGTCTGTATATAGCAGAGCCCTTGCTTGCCTGCGTGAGTGACTGGCACACAAGCACAATGTGTTCGTGTCCTACGCATCTGCGTCCGTGCAGGGCGGCTGGGCACTGCTACAGAACTGCCACCTGGGTCTGGGCTTCCTGCCGGAGCTCATGGACACGCTGACGGAGGCGGAGGGCGTGCACGAGACGTTCCGCCTGTGGATGACCACCGAGGCGCATCCGCTCTTCCCCATCACCCTGCTGCAGATGTCCATCAAGTTCACCAACGAGCCCCCGCAGGGCCTACGCGCCGGGCTCAAGAGGACATACGCCGGTACAGCCCACGGGACACGTGGCTTGGCCTGCTCTCAGCGGATGCAGTCTTCTTCTGTGTGTCTGTCTATCCGCATGTCTGTCTATCCATCAGTATGTTTGTGTCTCTCTGTCCCTGTTTGTCTTTCTGTACGTGTGCACGTGTCTTTTCCACTGTCCATTTGTCAGTCTGTGTATCTGTATGCCTGTCAATGTGATTATAATGTATACCTGACCACGTGTTCGTCTCTGTGTGTGCAGATTTTAATTTAATTCCCGAATGCAGGGGAATTAAAAATTACATGCACGTTAAAATGCTAATTTTATGACCAGTCTGTTCCCGTACGGTCTCCGGACCTATGGCTCACGTGCGTACATATTTGCTCATCTCTGTGCGTACACGTGTGCCTGCACGTGTGTGTGCGGGTGTGCGCACATGACGTAACAGCCATCAGCCAGGAACAGCTGGAGGTCAGCAACATGGTGCAGTGGCGGCCCATGCTGTACGCCGTCGCGTTCCTGCACTCATGCGTCCAGGAGCGGCGCAAGTACGGCCCCCTGGGTTGGAACATCCCCTACGAGTTCAACCAGGCCGACTTCAACGCTACTGTGCAGTTCGTGCAGAACCACCTGGATGACATGGACATCAAGAAGGTGGGTGCCAGCGCTGCCCCCCACCCATCCAGAGGTAGCTCTCTGATATCTGCTTACTTGGGCTAGATATCTGAATGGAGACTTTAACTAATTTCTTTAGACACTTAATTTCTTTAGAACTGCTTTTTGTGTTTAGTTTGTTGTCCTTCCCCTCACCACCGATTAGCACGGTTGGCTATGTATGGTGTTAAAAAAGTTCAATATCCATACATACGTTGCAGGAGATGACACTGATAGATGGGCTATCCAACTGATTTAAGTATCACTCACTCTGGCGATTATCGGATCGATTCCTCTACAAATTAAATATCACGAAAAAAGTTGAGAAAGTCTGACTTCTGTTCCCGCGTGCACCTCTGGATGAAAGGTGAATTGATGGGACTGGGTGACTTCATCGGTATCACTGAGCGATGTCATGCCAAGCATGGCTTATTAGTGAGTTTCCCACCTTCAGAAGGCAGTACATCAGGGTGGCCACTGTTTTTGACAGGGCCTGAGCCCACAAAACAAGTGGTCGATTGCAATTTTTAGTCGACTACATCATGGGACCTTTCTTGCCAGTATCAAAATATAAGAATAGGTTTTACCCTTTTTGGCAATAAAACAGTTGTGTTAAGATGATAAAACACCAAACAGAAACCTTTTGCAAGGAATCATGTCTGCATCAACCACACATACATGTAATCAAACATCCTCCGATAATGTTTTGCCACAAGTCCGTGTGCTTAATGCAAACATCTTAACACCTGTTTTACTGCCAGAATGGGTAAAACCTATTCTTATATTTAGTTGACAAATCAACCGAATCGACCCATCGTTCCAGCTCTACGAGTGACCATCGCCTAACCCACGCTGGGGGGGTGGGGGGGTGTCGTTCCCACCAGGGCGTTTCGTGGACCACGGTGCGCTACATGATCGGCGAGATCCAGTACGGCGGGCGGGTGACGGACGACTACGACAAGCGGCTCCTCAACACCTTCACCCAAGTGTGGTTCAGCGAGAACATGTTCTTGCCCACGTTCTCCTTCCACAAGGATTACACCATCCCGCGCTGCACCACCGTCGACCAGTACCTGCAGCACATACAGGTGCCCTGGGGGGTGCGGGGGGCAGGGGTGGGCCCGGAAGTCTAATTCGCTAGTGTTTCATCATCTTCATAATCATCATTATCATTACCATCATAATCATAATTATGATCGATTGTATTTATAATGTGCGGTTCGCAACAAAGGTGTTTACAATGTACAGCTTCCGGAAATATTTGTACACATTTACGTGATATGTGCTTTTTGAGAGAGTACTATTTTTGTAAGCCCGTAAAGAAAATGACTGCACGATTTCTAAAATGTATATTGTGTATGCAAATCAAGAGTAATAGGGACAAGCATTTCTGTGTTGTGGAGTGTGTGGAAAATTGCACACATTAGTGTGTGGATTCAAAAAGGTAATTTGAAGGAATCTTGGAAGTAGTTATCTCCTTCCATGGGCCATTCTCCTAACAGTCGTGGAAAAAGACAAAAATGAAAATCCCACTGCGTTGGTTTTCGTGTTTTTGCCGGGCTGTTCTCCAATGTATTTTCGGACTGTGCCGCATATCCTGCTGATCGTCTTCACGAACTCGACGCGTATAGTTTGGAGAGCTATAACGAAAACGTGGTCGCGCTTCGCTCCGACTCTCCCACGGCAGAGCCTTCCGGCGGCCACCACCCCGGAGGTGCTGGGCCTGCACGCGAACGGCGACATCACGTACCAGACGACGGTGGCACGTGACGTGCTCGACACAGCGCTGGGAATCCAGCCCAAGGACAGCGCGGCGGGCGGCGGCGAGACGCGCGAGAGCATCGTCTACGCCAAGGCGCAGGAGATGTTGGAGAAGCTGCCCCAGGACTACATCCCGTACGAGGTATGCTCCGGCGGTGGTCGGATGGCCATTGCTCTTCTTGTTCGAGTGAGGACGATGCGGACTCGGGGTTTTAAGGGATTCGGCGCAGTAATGCGCACGCGTGTGGGTTTGTGGTGGAGTAATTGGAATGTTTCTGAAGTAAACAATTTAAATGATAAAACTACGTAAACTATTTTTTTTATGTTCTCAGGTAAGGCCCACTGAGCTATACAGCTTTTCCTCGGAAGTGACCTAGCCACAAATGATAGCTCAACAAAGTGGCTTATCATGTGGAAATGTATCGCGGCCAAATACTCTAAAGGTATGTTTGTAAATGTGGAGGGAAAAACCGGAGGACCTGGAGTAAAATCCACGCAACCATGGGGAGAACACGCAAACTCCAAATATACAGCAGGCATCAGGTCAGGATCAAACCCACGACCTTCTGTATACCAGGGGAGGTAGTTAACATCTCGCCACCGTGAAGTGGCTCCATCATCAGTGCTTTCTCTACTTGACAGGTGCACGCAGCCGATGTAATTTGCCAGGAGAACTGGACTGATGCAGCTGAACAAATAGCGAGAAGGGGCCCTGGCAAAGCGCCAAGAGTCGCGTTAGGTGTAGGGCCAGTAACAGGGCCAGTCTAGGCTAGAACAATGGCCAATTGGCTGTTTGACTAGTTGGTAAGAGTTAGGGCTTGCATTTGGTTGGCTCGTCTGATTGACCCCCAAACTGAACGTACTTTCTTTACATTGCAATATTTTGGCATTGCAGTTAATGCAAACGTTTATATTGGTGTTTACAGTGCAATACTCACATATCTATTGTTGTATGGGTGCTGCCAAAGATTAAAAAAAAACTTTTACAATGAAAAGGTGATTTCTTGTTTTCTATGGATCACCTTTGTGCGTATTATCTTGCTTCCATTCTCTACACACTTTTCTGTCGGATCAGAATTGGTTCATCAAAAGCACATTTGTAATTTGTAAAACAAAGTGATGGCGAGTGACCTCCTGACCTCCTGACCTCCGCCCTCCTGCTCCTCTCCTTGCGAAGGTGCGGGAGCAGCTGCAGAAGATGGGGGCGCTGCAGCCCATGAACATCTTCCTCCGGCAGGAGGTGGAGCGCATGCAGCGCGTCATCTCCCTCGTGCGCTCCACGCTAAACGATCTGCGCCTTGCCATCGAGGGAACCATCATCATGAGCGAGGGCCTCCGCGACGCGCTCGACTGCATGTACGACGCGCGCATCCCCGCACGCTGGCGCAAGGTACGCACGCAGCGGGGGTGGTGGGGGCCGCCTCGGGGTTCGAGCGCTCTGGTGTCCGTTCGTCGTTGCTGCCGTTGCTGCCAGCGTTGTCGTGATCACCGGCGGCATTGTCACAGTCATTGTCATCACCAATGTTTTCGTTATTACCATGACCACCACCACCACCGTAATCATTGCCTTTGTTGCAACTGTCAATACCAACAGCTCTTTTCATTTCAGCTGTAATCATAACAAAGACAAAGATCCCCGTATAGCCTTAAGACTGTTGGGGCAAGTGCTGTTAGCGAGCACCTGTTAGCGAGTCATTGTAACAACAGTCACCATCATCAACACTATTGTTCCGTCCATCAACAATGTGATGATTAGGCACAGCCATAGCGATGCGGTGCCAATCCAGGCAGACCGAGCTAAAATTAGTCTCTGGGTGGTGAACTTCTCCCTTCCCTTCCCTCTGGTTTGCGCGGAATCATGTCTGAATGTGGGCGAGCGACCGAGTGATGTGAGAGCTACGCGCGCCAAGTGCTGCCTGTGCCCATGTGTGTGTTGTGTGTGTGCGGGACGGCAGGCCTCCTGGGTGTCGAGCACGCTGGGCTTCTGGTTCACGGAGCTGCTGGAGCGCGATCGCCAGTTCCGCTCGTGGTGCTTCCAGGGCCGGCCCAGCTGCTTCTGGATGACGGGATTCTTCAACCCGCAGGGCTTCCTCACCGCCATGCGACAGGTGACCCCGGCGAGCAAGAGTTTTGATTCATTTTTTTTGGGGGGGGTGGGGGGGGGGAGTTTATGAGGAGCTTTAAGGAGAGTGCCGGGGTTTGCTGTAATTTGCAATGCTGACACTGTGAAAGTTGTTGAGTTAAGATTATTAGTTATATTTTGCTAAAGCATGAGGAACACCTAGATTTTCTTTTAATTATGTACGCATTGTAAATAAAATATGTTACTTATAGATAAGTTGTTTGAATCTTTATTTAAATTTTATTATGTTATCCAGTGGCACCGGGTGGTTGCGATCAGGATGAGCGGTTGGGTAACTGCAGTCTTCGTGACCCTCATGGCGCAGCATTCCATGAAGCACGTCGACAAGATACCCAGCCTGACCGTGCGCGTGTTTTGCATGCGACGCCGACTCACCCAGGAGGTGACGCGTGCGCACAAGGGCTGGGCGCTGGATAGTGTGGTGCTGCAGAACGACGTGACGCGCTGGCTTCGCGAGGACGTGACGCGCTCGCCCGACGAGGGCGTCTACGTCCACGGCCTCTTCCTTGAGGGCGCCGCCTGGGACCGGCGCAACGGCCGCTTGGCCGAGGCGCGGCCCAAGGCGCTGTCTGAGCCCATGCCGGTCGTGCATATCTACGCGGCCAACAACCCCGGTGAGAGCTGCAGCTGTGCGATGAGCGGGGCGAAGCGTCGGAGGGGGGGGGCGTGCGCTCGCGTGTGGTCCGTCAACGTGCAAAATTGCCATGTGGAAATATTCTATGGGTGGACTGAAATTATTTTATAGGGGTGTGAAAACATATTTGTTCTGTTAGGTTGTCACTAACAGAGCACATAGTCGACCGAGACATAAAAAGAGGTAGTCAGTCATAGGCGGTGGGAAGGTTTTGTGCCTGGACTCGCCACAACAGATTTCTGGTGGAGGGGAGTTTCAGATTTTTGCGGCAGTAGAGAAGAATGCATGACCTCCCATTGAGCAGAGGTTGCCTGGCGACTTCCATAGACAGGCTTCATTGCCGGAGTAGAGGGTGAACGGAGGGCAGTAGAGTGGGAGTAAAGGAGAGCAGTAGGCAGGAGCAAGTTTTATAGGATCGTGCGGTTTATCAGTGCAGTGTTTAAATTGATCTGGGATTTGATTGGGAGCCAGCAGATGAATCAGTGTTGGGGTGATGTGGTCACATTTTTGGGTTCGGGTTAGAAGTCCTGCAATGACCTTCGCATCGATGATGGTCTCATGGTCTCGATCCCCTGTTCCCTCTCGCCGAGCAGCTGGGTCTAAGGACACGCAGCTCTACTCCTGCCCCATCTACAAGAAGCCGGTGCGCACCGACCTGAACTACATCGCCGACGTGGACCTCCGCACGGCGCAGCCGCCTGAACACTGGATCCTGCGCGGGGTGGCCCTGCTCTGTGACGTCAAATAACGGCCGTGCTGCCCTGAGTAGGGGGGGGCAAGGTGGAGTGCGTTTGGAGGGAGGGGGCGGGGGGCCAGTCACAGCTGAGGGAGGCTCTTCCATCGCCAGCTCAAGAACGACTCGTCTATGCGTGTTGTTGGCGGGGGTGGCGGGAGCTCGTTGGTGCTGTGCGATGGGAGGTCGTGAGGTTTTGAGAAGGAGATTTATTTTACGGGGTTGCGCCAGCCTGCCGTAAGGCTTTTTTTTTAACCTTATTTATATTTAATATAACAATAAACACTGGAATAATTGTGTTGACATTATTGAAAAATTATCCAATAATAAGTGAGTGAATACACAAAGGGTGGTTGGGAATATAAATATTTATGATCACGAATTGGGGCAGCAAACGTTTTTGTATTTAACCAATAAAGCATTTCCACTGCAACAAAGGATATTGTAATTCATGATCGCAATGGTGAGGTATTTTAGACTCATAATTACTATTATGGCCTTGCTTTTCTACCATCTGGATTTATAAAGCATTTAAATGCAGCTGCAGATAAAACAAAATTAAACATTTAAACCTTCTAATTCATTCAATAAAAAGTCAGGTGTACCATAATCTTGTCATCAGCAATAAATTAATATCTGTCTCTAATTATATGCCCGGCTCTCAATATCCAGGAACACCTGCATGAGCACGTTGAATTTGATCATTCTCAGTCTTTTTTTGATGGGCTTGTGATTCCTATTTATTCTGCGATGTTTACATCTGGCAGAGCTTGAGCCCCCCGCGCTCTTTTAATCGCAAGGGCTGAATCGCCACCACGAATGCCAGGTTTCCACGACCACTTGGAAGGGTGTCAATTTGATTCGTCAAGAAGGGCTAACGGACTTGGGCCGGGTTTCCATGGCAACCTCTACCAGGCCAAGAGGGCTAACAGCACCCAGTCTTGCGAGCTCATAGTTCTAAAAAGAGAGCCATCCACTGTCACCTGGACCGACCTTCTGAGCAAGTTGCGACATCTTGACACGGTCAATGGGATGTGATGGTCAGTGGCGGCGTCAATGGCATAGTTCACCTAGTTCACCTTTTAGGCTGTGTTTTTGCAACAAAAACTGTTTACAATAGTAATGTTTTCTTGGGATTGGTTGGCTTAACCCAAGCCTACGTTAAATGTTTTAAGATCGCGTCTCTCTGACAACTGATGGTATGGAGGAGAGCCCAGAGAGCCTTGTGGATCAAGAAGTGTGGGGACACAGATTCCGATCCGTGCTGTTAATCCTAGAAGCTAAATGGGTCGTCCTGGGCCATCGGGTGCACTTACCAATGGCGGTGGAAACGTAGTGCAAGTTGGTCCCATGGTGAGACGGGACACTGTAAGATCCCTGTTTAATTCATAGGGCAAACATTTTTTATGAATAATCATCTCTTGTCATGAGAGCAGGTGTTAAATTTGAGTCTTCTAAGTCACAAAAAAAACAGTTGACTGTCAATTTTTATGTAAATGTAACTGTCATTATATATGTGTTTGTTGTGAATCCTCATTTGACTTTACTGTGCTGTCTATTCCAAAGACCAAATGCATAGTTATAAAATGTTTTGATTTTTTAAATGTTTTTTTCTTAATTGTTGTAAGTAAAAATATCCATGAGCCGCAAGCATGTCACTTGCAAATCGCTTTACAAAGAGCCACACAGACACAACTCTGTCAAATGCCCCAGTTACCCTTCGCTTAGTCTGGGGGGTCGCTCATTCTCCTCTGTTGCCTTCATAATACAGAACTTTGTTTACCATGCAACATAGTTGCAACTGATGCAAATAAGTGGACGTTAGTGGAAAACAGGTTAAATATTAGTTCACGAAGATAAGGAGAATACGGAATGTAGGTCAAAGAGACGAGTGGCAAGTCGGGGGGTAGCTTACATGCACGTCCACTCATATAACCACAGCTGTCAGCGTGCCAGACTTCACTCAATTGGTCACCACTGAATTTGCTGCCACTAAATACGCCACACCTGATTGGCTCCCCATAAATGGCCCACCAATTAATTGGCCGCTACTGGCTTGACCACCCCTGGTTCGGTTACCACTTCCGGAATTGTTCACCGCTAAATTGGCCACGCTTTATTTGGCCACCGCGAATTTGGTCACCCCTAATCTGGCCATCACTGGCTTGGCGACCCTGGATCCGGTGGTCACCCCTGACTTAGCCACTCATTTGGCCACCGATTATCTTTACTCTGGGTTCACAAATGACAACACACCCCTGCCTTCAATTAGCGCCCTGTGCCATGCAGAAAACGCGCGTGTAGTGTACCATGATAATTGTTGTAACAGCCCTCCAAATGTTTTTCGTTTTACATCTAAGCGACTTTATGCGTGAAGTAATGTGTATTTGCAGTGACGAGTCTCTTGTGTGCAATCAGCCTGGTTATTTTTATTTCCCTGAAATTTAATAAAGTATTTAAAGAAGGATGTGACATGTCTCGTTCGTATGCACGTTTGCACTATATCGGATTATTTTTGTTTCAAATGACCGTTGGGATCTACTTATTTCATGATCTATCTGAGATTAATGAAATGCGTAGTTTAACACTCATCAGTAGGTCACCAGTGCTTGCCATATGCGTTAAATGGTTCCTGCCATTAGGATTGTGGAATTTCTACCGCTGATTCAGGACTACGAACCGTCTAACACTCGGAAAAGGTGGGAGACACGTCGATCTTACTTTGACATCAACCTGGATCTAAGCGTTCCTGACACCTGGTCTAAGCATGACTGCCCCCCAAAAATATTCTGAGGAGCCGAAGTAGATTGTCGAGCAACAGCCCGTGGACTGTCAAAGCTCAGCTCTCAGTGACCCCGAGCCTTCACTTTGGCACTTAGAAGCCAACAAATGGAGCAAGTAGCGGAACAGCCAAGAGGGAGTTGTTGTGGGCCTTGTCTGTCTGGTACCTGCGACTCATTATGTATCTGTATAAGTCTGTCTGCCTACATCTATGTACATGCTGGTCCAGATGCCTTGTGCCCCCCCCCCCCCCAATTAATTGACCCAGAACATTGTTTCCTTTTGCATATGAATTTCTGCTTAAAAGAAACCTTACTTTCAAAATATAAAGTTTTAGATAATTAAATGGAGGGTCACAAGATGTCTAGGACCACCCTGTAAATGTAATTCTCCTTTTCTCTGTTTATATTTATATCTGCCTCTCCCCGTGTGTACATCTGCTGTCTCCATGCCTGTCAACAACCCCTTATCAGTGCCCCCTACCTTATTACAGACCAATTCAGACCTTATTGGTCACCCCCGTGCCCTTAGAAATCTCAACGTTCATCCTACAAAGTCCCATCATCACAAGCAAATAGAGAACAGGTTTTTTGTTACACTATTGAAACGGCTGTACGCCGAATGGACCTTCAAACTCAATTTCCCCTCTTACAAGAATACGGGGAATAAACAGTACGGGTTTGACAGCTGTGTGTCTCTGTCTCTCTATCGTTGTAGTACGGAGTTAGACTGATGGCCTTAATCTAAGTTGTCTTATGGTTGTTGTTGTTTGACTTGCATCCCACTGGGATTTTTGCACACAGCGTTGGTGTACGGTGCTTTTTCTGCAATATTTTGCTGTCTTCTCATGGATTTTCTGTTTGCACTTAGTCACATATTCACTTTAAGATGTTTTCTTGTTCATGTGTTTTGTTTGTTGCGGTTGCACCCGATTCAAGAGCCGAATGGCTCAAAGGGCTGAACCTAATACATGAAACTGAATCTGCCCGGCATCCCGAATCGATCCAGTTGGGAATCGATCACCGCACGCAAAACGATTAACTTGAGGGGCGGGAGAATCGAATCGCGTGACGTCACACCCAACCACAATCCCTTGCGCGGCAAGTCGAGTTGACGAGCCCAGGCAAGGCCCCAAAGCAACGCTCGCGGTGTTGACAGCGGTAACTTTGTAATTTGAGATTTTTATTGCAATTAAATGTATTAACGATTACATCCCGTACGAGTTAATTGTGACTTTATTTCATTGATATTGTCCGCAGTTGCGCAGAACTATGTAAATGTATATCATAACATCAAGGCCTGGTCGCTTTGAGAGCATTGGCCAGGCTTATTATTATCATGAATAATGTGATCCTGTCAATAAGTAGGCCGTTAATTGTATAACGTTAACAATCTCATTGTATTATCAATTCCATACTTAAAGTTTAAATATTGCGAGTGCAAATGTTGGGGTCGGTACACTCGATCATCTTTAAATGGCCGATAAAATTGCTACCATATTAAATTTCGATTTAAAGCTTTCGTGACTGCAGGGATTCATCTTCTTGGTTCTTTCGGTAAAGTCACGTAGAAGGGAAATAATAAAATAATTAAAATAAAACAAAATACAATTCTCACGACGTTTCGGCCACAACGCAAGCAGCCGTCCTCAGGTGAAGAACATGTCTGTCTTTCCGACAGACCTTATGTTGTATTTTTATTATTTTATTATTTCCCTTCTACGTGACTTTACCGAAAGAACCAAGAAGATGCTACCATATTGTGAGAAGTTAGCAGCGGTTGTCCTACGGAGAGACTTTGCTATTCGCTTTACTACAAGTGCGGAATGTCCCCAAGAGAGATGAGCAAAGCCTCAAGAGTTTGTCGGATAGATTTAACCGGACAAACCGTTCTACAAACTCAATTTAAACGGGCGTAAATCGTCAATATGTTGATGTGCGGATCTCCCTTACACTTGTGTTCTTAACTCATTTTCAGAGGAGAGCCACTTGCGCCAATAAGACATCAAGTTTTTAGTTTTTTTTTGGTAAAGTCACGTAGGTAAAAATTAAAATAAATAATATAAATAATAATATAACTAAATAAAAACCTTTTACTTCTATTATTATTTCTATTACTTATTTTTACCTAAAAAAAAACCTAAGAATATGAATCCTTGCAGTCACGAAAGCTTCAAATCTAGAATTAAGACATCAAGTGTTAGGGGCCGCCACACATTGAAAACCATTGACAGCACGATGATGATGGGGGTGGGGGTGTTTCCACGTGTTGTGTATTGTCAGGGGTCGCACTAAAGGCCACCAGGGGCCGCTAGTGGCCCGTTGGCGATGAAATGAACAACACTGCCTGCCTTTGAGTGTGTTTGAAACCTCGAGTCGTCTAATGAAAATCGATGTGTCATGGAAAAAGTGACTGCGCATTAAAAGCAATCGCGTAACATTTGTAAAACATTTGTAAAATGTTACATGCACAACGCGCAGATATTGTCAATGTACTCATTGCTCGCTTGTCTCGAATCAATTTTGTGTTCTAGGTCTATAACTGAGCACAATGGATCGGCGCAGCAAGAAGTCAAGTGGGGATGCTTCCCGGCGAACAGGTGCGCAGGTCACACCTGTCAAACATACGGCCAAAGGAATGTGGAATTAACACATTTCGTGAAGCCATATTACATAGTAACAACAATATCCGATTTGGTATAGAATCGCAGGTTAATTCAAAATAACGTCTCCAAAGCATGGACTTTGTAGCATATAGGAATGTGGAATTTCCACTATTTTTAACAGACTGCAGCAATTGCTCATTTGAGCATGGAGACACTGTAGTAATAGGGTTTTACCTTTTCATCTGGTACAAAAACTGACACATTTATACAAGGGGTCATGTTTGCAATAACCACAACAAGCAGTCAAAATGCAAACAAAAAGAAACAACTCTGATAATAATAATGATATGCACTGTCCTTGAAGTTGATTGGTCCACACCCGAGACAGCTTTTCTTAGAGCCTAGTCTCCATTGGTGTTGGACCAGATGACGCCAAAAGGCGTACAACTCAAAAACAGCGCACTATCAATACTCTGATAGCACACTATCAATACTCTGATAGTGCACTGTTTTTTGAGTTGTACGCCTTTTGGCGTGATCTGGTCCAACACCAATGGAGACTAGGCTCTAAGAAAAGCTGTCTTGGGTGTGGACCCATCAACTTCAAGGACAGTGCATATCATTATTTTGTTTCTTTTTATTTGCATTTTGACTACTTGTGTTGTGGTTATTGCAAACATGATCCCTTGTATAAAGGTGTCAGTTTTTGTACCAGATGAAAGGGTAAAAACCTATTACTATATTTTGCTACTGGTAAAGAAGGTCCCATAGTGTAACATGGAGACACTGTTTTAAAATGCAATTTAAGTGTAGTTTCAGTATGTATTCACAGCCCTTGTCAATCCACTGCTGGATGAAGGCCTCCTCATGCATGTGGGAGTTTGACCGTCCTTCACCATGCTGGTCAGTGCAGGTTGGTGAAAGAGTGGGGGCTGTGACCAGTTCAGATATTACTCGGTGGTCATGTGGTTCTTAGCATGCAATACTCCCAACCACTCCTGTTTCCTCGTGAAGATGATGTCTTTACTTACATACTTATGTTCTATCCACGTTTTCGCGAAATGTGTTTTTACAGATAAAACAAGCCCCATGGAATGTAATGACAGTGCCACTACAGAAGTAAATGGGTAAGAACGACGTTGCTCCCCTGTTCTTCAGATTCATGGCAGTACATATATGCATGTCAGATATATTTCAATACAAGCTGAACATTTGTGCCCATGTCAAAATTCACATTTATTGTTTGTTCGTTTCTTAGGATTGCCACTGCAGAGGATCAAGTTAAGCCAAAGAGCGACGTTGTTCAAGGTGTGTAGCTTGCATCCTTCAGTATTTGTACAAGAACAGCTCTTTTTTTTGCCTCGGTCACCCTGTGTGGTTTTCATGCTGCTTGTCTGCACTCTTAGTATGTTAAATGCTATTTTACTTATTTGTGTCTGTTCCTGTTTTAGACCCAGATATTCCTTTAAAAAAATATTTGATATGAAAAATATGATGGTGGTAATATCCAGGAAAGCGCACAGCATACACGGCGGGGCTGGTGCTGGTGCGCAGACCGCCGGCCATGAAGTGCGTCGCAGTACGGCCGGGGCTGGCGCCCCCCGCCTCTGACAGCAGTGGCAGCGAGTCGGACTCCAGCTCGGACAGCGATGAGGAGCTTGGCTGCACGGGGTGGATGCTGCCTACGTCCGTTACCAACGCACCATCCACAGGATAAATGGGCACTCCTGCTCGGACACTGCGTCTCTCCCCTGTGCTTCGTCTCTTGAGAGATTTCGCTAACTGACGCAAGCTTTTGTTGTGCTGTAGGCTCGGCTGAAGGATTTGCGGAAAATTTTACCCCAGTCACATGCACAGTTAACTCTCGGTTGTCCATGGGTTATCGATTAATTGTGCTCATTCGTGCTTTTTACATGCACGCTGGTTTGATTATGAGTAGATCCTTGTCGAGGGTCGGTTACTCGGTGCCCAAATGACCGCAAAAATGTCCCCAAGTAAACATTTATAATACAGTAAAAGCAGATGACACGTTGAATGTCTTCATCCCCAGTCTACATACGTAAACAATGTTTTCATTTCCTATTTTTTGCAATATCTGTGCATACTTTCCCTCCATTACTCCAGATAATTGAGTTGACTGCAGTGGCACTAACATGTGAAAATGAGTTCATGCTTTTATTGTGTTATTTGTAATCTACATATAAACATTTGACATTTCTTTTTGGTAATGCTTGTTATGTTTAATTTCATTTATGAATTTCTATTTTATGTAGTTCAATATACAAATGTTTCACTACATGCTGTTTATTACACAGCCATGTAATAAATTTGAAGTGATATTTGTACTTGAACATAGGATTGTAGTATTTAAATTGTTTGTAAGCATGCTGCAGTCATGTATACGTAGGTCTGCTGTAATTCTTTGTCTTTTTCTGCTATTTGAGGAGTTAAATACTTTCTTTACATTAAGATCACCTCTACCACACCTTATGATGTGTATTATATTTAAATTAAAACTAAAATAAGTCGTGTTTTTCATGAGCCTTCATGGTTTTTGAAGATGCTTGGGTAGTGTTTAGTGATGCAAATTGTAAAAGCTCAGCCTCTTATTATGTTTTTGATGTCCTGTTGCCAACTCAACTTACCGGCCTTGTATTTCCAATTCCATGTTCCATGGCCAAACAAAAGCTAACTGGGGGGGGGGGGGGTTCCTTGTGAGTACAAGCCAACAAGCCATGGCTCTATAAAGGATGTGGCTCACAAAGCAAAACTTGGAAGTTGGCTTTAAACCAAATGTCTTAATGGGGGCACATTTTTCAACACGACAATTTCGACAACTGGAACTTAATTCGCACCCGAATATCACCCCTTCTGTAGATTTGTCCTTGGGTTGGATTGACATTTGAGCCATGTAAATAACTCCATCCTGATCTGTGCCGACTTAGGATTGAGGGCATTTCAGACTTACGATGTGCTCCAACTTTTGATGACTATATTCCCAGCCACTCTATGCGCTCATTCCAAAGTTGATTCAATGCTGGCTTTGTACTCGGGTTATATCACGTAATCATGTTATGTACAGTCTTGGTCAACTGTTGTCGGTGAAGGGACAGCCAGGACCGGTTCAAATAAAAGCTGCCGATGTTAACCGTGACCACAAAGTCGAGTTCAAGTCATTTGGTTGAAAGCGGTACACAGTTTCACAGTTACCAATCCCCTATCTCCGTTAAAATACAAATATCGTCGATTCGCGACACAACTTTAATGAAAACTGAAAATAATTCGCATAGTTGTGGAGAATATAAAATAGATACGCCGACGATACGTCTCCCTCGTATCGATTACACATCAAGATTGTTCATTTGTTCGACGGCTGATCCCGTTGAGCCAGTTTCCCAGATACAGTATTTTACAATGGAGATCCGTGGTGCGTGAGCACAGTAACAACAAGACATCGATATTGCAGATGAGTATGGGATCCTTAAGTAATATTGCACAACGAACAAACGAGGTATTTAAACCAGCCTACAGAGTTTTCTTGTATCGAATCAATGCTGCTGAAATGATTAACAGCCGGAAGGGAATGAATTGTGTAAAGAATACAATGCATTTAACACGTAGGTTTTCGCTCATATCTTTATGTTGTAAAGATTTTGTTTTATCTGGGCCTATTGTTTCGCATTCGTGAAGCGTGCGATGCGCGTAAACAACGTTGATATATGAACTGGGGTTTGGGGATCCATCGGTTTTCGGGTCACGGTTGAGGCCACCTGCCAAGACAACCTGGTCCCCCAGATCGCCCGACCTGCATGGCCATGCCCGGGGGTCAGGGGCCGCATTGATGAGCTTCGTGCCTTCACCTGTGCACGCTTTCGCTAACGAACGGCGCCTGCACTTGCTGGACCTGCTGCTGCTGATGAGCTCACGATGTGAGAGAAGACTTGGGGCTGCGGGTGGGGAACTTGGGTATTTAACCAGGGGCAGACTGCGCCGCCGGTAGGTAGTGGTCTGTGTTCGACGCAGGAGCCGGGGAAGTTGGGGTGAGTGACGCCAAGTCTTACCCGCTCTGGAGGTTCGATCCCAACCCTGAACCCTGTGGCAGCGTGTATGATTCTCTGGGTCCTCCGGTTTCTTTTCTCATTTTTTAAAAATCATTGTGTATTAGGTTGCTATATTTCTATATTGTAAGCCACTTCGTTGAGCAATCATTTGGTGTCCCGGGTTGCTTTTGAAAACGAGCTATATAGCTCAGTGGGCCTGACCTGGTAAAATGTTAAATCGTTTAGTTTACTATATATTTCGCAGTTGTAATGTATAAGCTATGTATTTTCGAGGTGTACCGGCGTGTTGTTTGTGCTGGGAGAAACTTGTTTAAAACGTCTGTTTTCACTGCTTCGTTTTAATAATTATTCACGTGTGTTGTGTTTCCGACCGTCAAATACACCGTTTTGTAAGTCGTGCCAATAATCTTGAGCAGTGATGTTGCTGCTTTCGTGTTCACGCACCACGGATCTCCTTTGTAAAATAGCGGAGCAAACTTTGTAAACGGCATCATCCGTGTAACAAATCAAATCAACTCACTCTCTGAAGAAGCTCCATGCAGCACGTGGCATATGCATACGCCACGTCGGTCATGCAACGTGCGCTTCAATCCAAAATCGCATCGGATAGAAGCCACCCTCCGCTGTGATTGTTCTCCTGCCTGCGCTCTTTATCAGAGAGATCAGATCGCTAATTACTATTTGTGCTTTTACTCTTTTACCAAGTAAAGCCCACTGAGCTATATCGCTTTTTTTCAGAAGCGACCTGGGCACAAAGAAGCGATTTATGTGGAAATGTATAGCAGCCAAATACTGTACTCTTAAACGCATGTTTCTAAATGTGGAGGGGAAAACCCCAGGACCGGGATAAAAATCCACGCTACCATATACAGGGGTCAGGGTCGGGGTCGAACCCACGACTTCCTGCATACCAGGCGAGGCAGTTCACATCTCGCCACCGCGGCGTCCAATGTGGGTGTCCTCCCACAATTTATGCCAGCAACACACCAGAGTTAATCGGTTGGCTGGTGCAGCTACTCCCACACTTTACCCCACCGCACGCCACCCGCCAGTCGACGAACTGCGGTGTTGCCACTCTCCATTGCGGGCGGACAGGGTCAAATTTTAAAAAGGTGGTCGGTGATTTCAGAAATGTTCCTCTCGTTTCAACTGCCCTTGGCGGGAGATCGAACCAGTGGACAACCCTCCGCACTTCGAGTCGTGTGCTAAACCATTTACACCATCCGCGTTCTACCAGGCGAGGTAGATGGCACCTCGCCACCGCGGTGCCCCATGATTAAGCGGGCACCGCAGATAACTGGGTTCAAATGCAGGCAGCTACGCTCGTGGTGGGTCACGCAGATTTGTGAAACGACCAAACCCGCTGGGCTGTGAGGGGACCAGAGGAAGGCAGCACAGCAAATTGGTGTGCTCGTTAATCGGTCTGCGCATCGTGGAGTTTCTTTTGCTCCAACACAAGACCAAACGCTCAATTGAAAAGGATTGCCATGTCTGGCATTGCAGGGCCCTCCGGAAAAATGTTGCAAAAATGCATTGCCAACGTGCCCGATCTCGTCAGACGTGTGATTTGATAGGTAAGCACTTTATGTAATAGTAGCTATCGGGCGTGGGTAGTAAAAAAAAAGTGTAGTATGTTTGTATGCTCCTGCGTCTGTGCTGCTCCTTTACTGACCTGCATGGTAAAGTATGGAGGTCTTAATCCAGCAGTGGATTGACAAAAGGCCTGTACACGTGTAGTGTCCTCTTTCCTCCCGTCGTGTGTGTGCGTGTGGTGTGCGGTGCACACACTCAGTCGGAGACGAGGTAGTTGCAGGAGGCACCGCCTCTTTCTTTATTAGCTTGTTCATACCAACTCCCGCCTCCTCTCTCCCGACCATGCTGCCGTACAGCCCGGCCTAGACACAACCCTGAACACTTTGCACCGACGGCGTCGACCAAGGCGGCCAACCACTGTCCGGCCACGCAATGATCGTGCGAAGGCGGCAGCGGCAAAGGCGAGGACAGCGACGATGAGACGAGTCCACTTCCAGAGTCGGCAGCCCAGAGCTCCTGCTCTCCGCTGCTTTTATTCTACTCGGCGCGGCCTGGCTCCGCCCTGGCCGCACCTCCCTTCTCAAACCCACCAGAGGGTTCCAGGGGCCCCCCCACCAGGTCTACCGTGACCCTTGCTCCAGTTCCTCCCCCCTGCCGGCATACCCGTGTATATGCTGTCCACCGCATTTGCTGCTGCTGGACAGCAGTTGGCGCTGTGTCACTACACACGTATTAACCATTTGACCCAATGGTTGAGTCCAGCGTTTGGTGCAGGGGGAATTAATCCATGATAGTTGATGGGCGCACATGTACTGGTGTTATCCAATTCCAGTGCAGTATAGCGGTCAACCTGGATCGCTGTTTAACCCTGGTTAAATTGTCTGGACATGGGTTGTAAGGGAAACCGCTCCAGTGTATGAATGTGATCACACAAATGCTGCAGTGTAATGAACATGTTAATCTGGGCATTTTCTCCCCCTCAGTTGCCATTTCTGGAGAAAGATCACCGCCTTTCGAATGGATACCAGCAACGCTGCTACTTGAATGTTGCACAAGCATTGAAGGGTTCTCCACACTTACTTTTCAAAAGTTAAACCGCATTACTGCCATACCAGTCAATTGGATAAGATATTTGTTTTATTTCAAACATTAAAAAAATGTATCAACGCGTGCCACAGATGAGGGTGGTATAAGATGACTTTGTCTGGTATTACATATCAGAGCTGTAAAACCTAAGGCGCCAATTCCTTATACTTGACTTTTTTTAGCACCAGGTTTTTAACCCTGTGCCCTGCTGAGGGCAAAGCCATTAAAAGGCAAATTTAACACGAGAGCCAAAAACCAATATGTTCTGAACTTTTTCGCAATTGTTCAATTATAAACTATGATCCTAAGACAATGGCAAAATGTGTAGCCCAATCAGTCTCAAAGATTGGCATCCCTTAGAGCATGTTTGTTTTCATATTTTGCCACAAGTATGTGTGGTGAATGCAGATTTCATGGCTTCTATTTGGTGTTTGAATGCCTTAACTTGTTTATTGCCAGAAAGGCTAAAGCCTATAATTTGTTTTATTTTTGATACTGGCAAAAGGTTCCAAGATACAAAAGGCTGGTTTGGACAAATGCTCCAGTGTGCTTGGCAAGCCACATGTCCTAACCACACAAATTTACAAAGTGAACATTGGAAATGCACAACCAACACAAAAGCCTTACAACTGTTGGCCAAAACGCCTAACCTCCTTCACCAATGCCATATATAAAAATTGCCAAGCCACCGGAGCACGTCTAACGTGGCAGAGGTCTTCGTGCAGTGGTCGCTCCCCAGTTGAAACAGCTTCATGCAGACACGAGCCTCCTGGTTGGACTTCACGCTCTGTAGGCTCGGCAGAGCAAATACTACAGCGATGATCTACCCATTTCCCCCTATATTCGAGAACACACGATCACATGTGTAGTGACACAGCGCCGACTGCTGTCCAGCGGCGGCAACTGCGGTGGACAGTTAGCACACACGCCGACGACCCATTTACACGGTGTGTGTGCCGGCAGGGCGGAGGAACTGGTGCACGGGTCATGGAAGACCTCATCGGAAGGCCCCTGGAATCTTCTAGTGGGTTCGAGAAGGGAGGTGCGGCCAGCGTGGAGCCAGGCCGCGCCGAGTAGAATAAAAGCAGCCGAGAGCAAGAGCCCTGGGCTGCCAGTTCTGGGAGTGGACTCTTCTTGTCGTTGCTGTCGTCTTCGCCGCCTTCGTCGCTGCCGCCTTCGCCCGATCATTGCGTGGCCGGACAGTAGTTGGCCGTCCCGGTCGGTGCAACGCAGTCAGGGTTGTGTCTCGGCCAGGCGATCCTGTGAGTGTGAACGGCCGGAGTGGTGTAACGGAATAAAAGAGAAGGTGCCTCCTGCAACTACCTCGTCTCCGACTGTGCTACACACACACCGACAGACCACTACACATGTACTACAGCCATGAACAGTAAAAGTTAACTTTTCAAAGCAAACGTGTGCGGTAGTGCCATTCTAGAAATTGACTACGTGGCGTGGCCAGAAGATGGCAGCGGTG